TATAGTTATAATATCCTCTTATTAGGAGTAAATAAAGTAGTATAAAGATAATATATTTATATAGATAGATTAGAAAATAGTACTATACTAGAATTACTTTCCTAAGAAGAAGAAAAGGAATTATAAATTAATAGATTTTATTAATTATAAAAGAAAATTAATTATAATAGGGTATTAAGAATTATACTAAGTAACTAAAGTAATAAATAATTACTAATTAAAAGTCTAAGTTAAACTTTATATTAAGAATTCTATAAGATAACACCTTAGCTAACTAGAATAAATTATTATTATTACTAGAAGGAGGTACTAATTCCTCTAGGTAAGCCTTAATATAATAAGTAAATACTTAAAGATCTTAAAGAATTATAAAAAGATTATAATAATTACCCTAGTTAATATAACTTACTAACTAGAGAATATAAACTCTATTAAAGAGATTTTTATAACTAAGTAATAATAAAGAAAAATAATACTTAATAAGACTCTTTATTAGGGCTACTAATAAGATACTTACTAAAGTATAAGAAGAAGTTATTATAATAAAACTAATCTAAGAGAGAGAGAAAGTTAACCTAACTAAACTATTTTAAATAAAAAAGAGAGTTACTAAAGAAGAACTAGCCTAAGAATAAGAGAGAGTTATTATAATAGAATAATATCTCTTAGCTAGACTAATTACTACTATTATAGAATATTTTAAAGAAAGATAATACTTCTTAGCTAGAGCCTTCTTTATTATAAGAGAAGAGTCTTTACTATAAGAAATACTAGAAGAATCTATCTTTATTATAAAAAAATTAATATTATCTTTTATATTAGATTATATATACTTACTATTATTTAGAGAACCTTTACTAGTGCTATTATCTAACTCCTTACTATAATTATTAATTATTATTACTAACTCTATAAGCTAATTATATAACTTATTACTATAACTAATAAAAAAACTAAGACTACTAGCTTAAATAATAGATTTATAGGAGTAAAAAAAATTAGTAACTATAGATAAAAAATATTTACTAAGGAGAATATATATTTATTAAGAGTATTAGAATCATATATATAAAGACCTTATATATAGAATAAATATACTAATCTTTAGTTACTCTAAGTATAGTTAGTATAGGACCCCTAAAAGAATATAAATCTATTATAACTAAGAGTAGAGATATATCCCCTAAAGGCATCCTTATCTAAGAAATAATTACTATAAGCTAATATATAGTTATAAGATACATCTTACTACTAAATAATAGTAGCTAATATATAGCCTAAATAAGTATATTCTTTTATATCTGGCTTCCCCTCCTTATTAAACTTCTAGATAATTAGGTAAATAATATCTATTATCTTTAATATACTTTTATTAGGCCTACTAAGATAAGCTTCTATCACTAGTAAGAGATATTTACTAAAGCTAAGAAGAGTACTTACTAAACTTACTAGAAGTAACTATACTCTTCTAATAAATAAGATAGCCTTTATCCTTCTTTTATAGAGTACTTATATTTACTAAGTATAAGAAGAATATAGGAGACTAATATATAAAGAAAGAGATCTACTAAAAGAAGATAATAATTAATATAATAAAAAGGAAGATGCTTGCAGGAGAAGAAAAGAAGAAGAGAATGAGAAATATAAGAGATAAAAAGAGAATAAGTAAGATAAAGTAGAGTCACCTAAAATTAAAATAAATAATATATGACCTTACCTTACCTTACCTCTACTATAATAACCATGCTAGCAACCCTCCTTACTATATATAATCTAATACTACTTACTAAGTGTGATCTGATGCTACTTGCTAAGCATGATCTGATACTACTTACTAAGTATGATCTGATACTACTTACTAAGTGTGATCTGATGTTACTTACTAAGCATAATCTAATACTACTTACTAAGTATGATCTAATACTACTTACTAAGCATAATCTGATGCTACTTACTAAGTATAAATCTAATCCTACTTACTATGTATGATGGCACTCCCTTAGACTATAAGGATCTTTTAGTAAGGAGCTAGATAACCTACTAAGGATAGGCTTTATCTTAAGTAGGGGAGGATGTGATATTAGTAAATAAATATTATAAGTAGATTAATAATTATTAAGGTTAACTCTAGGTTACTAAGGTTAATCTAAGAAATCTCTGTAATATCTATGACTTATCTCTTAGATAGATAGCTAGTAGCTAGGTATAAATAGAAGATCTTACCCCAGGTAAGTAAAGAGGTATTAGCCCAGCCTATCTCTCTTCACCCCTGGTGATACTACCTTACCCTTGGTAATACTACTATAGAGAAGGACTTAAAGAAGAGATATAGTTATACTTTCTTTATATTCTTTATATTATCTTTAATTTTAACCTATTACTTATACTACCTCTACTAATATATATAGTCTATTTTTCTCTTATAAGATCTTATCTAAAATATTTATAATTATACTTTCTATTTATAATTCTCTAGATTACCTAGCTATAATTCTAGGAAAGTATAGAAGTTTTTTTACTCTTAATTATAAAAGTTCTTAGATATCTTACTCTACTAAAGATTAGAGAGAATATAGTCTAGATAAGCTATTATAATCTTAGTATACTTTTTCTTATTCTAATTATTAGCTTTTATAGTAGACTCTTAGCTTATAATAAAGACTTAATATATTATATAATTATAGGTTAAGTATCTCTTAGACTTAGATAAAGATTAGATTTAGATATTAATCTTTTTTATAAGTAATAAGAATAATTCCTCTTATTCCTAGCTTTATAGATACTTTCTAAGACCTATATCTAGATTATTATAAAGCTTCTAAATTTCTTATAGAAGCTATAATTCTTATTATAAATACTCTCTTATAGGGGTTACTCTTATTAACTTTAGATCTATTAAAATAAGAGAGTCTTATAAATTTAGCTTATTCTTAGAGTCTTCCTTTTTATAGGCTATCTCTTTTCCTACTATTTAACTTTATATAATTATAGAGGAGGGTTTACTAGATAGTTTTAGTCTAATTTATTTTTTTTATAATATTATTTTCTTAATAGACTAGTTTAAAAGGTTAAGTAATAAAATATAAGGATCTATAATCTATAAGAATTAGAAACTAATATAAAAGAAGAATAATTATAAATAGATTTAAATATAGATATCCTTATTTAAAGAGATTATTACTAAACTTTAGAGTTTAGTAGTTATAGATAGGGTTTATATCTTTATAGGTTATATAACTATTTATATAACCTCTTATAAGGAGCCTTCTTATTAGTAGGTTCCTCTGCAAAGGTAGCTTTAATATAATACATAATAGACCTTTGTGATCCTTACATTAGCCCTAGTAAGCTTAGGTATCCTATATATCTATACTTGATATATATTCTTTTAATAAAGTCTTTTTAGAAAGGAGGCTCTAGTTATAGTATCTCATCTATCTATGATGTGACTCTTGTGCTCTGGCAGAAGAATAAAGATCTGCAAGTTATACACATCAGGTGACAGTCCTGGAGACCACGTGTTCCAGCATCACCTGATCTGTGGCTTGACCACCCTGCGATTCTGCGGGAAGTCATTGGCTGCACAAGCAACATAAACAGCACAAACAATGCTTAGTCATGAGGAGCACACGGGCGCAGGCAGTCATCTGATTTGCTGGTGTCTGTTGGGTTGATTGTGATTTGTCACTGCCACATTTCATGATTGATTGGGAGATGGTTGAATCCCATCACCAGGTAAGGACAGTTAGTTAGGCAGGTACTACTAGATAGTTAGTCCCCCTCTTTTCCTATCTCTCTCTCCTCTCCCTCTTGTATCCTTCTCTATCCTCCTTTCACCACATCATCAAGAGTCAAAGAATCAAATCACAAGGGGGGAAAACAAAAAAAAATGGTCCACAAACCAGCCAAATCCTCCTCCGCCTCCCACGCCCAGAAAGGCCGCTCTCTCCCATCCTCCGCCCTGTCCTCGACCGCCCACGCAGATCCAGATCGCAAGGTCTACATTCCGCTGTGTTTCTGCCTGATGTCGTTTGCGGTGATGGTCTACGTCAACTGATTGACAACAATCCTCGAAATATAACCTAACAGGAGTACAACTACAACCATCTTCTCTCCATCTCCTTCCCCTCTCCATCTCCTTCCCTCTCCGTCAACAAACATCCGTTGAGCCCAGCGACGTCATCGGCGTCGTGGATGCCGTGGCCTGGATTCTGGGAATCTGGGCGTGGTTCCACTCAGAACAGCCCACATATCGCTTCCGATAAATGATAGCGATAACGATAGCGATGGCGATAGCGATAACACATATCCACCACCACAACAACTTCCAACCCCAATTATCTATCCCACCCCATCATACAAGTTTGAGCAAATGAACACTACGTACGGTCTTGCTACACTCGGATCTCCCATCTCCGACCGATCGCGTCGCTTCAACCGCGACGGCGTCGAAGCGCCATCGAAGGTCCAGCTGGGCTCATGACATTCCTATGAGCATGGTGGGGGAGAGTGCCCATGACTCGATGAAACGTGGTTGGTTATGTTGTCATCGTGACCGTGCATGGTTAAAAAAAAAAAAAAAAACAAATACATGCTATAGTCGACCGGATTTGGGGGGCTCGAGTGGCTCTCCCCTTGTCTGGCAACATATCAAGTCTATTCTGTCGAGGGGATCTGCTTTGAACTGGCAGTGTGAGAAGGCTTGGCTTTTTTTCTTTTCTTCGGCCCGTGCCTGGTGCAAGGGTTATATACTTGAACTCGCTTTTGTCAAGACCTGACAGGCCTTTCTTTTTTTGTTTGTCGATAAGTCCACGGCGGCTAGATCGATCACCTTTTTTTCCCTACGTTATGTGAGCTACGTTAGATACCATTTGCTTTTTGCCTTGTGCTAATTAGGACCATCATATTTATCTAATCATCTTGCGATCTAATGGCACTATTCTATCTATCCGCAATCCTCAATCCTCATAAGACATAGACCGTAGAATGTAGAACGTAAATCACCGCATGGTCACCAACTCCTCCGCACTGGTCGGGTGGATGGCCACACAGCTATCAAAGTCCTTCTTGGTAGCCCCCATCTTCATCGCGACGCCGAAGCCCTGCAGCATCTCGCCCACACCCAGTCCCAGAATATGCAGGCCCACGACCTTCTCCTCGGGTCCAACGCAGATGATCTTGAACTCGGTCGGATTCTTCTTCTTCTCGTCCGCCGGCAACACGTCGTAGTACATCGCCGTGAACTTGGTGTGGTAGATCTTGACCTTGTCGTCGCCGTAGCGCTCGCGCGCCTGCGGCTCCGTCAGCCCGATCGTCCCGACCTCCGGGTGCGAGAAGACCACCGTCGGGATGTTCTCGTAGGAGAGCTTGGCGGATTTGAGCGCGGGGGGTCCGAACAGGCGGCTGCCCAGTTGGCGTCCGGCCGCGATGGCGACTGTGAAGAACAAGTTAGTTTGATCGGTCACGAAACAAAAAACAAACAGAAAAAGAGAAGGCGAGCGAGGGCGTACCAGGAGTCAACTCCGCCTGTCCGGTGACGTCACCGAGCGCATACACGCCATCCGCCGAGGTGTTCTGGTACTCGTCAACGGCGATGTGGCCGCTCTCGTTGAGCTTGACGCCGGGGATATCCAAATGAAGGTCCTCGACCTCCGGGTGGCGGCCGACGGCCCACAGCAGCTCATTGACCTCGATCTCGGAGCCGTCCTTGCCGATCAGCTTGAGCAGGCGGTCCTTGCCCTTGCCGTCGCGCAGCAGCTGCACCTCCTGGAAGCCGGCGTGGTGCTTGTGGAGATGCACGCCGGTGGCCTCGTAGCGGTCCGTCATGGTCTTCTGGATCATGGGGTCGAACTTGCGCAGGAAGTGCTCGCCGCGGATGAACATGTGCGTCTCGACGCCGACGGCGGCCATCACGCCCGCCAGCTCGACGGCGATGTAGCCCGCGCCCACAACCGCAACCTTGGGCGGCAGCTCCTCGATCTCGAAGAAGCCGTCGCTCGTGATCCCGTGCTCCGCGCCCTTCACGCCCGGCACGACCGGCCGCCCGCCCGTCGCGATCAGAATGTGCGGCGCCGAGTACCGCGCCACGCTGCCGTCCTCCAGTGCCACCTCGATCACGCGCGGCTCAACAAACCGAGCGCGCCCGTGCACCAGGTCGATGCCCTCGCGGCCCCAGTTGCGCTCGTACGCGCCGTTGAGCCGCACGATCGACGCGTCCCGCGTCTCCTTGAACTGCTTGTAGTCGATCTTGATGTCCTTGGGGATGTCATAGCCGTAGTGCTCGCCCATATGCAGCGCCTCGTTGATCGACGCAAAGTTCCACGTCATCTTCTTGGGGACACACCTGCCCGCACAATCACAATCCTCTCCGGTCAGCAATAGAACTTCTTCCACCTCACCTCACCTCATCCCCAACCCATCAAAGTGCATCCAGGAAAGGAAAGGAACGGAAGAAAAACATACCCAACATTCACACAGGTACCCCCAGACCGGCCACTCTCCACAATGAGCGTCTTCTTGCCATACCACCCCGCCGCCCGGCGGGCGCTACCACTACCACCACTGCCGCCTCCCAAAACGATATAATCAAACTGCTGCACGTCCGTAGGCGCCATCTTGTCCGTGTCCGTAGCAGCGGTCGTCGAAGAAGAAGAGGAGGTAGAAGAAGAGAACTGTCTCGAAAGCGAAGCGAGACGAGACGCTGTCGAGGTTGCTGTAGAATCCAGGTTCCGAGGCGCGAATAGGGACGCTCGCCGGTACGCTGTGGTGGAGATCAGACGGGCTGACTGAGAGTGAGAGTGAGAGTGAGAGAGCGCAGAGGGGAAGAAGGTCTGTCGAGACAGTTGCGATTGGGGAGGGAGCAAGCGAGTCTTGAATGCCTGAGCTGGAAGCGGGATACGGGGAGAGCGGGAGAGCATGGAGGGTTTTCTGCTGCTCTTGTAATACAAGACTTCCGCTTTTTTTGGGGAAGGAAAGTTTCTGTTCTGTTCTATCGGCGATAGAGAAAGAACTGCGGCTGGTAATTCGAGGTGGATTTGATTGATTTGTCCCAGGTCGAATGAGGAGAGATTTGGGAGGTGGTCACTGCAGGAGGAGGGGCGAACCTGCAGTTTGACTGCTTGAGTAATCAAGAATGGTCCAGAAAACGGTTTGATGTGGAGGAAGCCGGATGCGGTCAATGACAGGAAAGATCCGATTCACAAGTCACGATAGTTATTGTCTAGTTAGAGTTGCTGACGCACTGGCTGGGGGGGTTATGAGTGATGAGTGATGACATGATACAAAGGATTATTATTATTGTTGTTGTTGTTGTTGTTATTATGTTCCACTGTCTGCACTCTACACCAGTCAGATGGGCTAGAATTGCGGTGGCCTCCGAAGTTTCGGAGTTGCAAAAAGTGCCATTCTTCATTCTTGCACAGAACAACTACTAAACACAAGGCGTATCTCGTATCTCAGCCCCCACGTGACGTGATTGATTGATAAGCATTTACGTTTGAAATCCCAAGAATCCAGTAAGAATTACAAATCTATATGTGGAAGTTTGAAGAGCCCCCCCCCCGTGGCTGGGTGTTTGTGTTGGTGGAGAGCTGTGTACATATCCCTGTATGGGCGTGTTGAGAGAGACAAATAGGCAAATCCCAATGATGAGGTAATACCATATTACATGTGACATTCATTACACATAAAAGGGAGGGGGGGAAAAAAAAAGTATTTGTAATAGGTAGGTGATGCAGGTCCAAAGCAGAATGACGACAGTAGTGGTGGTGATAGATGGAGTAGCACGATTGATGCAGCGAAGGACTGCCCCCCGACGGCGCCTGCGCCAGCATGTCTTCCGCTCGTGCACTCGATTTCATCCAGTCATGATCAAGAGAGGCAAGCGTGTATATAGCAAACAGATGATCTAAAGAAGGAAAGAGCTAAGGGTCATGAGAATGAAGAGGTCGTCTGGTTCATGATTGTGCAGCTAGGTGCGAGGGATCGTCAAGCAGGGGACTGCCGGGCACTGCATCCAACGCAACTGCATGCAACGCCGGTTTCTCGGGGTGCGGCAGCAGGCCCTGTTGGCGACGCTCGAGTCGCTCCTTGACCCATGCAGCAACTTCTTCATCCTCCGTAACCGTACTCGGCCCTGGATGAGTATCGGGCTGAGGCACAGGTGTCTCGTCGGCGCCATTGGCCTGGGTAGGAGGCTTCATCAACGGTGCAAGCCAAGGGTGCCTGAGTAACATGCTATACGAAGGACGTTTGCTGGCGTTCTTGTCCAGGCAGGCACGGATAAATGACTGCGCCTCTTCTGAATATCCGGTCTCTGGGAGAGTGGGTGGGTCTCCGTGCACAATAGCCTTGAATTAAGGTCAGTAAAAAACTTTCGAAGATAAGAGAGATCGCGTAGCAAAGACAACTCACATGCAGCTGGCTGAAAATGTTGTTGAATGTCTCCGGAGGATACGGGTATCGACCAATAGCACATTCAATCAAAGTCAGTCCCAAGCTCCAGATATCGCTTTGCACGCTGTACGTTCCACCGCCAGGCGCCCCGGATTGCTGCACGCCACCTCCGGCAATCCGTTCGGGGGCCATGTAGCTCTGACAGCCAATGTTCGTCTTGGCGATACTCGCCACCAGATTCCCGCTCACACCGAAATCGCAGATCTTGATCTGGCCCCGGGAGTTGACCAGGATGTTGGTAGGCTTCACGTCCCGGTGAATGATGTTGTGATCGTCCTTGAGGGTTTTCAAGCCCATCACGGTGGATAGCGCAACTTTTCGAAGGATGTTCTCCGGCATGCCGTCCTTGTAAAGTTTATCGATAGACCCTCCATCCATGTACTCCACACACATGTACACTGCGCCTTCCTGGAAGAAGGCCCCGTAAAAGTCGATGATAAACGGTGAGACGCAGCGATGGAGGATATCCAGTTCCATAATGATCTGCGCGAATTTGTTTTCGTCGAGTTCCAGACGGATCTCCTTCATTGCCATGATGTATCCAGAAAGGTTGTCCGGCGGTTTTCCGCCGGCGCTGTTGTCATTGTCGGATCCCGCTGGGCGACTGATGACTCCACGCAGCCCCATACCGGGCTTGCGCATCTGTGGTCGGCTATGTCGGACTTTGTACACTGTGCCGTAGTTACCCTTGCCTAGCTCATCCAGGCGCTCAACCTCATCCAGCGAAATGCTGAAACTGTGGCCCGACGAGAACTCGACACCGCCGCCGTGGAGGATAGCCTTGTTCTTGAAGTTGAGTGTTCCCGCTTTTGTGTCGATGTACTCCGAGTATTTGCTGAACGCTGACCCTCCAGTCGCATCCGAGTTCTGGCTGGATGAGTTATCGGCCGGCCCACTGTTCGAGCCGGTAGCATCCGACAACTTGAGTCCAGGCTTCATTCTTTTCGCCGCCAGTCCACCGGGTCTGGGGGACGACGATTGGGGACTTGAGGCTCCTGGAATCGAAGGGGAAGAAACCCAGTTTTTGGTATTCGGGCGCGCTGTAGGGGGGAGGCGTCCGGCAAATGCGCCTGCCAACGGTCCGTTCATCACCGACGGCGACTGGCCCGCCATAGGGCCAGGACTCCCTGACGCACCCGATCGGGATGTCGGGATTGTTCCGGTGGAAACCGCATGGGGTAGATGCGGGGGAGCGCCCTGCCGGGAAAGGGAGAAAGCTTTCATCTTCGCTAAAATATCCTGATTCAAGCCACCGGGCTGTGCGCCACTCATCGACGGGTGTGGGCGACCAGCGGTCCCCACGCCACGCCGAGCGGCATTGACCTGGCCGAGATGTGTCGAGGAAGCGGTGATACCAGCAGTCATGTTGCGATCCGGTCGCAAAGACGGTATCGAGGCGGAGGAAGGAGGGGTGGTGACCGAAGGGGAGAGATCATCGTCGATGCTAGTATCGGACTGATTATCTTGGTCCATTTGCGAGGGGGGGACCTCTGCGAGGCGATCTTGCTGCTCGGGCCCCATCGTAGTTGCGCTCATGATGAAAGGCGTTGGGACGACAAGGAGGGAGGGGAAGGGGGAGAGAGAGAGAGAAGAGGGAGGAAAAAGATGCCGTTCCCAGGTAATGTTCAAGCGGAGGACGGAAAACTCCAGAAACCGATCATGAAAGGAGAAAAGGCGGAGGCGGGGAGTTCAGATTGAGCTGCTGGACCTCGTGAGTCAGCCAAAGATAGGGAAAAGAAAGAAGGAAAGAAAAAAAGAATGAGACGACGAAAATCCGCATATAGATTCTTATCGCTGAAGCAGTTGTTCTCCTCCTGTCTTGTATGTAGAAAGCAAGGCAGATTGTCTCAACGCGGGGCAAGGATCATACCAAAAAACAAGGCACGGTAGAGCCACAGGCTAAGAAAGACGCAAGTGGCACAAATACAATATCAAGACGTCTTTCCTCTTGGACTTCAGCGTAATGCTTGAGTGGTAAAGAAGGGGGAAAGTAGAGAAGCAAATGAGTGAACTGAAAAATGGAACAGATGAGGAGAGAAGACGCATATGAAGGAGCGAGACGGAGAGAGAGAGAGAGAGAGAGAGAGGGAAGAGATAATAATAATGGATAGTTTAGGTAAGGGTAAGGTTGATAGATGGTTAGGATTGGAGATGACAGCCGGCCTGGGGCAAATCAATAATAATACCAATTAATTGTTATGATTATTATTATTATTATTATTATTATTGCTTGCTGTTGTCCATAGTTAGTTAACTGGTACCGGTACTGCCACTAACTACTATCAACTACTTGGTGGTAAACCAACTCGACCTTGGGAAGAACGTGTGGATGGTCGAAGTTTTTTTTTTGTTTTTTTTTTCCAACTGCCACTGTTACTAGGTGCCCCTGGGGGACTAATTTCGAAATCATTTATCTAGTTTGCTTCCGATGGCGAAATGCGATATATCATTATTAAAATTGTGGATGTGCAGATGAGTAGAGGCTTAGTCACTCATCCACGCCATGAGGATGTGGTATCTTCGGGTAGAGGAAAAGGGATGGTCAAAAGTATGGATGATCATGGACATGAGGTTCTCTGTAAGAGTCCATTATTGGATAAGTTGGCGGGAGGAAACACCAGCCAATACTCTGTTGAAGGTTTCAGATGCTCGCGAAAATCACCCCAGACTTCTGGCTTGTTTTGAGAGGCTGAATCTGAATTCAACTGTACCAAGATAGTCTACAGTTCCAGCGCAGGAAAAGCTACTTGATATCATAGGATTCGAATAGCTGCATTCCGATACAACATTCTCTTGTCATACAGACAATGACATTGATCGGTTGCCCTTCAGCACAATTTCACAATACCTCCTGTGTCAATCTACCCATGCTGGATGAGCCGGTTCAACCGACCCATCCGACTGTACCGTCCGGACATGAAACTGGGAATCCAGATCTGGTTATGCGGCGGGCTACGTCTGCCTCTTTGATACTACGGAGTATACCTGGGTTAGGTAGGTAGCTACGAGTCTGGGTAAAGTATGGATGTACTCTGTATGTAGATATAGCGTTCCATCACCCATATATGTCCCCTTGGTGACTTGGGTCCTCTATCTAGCCTTACGGAATATGACCGTTAGGATTCAACAGTTGGCCCTTGCACCATCGTTGATCATGATTACGATTAGGTAGATATCTATCTAGGCGAGCATTGACCCATTGATGTTAGTCTTATCTTCTTTGAGCTATGGATGTCGTTGTGGTGCCTCATATCTTGGTAATGGCCAAGTTGGTTCTTGATTTTGAGAGGACATGCCAACCCCACACTACGTCAGTCCAATCTGGACAGACATGATGATAATGATTGATCGATGCTATGGCGGGCATTTGGGTATTTTCTCGGATCCGATATCAAAACTTGCTTTCATCATAGCGATGCTAAGGTACCTAGGTACCTAAGTAGATTACTTCCTCTAGTCACTAGGCTTCAGTCAAAAGAAAAGAAAAGAAAAGAAGAAGAAAAAAAAGTACAGGTAGTCGATTGATACCTTAGCTACGGAGTACTAGTAATTAAAATTTGTCTCCCCGTCCATATAATCCATACATCGTAGTCCATAAAATTCAAAGGGAAGCCTGCCATTGGCGGGTCGGAGAGGCCGTATCGCCGATCGCTTAAGGTCGATACTTTGAGATGGTAAAAAGTAGAGAATTCTAGTTCCCCCGTTTGTGGCGCTGTTGGGTGGTGGATGGTGCAATCATGCAATACTAAATCAAGCGCGAACCCAGGAACGATTGATACTAATTGACCGTGATAGGACTGCGATCTGCCAATTATCAGCAGAGGATCGGGATGGAGGCAAATTCCGCGGGTTCTTGGTGTAGCACTAAAAAGGCATCTGCGTATTCGGATCAACAACTTAGGCATCACTGTCGGTTTCGATTCACTAATCTTGGGTTTTGTTGAACAGTGCAAATCGAATGCGAAATCCTTATTTGAGAATCGGACCGGGATCGAAAACCTTTTTGAGACATTGTTGCGCTGCTTGCGCATGCTTGAAGGAGCCTATCTACTATTGACGAGTCAAGCCCCAAAGGTACAGTGTACAACATAGTACAGAGTACATGGCATACATCACCTTGTACAGAGTAGCTCTTCCAAAGTTCAAAACCAGGCTCTTATCCCTGTCAAGTCGTCGCGTCCTGTCAAACAACTAATTAGGATAGACATCAGAATGGGCAAGTGATGACCTTATATCTACATATTTGACGGAGTATCTGCTGTCTATTCTTCCATCCTTTGTGTTGAATTCGTACTTCTATCTTGTACCTGCAGGATCCATTCCCTTCGCCGATCATGACGTGATGGACTGAGGCTTCAGGGTATTCTCCTAGATAGTCTTACATAGTCTCCCATCTCAAGATTATTCCTCCTAATTGAGTGTGTTAGACAAGTATCCGACTTTGTATTCTCTTGACTTCGAACTGTTTATAAGTACAGAGGGGATAAGTCCAGATGAAGCTTAAACGTGTTCCATCTCTTTTGGCTCTTGAAGAATGCGCCCAGTCCACTTGTGTGACACTAAAAACTCGTTGCCAAGACCCTGATAAGGAGTACGAAGTACCTAGAGGGCTACCAGTTGGTGAGATAAGAGGTCGCACATCATGATCGGAACATCGACTCAGCAATCCCTTACACATTATAGTGTTTATATGCGCCTCAACTAACCTTTACCCAAGCTCCATATCAAGATACTATTAATGCGTGATGTTACTAAAGCAGAGTCCCTAAATAATAATAGATACCTAGACGAAATAGAAACCTACAGGCTAGAGCAAAAAGTAAGGTCAAGATTGTCTCGTGCCTTAGGTTAGTTTGCTTGGATTTCCAACTAGACCAATCAGAACAGTCTACTGCGCCATTCCAGAGCATTCCTACCGCTGAGTGGATGCTTGGCACTTGATTTTGCGTCAGAAGTGGCTGATAGGTAATGATGATGAAGATTGCTGCGAACAACTTCAGTCGACAAGCAAACAGTAAGGTATCCGGGTTCTGAAGAGACTCAATAGAGAACCAATTATCGAACACTATACTATAGAAAGACTAGATAGTCGTTATATCATCACCCTCTCATTCTGGTCACCTGAAAATCTGTCGTGCAAGTCAACTCTGTGCATTGCTGGATCATTTCTTGGCGCTCAGCTCTCTAAACTCTCGTATCTCAGCGGTTCGCCATCCCAACACTGCCACAGCAAGAGCTGGCTCTGGACTTCCAGGGATCTCTTCCTCCATTGTCCTACATCTCACTATTAATTGTTCACTACTGTTCCAACAATCTCACCTCGTTATACTATCTCGCTGCTCTCCATTGAACCTCCTTTTCTTCCTGCGCCGAAAAGAATCCTCCTACTGGTTCCGCTCCCCCAGCTCTGTCGGTTTTCCGCGCCGAGAAGCTCAAATCCTGTCTCTTCCTTATCTACGACATCACTATTCAAAGAACCCATCGGCTTCCCGCCACCGGACAGAAACATTCTATTTGCTCATCCTCCACGCTTGCGTGATTTCGATAACAGCTCCCCATTATTTATGGCCATCTTTACGTCTCCGACAGCTCTACACAATGCCAATTCTTTGGTGTCCCGCCAGTTCGTGACCCAGATGCAGTCAGGTGTCATAAACCCGGGTGTCCTTCAGAATGGCGCTCATCCAAGCCATCCCTCCTTCTTTCATCTGGTGCTTCTCGTCTTCGAAGCGGTGCTGGAGGTCATCTGTGTCAGCTTGCCGGGTTACATTGCGGCAAAACAGGGCATGTTCGACGCGGAGGCTCAAAAGCTCGTGGCTAACTTGAACGTTACGCTGTTCACCCCGTGTCTGAGTACGTAATTCACTAACATTTGTGTGCAATTGAAAGGACTTGGGCTAACTGTTTGGAGTCTTCATCAAGCTCGGTTCCCAATTGACGGCGGAGAAACTTACCGATCTTGCCATCATCCCTTTCATTTTTATCGTGCAAACCATGGTCTCTTACTCCTGTGCTTGGCTCATCTCACGATGCTTCGGCTTCAAAAAGCGGCCAGCCAATTTTGTGGCTGCAATGGCTGTATGTATTCCTGGAAGATTGCCCGCTATATCGGTGTCTAATTTCTCTGTCTATAGGTCTTCGGCAATTCCAATTCTCTTCCCATTTCCCTTGTCATGTCGCTTTCGCAGACCCTAAAAGGCCTTCACTGGAACAAAGTTCCGAACGACAACGATGATGAAGTGGCAGCGCGCGGAATCTTATATCTGCTCATTTTTCAACAGCTAGGCCAGCTCGTACGTTGGAGTTGGGGTTATCACATCCTGCTCGCTCCAAAGGAACGATACCTGGAAGCGGCGGAAAGGGAACAAGGCGCCGCGCGAATCGAGCAAGGTCAAGCACGCTATAGCGACAATCCCGATCAGGGCGATCCAGATGAACCGCTTATCAGAACACGAAGCTCAGATAGTCTGACTGGTCACGCAACGGGCTCGGCTGGCGACACCGAGGAGTTTTCTTCTGGCGAGCAGACTCCGGTAAATGTGCGCAGTTACTCATACGCGAAGCTACCTGCTCATGCCGATGACCACGATGATCCGGACGATCCGCCGGCTCTCCTTGGGCCTCCTCCTCGCGGACAATTCCTTCCACGTCAAGCCACCCGAGGGGATATCTTATGCTTTCCTAATATCGAGCTATCGCACGAAGGTCATCGCCATAAAAAGGGTCCGTTCAAGCGATTCAGAATATATCTGCGCGAACGTCTTAACCGCATCACGGACGCTATCGGGCGCTGCTGGGAGAGGAGCACAAACGCCGTGTATGATCGTCTCCCGACTAGCGTTCAGAAACCTCTGTCAGTTTGTGCTCGCGGGATCAGACGATTCTTCCATGGTCTCTGGGAGTTCATGAACCCTCCTCTGTGGGCAATGCTGGTGTCAATCATCGTCGCTTCGGTACCCTCCTTGCAGCATGTCTTTTTTGACGAGGACACATTCATGAACAATTCAGTCACCCGGGCCGTGAACCAGAATGCTCAAGTGGCCGTGCCTTTGATCTTGGTGGTACTGGGAGCCAATCTTGCGCGGAACACTTTGTCTCAAGAGGCGTTGGAGGATATGGAACATCCCAAAGAAGAGAAGAAGCTGATCATCGCTTCCCTCGTGGCGCGTATGCTCCTGCCGACCTTGGTCATGGCTCCATTTATTGCCTTAATGGCGAAATACGTCCCTGTCAGCATCCTGGGTGATCCGATCTTCATCATCGTCTGCTTCCTGCTCACAGGCGCTCCATCCGCTCTTCAATTGGCACAGATTTGCCAGATCAACAATGTATACGTCTCGGCCATGTCAAAGCTTCTGTTCCAGAGCTATGTTGTTTGGTACGTTGTTTGCCGTTCGGGATCTCTCAGAAATGATATACTAATGATCGCTAGGATTCTTCCCTCCACTCTGATCCTTGTCATGTGCGCCTTGGAGGTGGTCGAGTGGGCCTCCGCTTCCGCCTAAAGTGTTTTTACGAGATACGATGACCACAGCGCTATGATATTTATTCTTATAGTTTGGTGTCTGGTGTCTGGTTGTTTTTTTTTTTTTTTTTTTTTCCAACTCCCTTTCTCAGATGCTTGTTTTACTACAGAGATTGGTTGCAACAGGGACAGAGATACCAATGGTTTTCGTCAATTAGGTAGATTTACAAAATTATTCTTCGACGGAACTAGTTGTCCAGGGAACTTGAAAATCACTCGGGCCAGTCTTGTATCATATCGAACTCGTATCTCATAACCACAGTAGACAGCCATCAAAAATTGCGCCATCAGGAACGTGATCCTGTCTTGGCGGCCTTATAGACCCGGTGTTGTTCAGATCACACAAGATTCCAATCCCTTCCTTGTATTGCCCCTCTCTTCTCTCACAACATCAGACCGCAGATAAGTGGAAAGAAAGTGTCCTTGCAACCGAATATCCAGTATGATTTCCAGAAAGAGCAATCCCTATGCGACAAATCTCAGTATGACGAGGATGGTCCCCCGCCTAGAATGACTGGGTGAATGCCCGTTTCTCACTCCCCACGCGACAATGCGGCTCCTGTACCCCAGAGCGACAAGATCTCAAAGTTGGCAATCATTCGATATAGTACCGGTATCTGCAAGATCCAGGGGCAAATGATCATATCGGTTGTTTCATTCCTGACTTCTTTGTATGTCTGGCGAATGCTCTATCTACCATTAAATCTTAACTCCTGCTGATACCCGCTTTCGAGCATCAGGTCACTCGGTATCAACCCCAAACACCCTAGACAAAATGTATATCTATCTAGTCGTTCCTGGCTCCCTGGCAAGCCACTGGTCCGGGGCTAAGCAAACATTGGGGTTGCAAAGGACGGTTGTTTTCGGGAAAGGGGGGGGTTAAACCTCGCACGATTGATTGCAATGGGCTGCTTCTATTTTCCGGGCATCTCATGAGGTGATACCTGAAAAGGGAAAATAGTCACCTGAGGCCACCAACAATTTCCTGCCTGATAAGCGACTTTTGCCACTTGCCTTTTTTTTTTTTTTGAATCTCTTCTTTATCAACCAAGCCAGTTTCATTATTGACATCGATTGCACCGTCTGAATCTCTGTGACATTCTATCGACATCCAGTCAACTCTCATCTGGGGAAAAAAAAGGTGCTTTTCCACCAGCAACATCCACATATATCCACTCTGGTGGGAATCTGTCAATCATCATTGCTCCATACTATCTATCTAGACCATCGGCTCCCGACCGCTCCCAAGCCCCAACTCCCAAGTCGCAAGTCTCAACCGTGTTTCTTGACTCTTTCTGTTGTCGACTCCCCACTTGACCGCTGTTATCTTCCTTTTTTTCTTTCTCTCTCTAGCTTGCTCTGTCCTTATCATTATCGTACTAACACAAAGCAACCGAGGCGATTCGTGTCCACTTTCAACTCCTTTTTTGCTTTCATATGTTGTGATCCGCCAGTGCTCAAGCCATTGGAGTTTGTTCCCCCTTTGTGGAAATCCTTGGATTGACATCAACCACAAGTGTGTGTGTGTGTGTATATATGTGACAGATCTGAGACATCTTTTCTCTTCACCGTGATCGAACTCTCCCTCGTCTCATTGGGGTCGTCTCCAAACCTCCAGGACCGCTAGACATGCCCTCCTTCACCGACCTAGGCGATGATTCGGGGCTGCGCACTGAAGGTAGGTATCTGACTGTCTTCAATTCGGATTTTTAGCCTCCGATAAGCTTTTTATTTCTCTGTCGTTTGTATCATTTCATTGGATCCCACTTGTAGTAGTCAGTACGCTGTAGTACGCTCACCATGCATCAATCAATGCTCGAGACAAAAGCAGCTCCGCGTCACATGAGCTCATGTCCCATTACCTATTTGCAACTTTCTACCCAATGCAGCAGCCTCCTATGATCAGTTTCCTCTTGACTACACACTTGCCACGAAGTTTCTCCGACTTCGAATTCACTCTGTTTATCAAATTCAATTGGCATGATTCACTATGGCGCTGGAATCTGACCATTTTCTAGATGGATTAAAGCCAATCTCCGGAACTGGTCTGAATATCCCATCTTTTCAGAAGATCCTAGCGGAAAATGGACAAGCAAGCCCAGCAAGTCCGGCGGCTGAAGGAAGTCCTGCCAAGCAGCACCGTGCTTCCTTCGCCAGGAAAGCTACTGCCCGGCCGCCGTTGCATACCACATCGCACACCCCCAGCGTTATGAGTGAACCCCGAACTCAGACTGAAAAGGATCACAGCGCGAAGCATACCGGCACCGATCCTCGGGACAGTCTCTTTCATCAAGTGTATGAGTGGCTTCAACACGAAAAGGCCAAGCAGAAGACCTGTAGATCGAGGTTGACAGGCACTACCCAAGGTACCGACAGCGATGGCGACGACGATTATTATGACGGTGTCCTACAGACAAGCACATTTCCTGGCGGCGAAAGCCCACCATCTCTCGACAAGCTTGAAAAGATCCTAGTACGGTACGCTGCATTGCGAATTGAAGGATCTGCACCTGGTCACTCCCATCGGGGCCCCACTCGGAAGCGTTCTCGTATCCGTGGGCTGCGGAGAGGCTCTGTGTCCGAGTCTGACTATTACGACGTCGACGCAGCGGCTCCCAGTGTGGACGCCCTCCTTGATAATTCCAAGACGCTCGCGTACACGGGAGGCAGCGCGGAGGATGGTGGTGAGGCTGATGATCGACGATCGAAAGACCGAGAAGCTTGGTTGACTTTCAAGAACGAGATTGCCCGTCTTGCCATCACCCTTCGGCTGAAAGGCTGGCGCAAGTTCCCCCAGGAGCTTGCCGGAGAGATCGAAGTAGTTCGCTTGAGCGGTGCGTTGACCAACGCCGTGTATGTGGTCAATCCGCCGAAAGCCCTTCCTCCACCCAAGGCTGAAGACGGATCGTTTTCCCTGATTCCCCAGAAACTTCCACCGTAAGTTCTCCATGAGCTCTTTCCAGGGGGGTGAATCTTAACATGTTTTGTGATAGGAAGCTTCTCCTGCGCATTTATGGTCCGCAAGTGGATCATCTGATTGACCGGGAAAATGAACTGCAGATTCTTCGCCGTCTGGGCCGAAAGCATATTGGGCCTCGAGTACTGGGAACCTTTAACAACGGCCGATTCGAAGAATTTTTCGAAGCTCGTCCGTTGACGCCGAAGGATCTGCGGGTTCCCGACACCATGAAACAGATCGCGAAACGTATGCGTGAGCTGCACGAAGGCATTGATCTGCTCGAAGAGGAGAGAGAGGGAGGCCCCGTAGTTTTCAAGAACTGGGACAAATGGGTTGATCGCTGCGAACAAGTCATCAACTGGCTAGACGAGGAATTGCAATCCGAGCACAATGAGGCAAGAGCAGCTTCCGAACCTTGGCGCCGTCGTGGCTTTGTCTGTGGTGTTCCATGGGCACTATTCAGAAAGGCTGTTGACAACTATCGGAAATGGCTTGTCTCCAGCTGTGGGGGAATGAAGGAGATCAAGCGGCAGCTGGTATTTGCCCACAACGATGTAAGACTGTCCATCTCATGGCCGTTTGTTCTTGTCGTCTAACTGACTGGTTATAGACGCAATACGGTAATCTTCTCCGAATGGAGCCCAGCTCCGAGTCGCCGCTTCTTCTACCTGAGAACAAGCACAAGCAGCTGGTAGTCATCGATTTTGAGTACGCGTCGGCGAACACACCCGGCTTTGAGTTTGCAAACCACTTTGTAAGTTTAATATGCGAAAGAATGAAAAGCGGAATGCAGGCTTGTGCTGACGTGAATCAGAGCGAATGGTGTTACAATTACCATGACGCGGAGAGACCCTGGGCCTGCAACAACAGCCTGTATCCCACTTCCGAGCAGCAACGAGTATTCATCGCCTCCTACCTGACACATAGTCCCGGGGTACGGTCGTCGGCTTCTCCATCCATTACTCCTCTGATGCGAGGGAACACTGCGACCATCACCCCTTTCGTTCCTCTGGACCTCGACTCGAACACCGATGCGGATTTGCAGCGGCACTTGGAGGTTGAAAAATCCCAAGGAGATGCCCTCGAGGCCGAGATCCAGTCTTTGATGAAACAGACCCGGATGTGGCGTGTGATCAACTCCGCACAGTGGGTCGCCTGGGGCATTGTACAGGCCAAGGTTCCCGGTATGGAGGAGAGCGCGGCGGATGTAGCTGCGAAGGGGTCCAATGGCAATGGCCATAGCGAGGACTCTGTCATCGAGGCAGCGCAGGTTGAGGCGCCGGAGCAAGCTGCAGCTGACGCCGAAGCGGACGAGTTCGACTATCTTGCTTACGCGCAGGACCGGGCGATGTTCTTCTGGGCAGATCTGCTTGCCCTGCGTCTTGTGCGGGAGGACGAGCTCCCGCCGCCGATGGTTGAGCTGATCCGGGCTCGCAAGATCGACTACTAAGCGGGGGAAGATGTGACTTTGTGACGGACGCTTCGCTCCGGCCCGATTTAATTACCCATTGACGAACTGATGGTTGACGAAAACGAAGCTCCTTGGTTCTTCAACAGCACTGCGCAGCTCTGCCTTGTTCATGATTCATCACACACTGTACATAGCATGCGTATCTTTCTCTTCATAGGCTTGTGTTTATTAGTCAAGTTATTCATTTTATCCCATTCCATTCCATTCCATTCCAATGTATTTCATGTCACTCATGCGACTTGGTATCAAATCATCCTATCCTTCTCAACCCCTCCACTCCTCATCCTCTCCGAGTCATCAACCTCTTCTGGGTCTCCCCCTTGGCCTGCTCCACCCACTTCTCATACGCCCCGGGCCCCTCCCTCTCCTTCAACCCCACCACCCCCTTGACCATCTCCCCAATAAACCCGACAAAATTCGACCTCCGCAGCGTATTCTCCCAGGCCCAGGCGCGCCTCTTCCGCGCCTCACGCTCCAACAACTCCGCATCGCCCGTCTCCCTCGCGCGCACCCGCAGGTCCCGCACCACAGCCATGAGATTGAACCTCGTCTCGCCCTCGGGATACCTCGCAATGCGCCGCTGCAGCACGCCGATCAGCTTGTCGGGGAAACTGTCGGCGTCGCACGGGCCGTGCGCAATCGGATACGGCCGCAGCCCGTCCAGCTCATACAGCACCCCGCCGACGGGGGTGTAGGCGATGAAATGATACACGTCGCCGTCCTCATCGTGGGGCCCGCGCACGGTCTCGTCGACGAAGGGCGACGCGCGCGCGAACGCGTTGTGCGCGGTGCGGATCGCCTCGGAGTTCGAGAGCGCCTCGCCGCGGAGGTCCGGGGGGAAGCCCGTCGTGAAGTCCTTGAAGGCGCGGAGCTCGGGCCCGATGGCGATCGGGTGCGTGCTGGTCGCGGGCGAGTCTTGGTTGAGGATCACGGAGAGGATGGCCTGCGTGCCGCAGGCGTTTTGGATGGTTTGGGCGGCGAAGAAGAGGTTCTCGGGCGGGTTGGTGGCGTAGGTGCCGTCGAGGGGTTGGGAGGGGGTGGGCGAGGGCGTTTCGCGGATCCATTTGAAGAGGAAGATGACGCCGTAGACGGGGCTGGGGAAGTGGTTCAGTGGGTTGGTTGAGGGTGAGGCCGGATGGGTGACGGGTTCTTACCTGAGGGAGCGTATTGTGTCTGCGTCGAGGGAGATGAGTTCTTCGAATTGGACGTCTTTGACGCCGAGGTTTTCTATCAGGGAGGTGAAGACGCCCTGTAGTATGTTGCTTAGGAGTCCGTTTGTGATTGCAGGTGGGTGAGTTTGTGTCTAGACATACCTCATCGGACTCGATTGTGCTCCAGCCGCCGCCGTCAGCCATGTCGCGGGTGTTTTTTTTTGGTTGAGGGTGAAACGAAAATGAGAGTAAGCAGCGAGTGTAGATAGGAACCGCTGCCAAAGTGACAGGACCTGACGACGATAAGATGATCTGGGAGAGGACAGTTGATTGAATGTGAAAGCTGTTGCTTGCTTGGAGTTGAGATGTATCTGCGTACCTGACCTACGTAAGGTAACCCAAACAGGCAAGTTTGGTTGTGATGCAAACAAGCTTCGACTCCAGAAGTGAACCTTGTCCCATCTCCATCTCTCTCTCTCTCTCTCTGTTAAGCACAGCATCTTACTCGACCTCCAATTCAATTCCCCATTGACACTTCCTTCTCCCTAGATAGTAGCTACTAGCTACATTTTACATTCTCGCTCGAACCCAACTATCATCACGCCAAGAAACACCAGCACCATCCCCAAATATAGTCTAGTCTAGTCTACCCAACCCCAAGAATACCTAACCACCAGCAACTTATCCATCTATCTATCTCTCAACACCATGAATGATATCACCAAGTCTGTATACATCTAAACAATACGAAACTAGCGCCAATCTCCTTCCCCCCCCCCAGTTTTTGGCCCCCGCGGCTTCTCGAACTTAAAAAAACTCATCATAGCTTGAACCCTTAAGGCCCTTTCCTTTCCTTGCCTTGCCTTGCCTTTTCCTTTCTTTTTTTTTTTTTTTTTTTTTTTTCCCGACCCTTCCAGGGAAGGGTCCCCATCTACCGAATACGAGATGTCCCCATTTTCCCACTTCCGAATACTAGTCTCTCTAGATGGTCCTAGTCCGCGGGGTCAAGTTTCATGATCAGCCGCGACGATCATACCCAGGACCCAGGACCCCCTTCGTTAGCGTCTGTGTAGCGGCGTAGCCCGTATTCATAAGATTAGGTTCGGTTGATGTTGATGTTGATGTTGATGTTGATGCTGGGTGCTAAATTTAGGTGGAGCCGAGGCTCTCAAGTCTCAAGTTCTAATAGAACTCTGGAAGAATGATGAGATTGGGTTGGGTTTGGCAGGATGAGTTGGGCACTGCCTCTCTGCCTCTGCTAGATGACATTCAGGTGAGATTAGCTAGTTGGGCCTTGGTAGGTAGTTTGTTTGGGAAGAGGGGGGGAGAGGAGAGGATGAGTTGATAATCACCAGTACAGAACTACAGATAGATGCTGCAGGCTTCTAAATATAGTGGCACGTGGGTGTGCTGGGATCGTCTCCGGATCATCGTCGTGCATAGTTCTAGTTCTCACGTTACGGAAGTCCTTCGTAGAACTGGGATGTGACTGTTTCATACTTTATGGGATATCCTATTTTTATAGACAAAACATTGTATGCAACACATCGTGTAACGAGAGTAGGGTATATTGTCCATCTTGGTAACATCGGATGCATAAGCATCCCCGCATGTTCCTCCAATGGTCGGATAACGTAGTCCTGCGAATCAAACAAGTCATTCGTAGCGAATGTGGGTATGTAGAAAGCTCGAGAGCTGAAAAGAGAAAAAAAAATAGAGATGCAAAAAAAAAAAAAAGCCGCCCTATCACCAGGACAGCAAGAAGCGTGATCTCCCGTCGTACAGAACAGGTTATACATGAGAAGAAAGAAACCTTCTATTCGCCCATGCGCAAGCAGCACCCAAACACGGAACCCCAATCGAATGCGTTTTTTTCGTAGATCCGCTCATAAATGTCAAAAGGAGGAGAGAGAAGGAGAAAGTAAATCAGGTGCAAATGGTTCCGGTCCAGGGTTCCGTCGTCACGGTCAGCGTGGCAACGTGCATCGATTGGGTATCACCATAGAGCCCCAGGCTCAAGTCCAGGGTGCCATCGGCCCGCGGGATGTCCCCGCAGAGCATGTTGGCAAGATAGGGCGGTGCAAAAGCGGGAGAGTGTTGGAGGGAGGTGGGTTCGGAGAGGAGACGAGGAGATGGCGGGTAGAGAATATGTGAGCCCGGTGCGGTCACATACGTCCCTGCAGTATCAAATGGCGAGCTGGCAATCGTTACCGTTGTGGGCGAGTGGAGGGGGGACTGGAGAGGCGGTGTATAAGGCGCATAGGTGGCGGAGCTCGAGGATGGTGAGGAGGAAGATGCAAGGCGATATTCATGATAGTTGTTGTTGTACGGGCTCGGTGGGGTTGGGGAGCAGTGATCGAATGACTGCCGCCGGGACCACTGCAGGCGGCTCTTGTATCTGGCAACGAGATGTCGGGGAAGGTCCATCAGGCTCATGGCCAGCTGCAATTCAGGGCTGAAAGGATCGGCCGAGCTCCTGGTCACGATGATGCGGTAGATCTCCTCCACTGAGTCCACAGATACGGGGCCCAGGTAGGCACCTCCCATGTCTGGAAACAGACTATCCAAGGCCACTCCGACGCCGTAGAACTGGGCTAGAATGGCTAAAGCGCCAATATCGGCATCTCCACCCCGCAGCATGGCGGGAGGGAGCCAAAACAGCCACTCTCGCAACGGCTGGACACGGTCAAAGGCCTGCTGCGGCGTTTGCGACAGAAGGTCTCTCTGAAAATTGCGTACAAATTCGAGCAGTTCTCCGACTCGGGTGTAGTATTCGTGGTTGTGAACGACCCTCTTTCGTACACTCTGAAGAGCAACAATAATCTGATCCAGACTGGCGAGGTCGGCGTCCTGGAACTGGTATCCTGTCATCATGGGCGAATTTGTGCATCCCAAATAACGCTGGTTCTCGAGGAGTACGGCGAGCTCCGACTGATGCTTCCAGATCGGATGCATTGCGTTCAAGACCTTGTCCCGTGAGTTTGAGTTTGACGTCGACCTTTTTGACATAGTACATACCGTTGTGAGACCTTGCTGTAAAGATGCCCATGTTTGCCTGGGGGGGAAAGGTCAGCTCAGCTCAAACCCCATCCGCCGAGAAGATGAATGGACATACCAATCAGATGCTTGCCAGGAGAGCAAAATCGACGCAGCGAGGATCGCCTCGCAGTTTTCTTTGGAAAAGGATCCAATCGCCTTGTGCAAGCCCTTGATGGCAATACCGCGATGGTGATATGCGAGCTGCTTGGTCTCTTGATTGCGTGTGATCCACGCCAGATGAGACGCCGATAGAGTCAAGATCGAGCTCATGACAAAGTCGTTGGAGAGGGCGAGGGAAAGAAACCTGGGAGGCAATTAGAAGGAAGCCCTTGACATCTCATGCGGAGAGTAAATCTCACAGCGGCATCTTCTGAGCCCAGATTGTACATTCTCCAAACCCCCGACGATGCAGATCGATCGACAATCCAATGATATGGTGCACCAAGCGCAGATCGGACCGAAACAATTTGTACCAGGTGTTGCGAGGATAATGCATGAGCTCGGGGAAGGGAGGCACGCCCGTGACGTGCCAATTCTCAATCTCCGTCTCGATCTCTGGTGACATGAGCAGGTCGGGCGTTTTGCGGGCCTTGGATGATTGCTCGCGTGCGATGGCAACGTCCATGTAGTCGCATCGACAGTTGTGCTTTGTGCAATTTCGGCTACATGACGGTCAGCACTCATGAAACGATCACAGGTCGTGGTAGAAGTTACCATTGCGGGAAGGTCTCGTCGCATCTGATGTGTCGTCTTTTGCAGGTAGCGCAGCCATTCCTCGACTTGGTGTGACTCTTGCGAGGAGGACCACCACCGGGACCGGCCATCGTGACAGTTGGAAAGTGAGAGTGGAGATCGGTATCGAGTAGGCTCGAGGTAGAGATGGTTAGCTACCCACGGCAGCCAGGTGATGATGATGATGATACAGCAGATGAGGTTGCGTCGCGATGTAGGGAACAATCAAGTGAGATGAACAATTAGGACAATGGACAAGTATAAGTAAGTTTGCAGAATCCTTTTCCTCTGGCGTAGGAGGCTGAGAAGCAAGATGCAAAGACGGAGATGGAGAAGGGAATAAGGACCGAGGAAACGACGGGAAGGAAGTATATAGTCGATCCGGGACAAGGTTAAAACGAGAAGACTCCAAAAATAACCTCGAGCCGCAGCCCCAGATGGAGGAATGAAGATATCAAGCAGATACACGTGGGGAATACGAGAAAACGGCAGAGTCCCTGGGGGGGGTTTGGGTTTGGGTTTGTGTTGATGGATATAGATGGGGATTTGTTCTAGATATGGAGAAAGGCAGGAAGACAAGAAGTCGTTTGACTGGCGAAACCGGGGGATTAAATCAAGACTAGATAGATAGTTGTAGGCAAGTCAGGACGGGGTTCATAATGCATGCAGCCAGTTTTTTTTTTTTTTTTTTTTTTCTAGTCCCTTTTTTTTTCCCTTTCTGTTTCTTCTCATTCTACTTTTTGTTTTGCAGTAGAGAGACCGTTTTAAGGTGGATGATCCTGTCAAACCAATAATACCTGACCTACTATACCCAAGGACCTGCTGTAAGAATGGTGAGATGGACGAACCATGAAATACAGGTATCAATACGTAGATAAATTGAATTAAACAGTACAGAGTATAGAAATAATACTAATAATAATAATTGAAAAGCTCTTGAGGGAGTCAGGGTCAGGGACTCTGAAGACTGGGACGCCGAGATGCTCGAACGCCACGACGGCGCACCGGTCAGATGCTGATCGTTTGAGAGGGAAATCTCTCCAATGATTTATGATTATTAAGAAAAATCAAAAGAACGGATGGAGGGGCAGAGGAGGACAGAAAAGGACAAGATTCATGGCACCAGATTGAAAAGAGTAAAAGGTTGGATATACTGGTGGGGATAGTTTGACGGGAGAAGCTTTCAAAGGAAGGTTCAGATACAGAATTACATCTATAAAGTACTCGGCAAGATGAGAGGGGAGATAGTATTATTGGTATTATTATTATTATTATTATTATTAGCAGCGGGAGAGGATCAGAGGTGACTCAGGTGAACAATGGGCAGAGACTTGTTGAGGGAGGATGCTTTTTGAGCCTCTTGAGGAGTAAGAATCATCAACAGAATAGAGTTGATAATGGGAAAATGTAAAAAATAAAATAAATAAATAAATAAAATAAGATAAAATAAAATAATACAAAAATACAAAAATACAAAATACCAAAATGACCAGAATAACCTTCCCCCCTGTCTTCAGCTGACAGGGGGTTATCCTAGGGTGCTGCTGCTTCAATCGGGGCCGATAAGTCATGGTCCGAATCACCTTTGAATCCTCCCCCTCCAGCCGGTGGAACCACATGGCAGCAAGAAAATACAATCATGAATCATCAATTAATTATCAACAAGGGATAAATTTTCAGTATTTCAGAATTCAGATTCAATCGTCCCAGAGAGGATCGAGGATTGGAACTCCGAAACTTGTGCTTGGACCAACTATTCAACAGTAGTAGTACTAGTAGTTTAATTGAACGGAGCACAGCCAAAATACTCGCCTGGATTTACTAGATAGACACCGAGACCGAGGAATTACTGTCTAGATACCCCATCGACTAGTCGAATCCACCACGGAGTCAACCAAAGGATGGGGCATCGGCCAGCGAAAAGGGTAAGGTGTCGAACTGTAAGCAGAGAGATAGGGCATCCGAGGGTTGTGTTCCCCAATATACTTCCTTTTTATCCAGTTATCTGTCAGTGTAGATTACCGATTGCTGTTTACTGTCAACCGTTATTATTATTGAGGCAAGATGAGCATGTTCACCTTTCCATTGCTCGAATAGGGGGATGAGACTCCATTCCAGTAGAAAAAAGAAAAGAAAAAAACTTCACCCCCGCGGTAGATGACGAGAATAGCCTAGTCAGCATTTGTGGCGTTTTCTCATGTTTGACAACTGATGATGTTGACTTTGCCTTCATTGCTATACAGTATACACTAATTTGGACCAGTATTGTGTCTGAGCCAGCTATTGACCTTCCCTGGGCTGAATGTAGTATGGACTTCGTTATTTATCAGTCTGGTATTCCATTTCCTTCAAAATTGGCCATGTAAACCTTCTATCCAGATTACTAAATCAAAGGCTCCTCATAGTCCTGCCAAGTCAGCGGCGCTCCTGGAATCCTGTGGTTCTTAAATCCTGCGAGTAGTTCTATGACTATCGAGCTAGATAAGTGGGCACTTGGCAGCGGGATGACAATCATAGTCATAGGCAACCATCGGAGTATGACTGGTCAGGACGGAATCTACACACGTCTCCATCTCATTCGTCACTTCAAGAGCAATGCGATGTCTCTTTATCGCAGAGCCAATGCTGTTCACAAACGATACAAAGCTATGTACGACACATACATAATGTACAATACTGACAATGACACTCCGCCGTCTGCACAAGAAGGCCAGGCGAAGATCGTCCAAAAAACGATGAATTCCTATCTTCTGCTCTGCCAGAGGCTCAGAGCGGCGCAGGAATGCCCTTAGACCCGATCCGGATACATTGAGCGAGAAACGATCAATTTAGAGTACAAGCTATCGAGTCGATGGCAGCTCCATTCCCGAGACAAGAAAAAGGGGTACTTCCTAGTACCGGTTCTGGCATGCTTGATTGGTTTGCTCTGGGCTTGACTGCCTATCGCAATTACACTTGAATCTGTGAAACTCCCAGAGATCGTTTTTGCAGACTTGATATCAAGACTAGGTATGGTCTTTACTGTAGTAGTCGAGACTTCGGAATGCCGAGTATATCCCCCAGACCCCCACATGGTTCTGGTCACGTTTCCCAGCAGGAAAAAAAAAAAAGGATGATGATCTGAGCTAATGAGAGTGAACCCTGTTCCGAACTTCCTTCTGATCTAAAAATTTCAGATGGTGAGCAATGAGCCCCTTCACCCTTGGAATGACCAGATTAACTTGCCGCTTCAACCCGTTAGAAATCAGAAACACAGTGAGCTCCACTTATCGAATTCTATCGCATTTCTCCGGGGTTCTCTCATTTCTGATTTCACGCCTATCCCCTCCAGCCCGAATCACTTCTTGTAGTGACTACTGATCCAGTTTAGTGCTACACCACCAAATTGAGCAAGGGCCATTCTAGGCAATATCAGTCGAGGTCGCAATATGCATGATCAGGACGCAGTCATTCTTGAACAGATTATCAACACCACGAGGCTTGAGGCATACTCAGGTTCTGTAGCACAGATAACTCTCTCAGTCAGATACGTCAGTCATCTGCCACGGATGGGTCAAACATTCAAAATGGAGAACCCAAAGGAGAGTTGTATCCTTCTGGACTAAGCCCTGTAGGGTCAAAAGCGTTTTCCACTGTGCAGCATAATCCAATCAGAGACAGGGACTCAAAGACTAAACTTAGTTAGCCTGGGGGCTGTGAGCATCTGGCGGGAAATCATGATGTCGATGATTCTGCCAGAAATCAGAAGAAAGCCAGCCTACTGTCTACTCCGTCGAGTTGTCGATGAACCGGTAGGCTTAGAAATCTTAGTTGGTGTGAAATACTAATAGCAGCTGCCAATCGTGTAGTTTTATGTATACTCCGTAGATACTCGAAAATTTAGGTGATGAGGGCCTGAGAGACACGCCCAAAGCGTCCCAACACCGTGGATGATCACTGCGGCTGAGCCTTGACCATTTGTTTTGGGTCAACCCGGTGAGGCGGGTTGAAGACCACGAGGGCGGGGCACACCTTAATCAGTCTTCCATTTTATCCTATTCCTACAGAGTACGTACTACGTAGTAGTAGTAGTATTATTATCCAGGGTTTGTATTTTGCAGATTACACATCCACATGCAGTTTTTTTTTCTTTTTCTTGCTACTGGAGGAATCCGCATGCCTCCTGACTAACTTCTCCGTGGGGTCTGTATCCAATCTGTACAGAATGAAGGAATCAGCCGCACCCTGTATGTGCTGCATACAGAAAGGCGTAGGCTCCAACCAGTTCGATGCCTCTGGGCCAATGTCGATAGTAAGTAATAAGTACTCCGTAGTAGGCTACCCATGCAGTGTCTGCCTATCTGCCTATCTGCCTACCTGTCTATATAGACTCTAGACCTGTGGACCTCTGGAAATCTGGACGGCTCTGAGGAAACTGATGGGGCTGGAATGTTGCACAGTTTCGGCCTTTAGGTGCAGACGCCAAGTCGCGCCTTGTGTGTGACAAGATATTCCCAGTCCGCCGGATGAAACTTCAGTCCGACCCCATGTCAGATCGGCGTTAATGAGGGAGGGATTCCTTACCGTCGTTCGTTCTGGAATGGAATAATAATGGATATCTGATAGTTAGTAGTGAAACAATACCTGGGTATTATTTCGGGAGGAACTCGGAAGCAAGGGTCGAAAAAAAAAAATTAGATAGAGAATTAAAAGCGAGCTAAGGGGAATTTTGGTTTGGGTGATCGGAAGGAGAGATGAGAGCTCCGTGAAGAGGCTAATCTAGACCATCACATCCGAATCTACTGTGTATAGCGTTCGGGTCTGGTCGGGTTTGTCTGGTTTGCACCCATTGTTATTGGACTGACTGAGCTAGGTGGTCAACTATCTACAGATCTCTGTCTTCATTTAACATTATGACTCGAAATTGAATGTGAAAAATCACCCATCAGCTGATCATCAAGCTGATTGTTTCGAGTCCTTGTCATGCAGGCCCCTGCATAAGAACATTGCAGGGAGATCTCTTCCCATCCATGCACTGTAACCACGTTTTTCCACCAGAAGGTCGATCCTTACCTTGACTGGTGGTGATCGAGGCATGTATCCATGTGGTTGTTACTGCTGAGATGAAATCATGGCGATATCCCTGTCCATTCCTTGTCTCCTCGGTCTTCACTGTGCTGGAACCAGGTTGTAATTTGTTGACATTTCACATCAAGGATGTTTGTCAGGCTATTTGTGGTGGCGTGAGCTCTGCGATCGAGCCCTGGCAATCCAAATGATCTTTGGAATCTGCCTTGCGCCTTCTTGGGTGATTCAGAGGTGACTCTCCCAAGTTGATAAGGGTAATTGAGCCTGAGAACTTGAGGTATGGACATGGTATTCAGGTATCTGTCTGGTAATCAGATTTCACAATGTGGTGACTACCTAGTACCTAGTACTTACGGAGTACAGTAAACTGGTATAGGTGGGGTGGGCCTTGCACCCTTGCCTCAGATGGCCTCTTCCTAACCATACAAAGCAACGTCGGAGGTTACCGATTCCCTCGTGGCCAATGACATCTACCCAGCCATTCTCCGCATTCGCTTGTTGCTGCCCACTGAGGATCTCAGATTTCCCGTTGGGCCCACCTCGCTCCATCTCGGGCGTGACGAGATGTTTGCTGCGTCCAGTAGGAAGCTCCCCTGCCTTGACATCTTGGCTCCACTGGCTTCGCTTCTCGCGAGATGGCACCTAATCGGGCTAGCCTGGGATCACCGCTTGTTTGGGTCTGTCAACTTTGTTTTTTTCTGGTCCGTCGCAACTCTAAATTGGCTGCGGAGACTGGACACTGGACGGAGTTTGGTTCATATCAGTAGTCACTATCGAGTATCTCGATCCCTTTCCATGTTTTCAACCATAGTACTCCGTATTATTTGATTGATACTCAACGGATTGAGTTGATGAAGCAAGAGTTAGACAGTCGATGGCAATTTAAATCTACATCTGTGGAAATGAAGAACTCGACAAACTGCCCTCCTGATCTAAACTCGGCGCAGTACACACCCTCGACGTACTTTGGAAATTGCAAGGGATGCAAACTGCAAAGTTGCTTACTAGATGGAGACACATGGACACCCCGCCCCATGCCTGAAGCCATGTGGGCTGGTAGGGTCAAGGATGATGGCGATGCAGGCGGACTCAGACTGTCCGGACGTATGAAATATGTCACATACGGTCATACCTTTTGTTCATTTTGCGCAAACCAGCCACTTGTCAGACCTCAACCGACTGGATGACGGGGGAGTCGGGGACCGTTCTCTGTTCTCTATACTGTGTAGTTCGCTCCCCAGACCACCAAGCAACAACATCCTGATCCCCTATCACTGCAATTCATACACACAGTAGTCCGCAATCTGCACTCAGTACTCTCCTCCTTCCAGATTTTCAAAAAAAAAAAACTCGCCGCATCCACAAAGAGTCAGTAGACAGTCGTACTTCCGATCAATCAGATCAGATCCACCACAAACATCCACCCACCAGAGCCTCAACAGCCAACCGCGCCAACAACCGCGCCATACTTGATACTGGCCTCTCCACGACGACAACCCTGCACCCTCTCCCAGCTAATAACAACAGCATTACTCAGTCGACGATTCATCACTGCCTCCCAGTCTCGCCGAGCCGCATCTCGCTAATTAGCCTACTGCCAGTAGACCCTGGTCTGTCGACTAGACTAGATAGATAGTAGGGATCTCAGAAGGTGTCGAGCTTCCAGTTTGATTAGGCCAGCCTTCTTTTTTCTTTTTTTCTTTTTCCCTCTTCCCCCCGTTCTGCAGTCTTTACCTGGTTGGGTGCCATGACGCGAATGCCAAGTCGAAAGGCCAAGCCCGGCTTGATTAGTAGTGAAGCATTGATCACCCATACTCCCTACAGAGCTTGCACTTGCACCGTGCAGACCTACAGATTAGCAGGCTGTAGTCGTCTATAGGCGAAAGAGAGAGAGAGAGAGAGAGAGAGAGGTCGCTTGCACTATCCTCATTAATTATCCACGGACTTCCTAGTAATCGATCCAGCATATCATATCATATCGCATCCATGCATCCATGCAACAACCGACGAATCGCTGATGAATACGACTCTCGGACAATACTCTCCCCCCGTCCATCTTCTTCTTTCTTCCTTCCTGCCTTTTCCCTCCGTGGAAACTGGGAGGTGAAGTAATTCAATCATCCTCCCCCGGAGCATCGACAGCATACGGACCACAAGATGAGCTATCCCCAGAGGAGGCCACATCTCGCGATGCCCGATGCCCGACGCCCGATGCCCATGCCAAAATACATACAACACAGCATTGCAATTACAATCGCACCTTTAAGACGCTGGACGATCAATTTCCCCTTCCTTCCGCGCGCCAAGCCAAGGATTTCGACTGCTTCTATACTTATCCCATTCCTCGGAGTCGGATCTAGACATGGGGTTCTAGCGGCGTTGATCTTCATCTCCACGATTGCCTTGATTGATTTCCAACTTCCAGGGAAGGGAAGTAGTTATGGAGTTGCGAAACATGAGAACAAACATGCGATACGGGGGTGGGGATCCACTGGGGTTAGATAGATCGATTGTTGAAACTTGAAACGCGGAGCTGAGGCCACTTCGTCAAGGTGAGTGTTTTAAAAATAGGTATACTGCCGTGAACCCTACAGGCTACAGGTCCTGCTCAGGCTGCTTCTTCTAGGTCGCGATCCGGGACCTGATCTTGATTGATCAGCGAAGTCCCTCTCTGGGCTCGGTGATAGGGAAAGGGTTCGTGATCGACGCTGACGACGGTCTCCAAGGACAATTCTGTCCTCTACGTCTACAGACCATCCTCGGTTCTTGCACCATCAATCACTACTGGAATTTATGCCATCCTCCATCATCGAATCCATAGATCCTCCAGGTATGTACACCGCCGGTAGACACGTCCGAACGCAAGTTGCAACCGCAATCATTAAAAAGTCACACGTCTATCATGTCTTACTAGCTACTATGGGGCTATCTCATAAATCTCATCATAAACAAATCAACAACCGGTACAAGATCCATGCCCGTGTCCTGGCCTTCCTCGCCATCCGCACCATCGTTACACTTCCATCGTGTAAAGCACATCCTTCTCTCTCCCTGGTATATACGCCACAAACATACTGCGGTTCCCAGACGCAAGCTCAAGATGGATCATCCGAGGTGGTCAGTGTCACTTTTCATTGCAGCAATCCCTGACCATCAGATCAACACTTCTATGCGGAACCAGACATCGCAACATGTGCATCAGAAGAGAAAAGGGACAAGAGATTCAAATAGAAACACTTAATAATAAAGGGGGGGGAATAAGTCAAAAACACGCCAGAGGTCATGAAGCAAACATGGATAGAAGAAGCAAAATGCTCACTCCACCCTAATGAATTGAACAGAAACACTCGCCAGAGTCAGAATGCATCAATCATCAAGGAAAAAGGAGAAAAGAGGAAAACGGGGGGGATGCAATGCAATTTCTGAATTGCGCCTATTCGCCAGCACATAGAGGAATTTTTTAGGAGACGAAACCATAAAAGTCATCAACTGCCGAGTCTAGATCTGGTACGTGGAGCGGAGTTTCTGAACCACGTGCGGCGGGAGTTGAGTGAGGAACGAATCGAAGTTGGGTATCATGTTCTTGTAGCCTTGCAGGACCTGTGATCGGTTAGAGATGCTCAAAGCAAAGTCAGTCGATTGCAAGACATACCTGTTCGAATGAGCTTTGAACGTCACGGTAGTCCTCCTGGTGGAGAGACTTGGCCGGGAACGCGGCAATGGCCTGGAAGTAATCGCCAAGGCAGGACTCCAGAGCCTGAGGGTTCTTCATCACCACGTGGTTGAAGCCAAGGAAAGCAGAGGCCTTCTCACGGGTGAATTCAATCTTGTTCATCGACTTCAAGAACACGCCAGCATACTCGGCCAGGTGGGCCGCAAGCTGATCGGAGCAGCAGAAACCCAATCGGCCGAGAGCCATCGCAGCATTTTCGTTGACCGAGTCGATGATCTCCTCATTGTTGATGATGACGAACAGGCCGCGATACAGCTTATCGGCGTACGGGGACAGATCCGCCTTCTCGGTGACCGCGATCTCGCCGCACGACCAGCACGCATTGTTCAGGACGCTGAAGCCCGTGTGACGGTCATCATCCTTGATCATGTCCAAGTCCAGCTGCTTGATCAGCGTGGGGATGATGTTGGGGATGAAAGGCTCCAGTTGGGGGAAGATGTTGATGGCACAGTCGCCCAGCAGAGCATACGACGACTGCCGGACCTCGTAGTTCGGATCTTCCATGCAGAAGCAGAGCAAGTCGAAGAAGCGAGGTTGAGAGCTCGCCACCAACTCGCCGCTCTTCGAAGGGTCGATGGCTTGAATAATGGCACTGAGAAGGTCCAGGCTGGTGACCAAAAAATCCTTGTCGGGCTCATCGATGGCTTGATTGTTGACGTGAGCAACATATTCTTGCAGGTTTTCGTAGATGATCTTCATGCAGCGTTGGAACAGCGGAGGGGCAAACGGAGCAAAAGCATCGCCATACGCCGCAGCAATATACCCCAGACACTCAAGCAAAGGGAAGAGTTCGCGCGATTGATCCGTTACCTTGTTATACCGGTCAATGAGCGCAGGCATGAGGATGTCGACCAGGTGCGGCTTCGCCAGCTCTCCCATGACACATTCAGCAAGCGTCTGGACGCAATCGTACAGAATATACATATTCCGGTCCTTGTACTTTCCAAAGCATTGTACAAACTGTCTCAGGATGGGTTCGCAGTAGGGAATCAAGTTGGCATCGGACTTCTCCTCCAAACTGGCAAAGGCAGAGGCGGCCGCCTCTTGTACCTTCTTATTGCCGTCCAGCATACGCCGCAGGATGCCCTCCATCATGGGTTCAAAAAAACGAGCCCTCTCCGCCGGATCGGCCAGGTGCGAGGCCCACTCCGAATACCGACCGAGACACCAACAGGTAATCTGTCGAACAACCGGCTGAGCGTCGTTCAAGAGCGAGATAAGATAGGGAACAAGTTCGGGAAGATGAGGGGTGACTGCATCCATACAGCCGTCTGCAACAGCACCCAGGGTGAGGACAGCCGCCTCGCGCTGTGGCCATTGCTCGTGGCGGAGAGTCTCTTTCAGATAGGGCAGGATAACCTCAAAGATGGGCTGGTGGTAGACGTTGGAGAAGACATCCAGGGCAGCAGCAGAGCATTTGCGCAGAGTCCACTCGTCCTCCGGGTCATCTCCGAACTCGGAATCCTCAATCTCACCTTCGCTCAGGTCGTCCTCATCGTCTTCCTCTGCAGATGCGGCGCCATTCGCCTGCGCCTCGGTCTTGGAAGTGTCTAAGCGGGAGCCTTTCGACTTGGCAAACTGGGGCCTCAGATCCTGCTCACGATCCTCCAGCTCGGCATCGTCACCCTCACCCGAAAGTCGGATGGCATCGTCCTCATCGTACACCATGCTCCGGAGCAGCACCGGAACAATCTTGGACATGTGCGGCGCCAGAGGCTGTTGCAGCTTGGCTTGCTCTCCGGCGACCAGCCAGAACTCCGCGGCGTCGAGCGCGAGTTCCGGATCCTCTTGGTTGTTTTGCTGCATGATGATATAGTTGACCAGCCCCTCCATGTGGGGGATGAGTTTCTCGGGGGCGAAATCCACCAGCTGCGCAAAGGTCTGGCACACCATCCGGCGCACATCGGTGCTCTGGTCGTCTGAGAGCTGGAAGAGCTGCGCGAGGAACAGGTCCATCGAGGCGATCAACGCCTGCGGTCTGTTGGGAAGGAAGACATGGATGGTACCCAGCGCCATGGACCGGATTTTGGGACTCCCGCTTGATGTAAACTCCATCAACTTCGGGATGATCACGTCGAGAGGCCGCTGGCCCTGGTAGTCCCGGTCAAGGACCTTGCGGTTGTCCTCGCAGACCTTGGCGAGAGCCGACATAGCGGCCTCCTGAGCCAGGACGGGCACGTCCCTCGATGTGTTCTCCACCAGACCGAGCAGCTCATTCAGCACCTCCGGCCATGCCAGCAGCCCGGCTTGCTGCAGTAACTCTGTGATAATGCTTCCGGCCGAATTCCGCACCTGAGCGTCGGCGTCCCGGAGGCCGATCAGAGTCGCGGATCGGATGTATGCAAGACTGGGCTGGGGAATTGTGCTGTATGCGACGCGGATCTTCGTCTTCAGATTCATCGCAGCAGCGAAGCGGACCATGTTGTATACATTTTCAGCTATGCCCAGGGTCGGGGGGATCTGCGGGGTGGAAAAGAGATAGGTGATATAATTGACATAGTCGGGGGAGGATGTCGCTTGCACCAGCATCTACAGACACGCAAGCTTCAGTCAGTAACATATTTCAAGCTCATCAACGTATACTCCGAGACGTAGAATATGAGTTTGTGGATAGAACTGGGACGAAGGGGTCGCAGAAAAGCAAAAGCAAAAGCAAAAAATAAAAAAAATTAAAAATAAAAAAAATTAAAAAATAAAAAAAAAAAAAGAAAAGAGAGAGATGGCCCACCTGTTCGGCCTCCTTTTGTGCTGTGCGATTGTAAGGGTTTAACGAGTCCCTGAGACAGCAGGCCAGCTGCCTCAATGGCTCATCCTGAGGTTGCCATTCCATTGTGCCAACGAGATAGGAGGGGGAAAACAAGCGACTGCGGAAGGCAAAAAGCCCCGAGGTAAGAGTGTGTGTGGTATATGGGGGAGGGGAGAGAGAGGAGAGGTGAGTAGTAGTAGCAGTAGTAGCAGTAGTAGTAGTAGTAGCAGTAAGTGTAGTGTAGTGTAGTGTAGTGTAGTAGTAAGTAGTTAGTAGTAGTAGCACAGGAAGACCCCGCCGTGGACTTGGGGGAAAGCGGTCTCGAGCCGTTTCTCTCTCCCCGAAGAGAAAAAAAAAAGATTAGGGGGAAAATGAAGAATTCGGAAGGATGAATAGATAATATTTTAAGAAAATGATATTATTATTAAAGGTATAAGATTAAAATAGATGAGATAGAAGCCGGTCTTGCATTAGAATCGTCTCGACTACTACGACAGCACAAAGGAGCAACCAGACGCCCAAAAGATCCCCTGAGGAAAAAAAGTTCTTGGGGGGGGGGGGGGGGGAAGAAGGATTAACGTAAGGAATGACGATAACAAGGTGGTATTCGACAACAGTACGGATACAGAGCAGGGTATTTAACAACAATTAGCAGAACACTGACAGACTTCTTGTCTTGCTAAGCTGCTTGAAGTGAACACAAGGATGAACATCGTATCTGAACCGATAACTCATATACTCCTTCATAAGCCGAAGTGGGCTGTGTAGCATCAAAGACTTTTTCATCAGCCCTCGAGGTTCAGTCGCAACGGTATTTTAGTTCGATATCTTGCCCGAAATGTATGGTAACGGACCAAGTTTTTTCTGCCAACATGGCGTGGACAGTATGGCGCCTGGCCCGTATGGTTATTTACATCGAGGGGTTACTGACTGTTCTGATATTACCAGTGTAAGTGGTGATAAGATGACGATAGATCCTCAACGAGAAGCATAATTATGGATATTGGATCTGATCAATCTTTCAGATAAAGGAGTTGTCAATGCTATCTATTTATTATATTCGGATGATCGTTTGAAATGCATAGATGACATATCACGAAACACGAAAGGCAAAAGCCAAAGCTATGCAAGAAATGTGCTCCATCCTTGTCGGGTGGGCGTTATATATCTTCGCAGGAAGAATCAGTCCAAGAAGCCCACAACCATTAAATCTTCGAATAGTACGAAAACAAAAAAAAAAAAAAAAAAAAAAAACTTCAAGAGAAAGGGAGAGCTTTCTTCAGCGACCAGTATAACCATCCCTGTCTAAACATCCAAACTCATGCCCAAACCAACTTCTTGATATCATAAACCAGGTGCTCCAAGATTCCAGTACGTTTCTTGGCATCTTCAAGTGAGATGATCTCTGAGTTCTCTATCACAGACGGGGGCTTCCCGTCAGCAGAGGGCCGTCCATCGCCGGCCATCATCGCGCGCTCAATCTCTTCGCAGATCGAACGAACCCAGTCGATCTCGCTCACCGTGACACTCGCCGCGGCCTTGTTCCGCGTGACCGAGTTGGACAGTGGAAGCGCCTTGAAGGCAATAAATCGCGTGGTCGACTGCTTACTGCCTCGGAACCATGAGTACATGTCCCATTCGCCACTGGCCTGGGCGTTACTGTCCAGAGTCGTGGTGTCTACCTGGCTTCGCAGCGAACGGGTGTTGACGCGCAGGGCGTTCTCGCCCCCCTCACGATACTCGATGACGAGCCCGACATTGCTTTGCTCATCGGCCTGCGACTCGGTCAAGATCGAGGTAATGTATGTGCCGTAATTGAGACGCGATATCGAGCGCAGATCGATGCGCTCGAATGAGATCACCTTGTCGATATTCCAGTCAAAGCGGCAGCTGTAGACAGCAGCATCAGTCAAGAGCAGAACTGCTTCCTCAAACGGTAGCGTTCGGAGTGTATTGGGCTGCCGAGGGGTCAGCATGGCCCACCCCCCAAGGAAATCCTCTGACTGGTCACTAATCACGATCCGGTAGCTCGTATCGATCGCGTTCTGACGGAGTTTCTGAACGGAGATCCCTGGATCCGCAGTCTGCATTTCCATCGCAAATTCCTGGAATACCTGTGTGGAGACATTGCCCAGCAGGTAATCGATACACGCTTGTGAGAAGTAATCATTGACGATGTTGTTGTAGTATCGAGACAACGTTAGTCCGAAGTCGTTCAACGCGCCACGGTAATCGCGCTTTCGGGTCCGCGTGTAGTCACCTTTCAACGCGGCCGTTGATGAGTATTGTTTCGATATGGCATCTCCGTTGTCCGCCCAAAGGGTGTTAAACCACTGGGTCGAAGAGTCGCCGCCCAGATCGATATCGATACCCTCATGCTTGAGTTCGCGCTCAAGGGCCCATTGACCGAACGCACACTGTGCAACACCTGTGCGATCCAAACAGTCCATACAATTAGTTCGCACAATACCCGTCTGATTTTGAAGGACGCTGTGATTTTGCACAATCGTGTCCCTGTAGTCATCCAGCACAGGCTCCAGCCGCTTCACAAGCCGGCTGACGTTCTCGAATTTCATTCCGCGGCATTCGTTGTGGAAGTCAAACCACTCCATACCAAGGGGGGAACCTTCGATACCTCCGGATTCGTTGAGTGCTTGGGCATATTTATCGTACTGCTCGCCGAGTTTCAATTCGCCAGCCTGTTTGTCGATGAGAGAGACCGCCTGGATCTTCCCGTACCTACGAGCCAAATTCCGGAAATGCCGGTCGAAAGCCAGTTGATTCGTGTCGGTTGAGTGGTGAAGCACAGGAACTGGCTTAAAAGCATATGGCGACTGAGAAAAGTAGAGAGGGATGGACCCACGGATCTGAAGGTAGGAATAGACATTATGGGCCGGGTCCCAGTCGGGAACCGAGAGAATCTGCTCCGTCTCGACAGTGTTGGCCGTGTTTCCTTCGTCGTCGACACCACGGCGAAGATATCGTAATCCCGGCCGCTTGATTGACCGTCGAGATATCAAGGTCAAAAGGTAATTCCGCTTTTCCGCATCGACATCAATACCCTGCGCTTCTTGCTTATCGCCCAATATCTGACCTTCTGTATGCTGCTCAGTCGCTTGATCTGTTTCCGACTGGCGATTCTCAGTCCGAGCAGCCACAGTAAACTCTCGTTGGCCGACGAAGCCCTGCATAAGAGGCAGGATGAAACTATGCGCATCCATTTCAATGAACGGACTCATTAGATTCTTGTTCCAGAAGTACTGCGATTATGATATATTAGCTAAGCCGTTATACCTGCCCGAAAAACCTTCTGACGTACCATTTCATCCACAACTCTATGCAGAGGGAGATGGCCATTACGCATCTCCTGGGCGCTGATCGATCGGGTGAGGTCGTAGTCGTATGCGAAAAAGAAGTTCTGGGAAGAGTAGATAAGTTTCGTATACCGCAGCAGCTTCGGCAGCAAGTCGACCGAGGAATTCACAGATGGCGGCTGCTTCTCGTCCTCTACAAGTGACTCCGCACTATCCTCTGCGACAGCATCGGGCGCAATCGTCCTTTGCACATCGGATAGAGAATGCAGCTCTGTCCCTAGATCATTCTCTTTCCCGAGCAGTATCTCCGCAGTATCGTGGCCGACATTGCTCAGCCCAGGTAGCCCGAGCGTCTTCCTGGACAGCCAGCTTGCCGCGAATCGCCCGAACCGCAGCCGCTTCCCAATCACTTCTTCAGCGATGCTGCCGCTGCGGTTTCGGGGCGGAGGGGTCTCCTGCGTCGGCGACCCCGGTACGCTGACAACGTCGGTCTCCTCGTTATCCGTCTCAGTGTCGGAGATGCTGCCCTCGGAGGCTGTTTCGCCCTGCCCGGCGTCATCCTGCAGAGCGTTTTCCCTCGCCTGGGCGATTGCCTGACTGGCGTCTGTCTGCGACGATAGCGGAATGATCGCAACGTTTGTAATGGTGTAGACCGGCTTGCCCTGTATCTGAGCGACCTGCTGGCGTTGCGTTATCGAGATGAGAAACGAGTATGACGCAACGGATAACAGTCCTTGTTTACAAGCCGGTCAGTAAGTAGCCGAGGTTCATCAGAGTCAAGCATCACGCAGCAGATTGCATTCTGCTCCATCGCCAAATGGGGTCGCAGGAATTGGACAATACTGCACGCAACCAAACAGCTCAATAGGTTGCTTACCGACAAGACCATAAACGTCTAGCCCAGCCTCGTTCCTCCCCGCAGTGTCCGATGCAGACGCCGATAGCGGCGAGATCTTGTTGGTCTTATAGTCAATCCGCAGAGCCTGTGGCTCGTTATTCCCACCGAAGCGCCCTCCATTTCCATGAGATTGAAGGATCAGACCATCAACGGCCGCGAAGATAACCAACTTGCGCAGCAGACCGGGCATATCGCTGGTTTGGATTCTGCGCGGGGGAGGGCGGAGAATGGGGTGACAACAAAAGTCTGTGAGGGAGGAAGATGGACGAGCTCCGGTTCGGATGTAGTTGTGTTTTTCAAGTCATACAGCTGAGATCTTCAAGTCTGTCACACTGTGTCAGTGCCTGCATCATTCACGCGAGCTGGAAAACATGGATTCATCGCATTGGGCTTGTTTTCTGGGCTGGCTGCACAGCTGACCGGCGCCAGCCCAAAGCCAGCCCACTCTGTCCGGCGGGAGAACGAGTTACATCATAGGCAATAAAACAATTCATGGAAGTCATGCAGAGCCTCTGATAGTCTCTACATAGATAGTAAGTATTCCTGATATATGATAATAAATAATATTTACCGAGTAGATATCTTTCGGGTATAATAGAAGAACATTGAACAACTACAAAATTGCAGATCGATATTCTATCAAAAAGGTCCAGGCTGAGCCGTTGACACAAGATCTATCTCAAAAGTTCACAAAATGCGTATATACAATTCCTGTTGTGTAGTCCCGTTACCCCAGCTCAGGGCACAATCATTCCCAAAACCAGCTCCCCGTGAATGTCCAAATCAATCATAAGGAAATCCGATGTGCCCTCATCCTGGGTATCTCCTGCGCCAGACGAAAAGTAGAAGTACAGTTGCATCTCTCGACCGCCATCAGGTCGAGTCTAGATACCACCAAAATCAACGGATGAATCCAAGGTGAAGCGACAAAAAGTGAAAGGTGAGAAGTGGAAAGAAAACGTGAAAGTAGTGTCCTTTTCGTCGTGAAGGAAACAAGAAAGATGAGAAGAACCAAAATGAAACAGCTATGGGATTCGTCACATGTTATCGTTCATGTTTATCGGGGCGTTGAGTGGTGCGATCGATCTCTTCGCTTCGCTTATAGGTAGGCCCTGGCCCTCCGTCGCTTTCTTCCGTCAATTCCGAGAGCCCAAATGCCTGATTTTCGACGTCGTACGACCGCATGAGCCCTTCGCGGTCCCCGCTCCCGTTCATAAACGCCAGGCTGGAGGAGCTCCGACGATGAGGTTCGTTGCTTCGGCGGGATTGCATGGATCGCCGGGTCTGGAAGCTAGCAATGCCATCCGTGGGCACGCCATCATCGTCGAGTTTCGAGCTGAGCATATGTCGTCCATCGGGATCGTGTCGCGAAAGGTTTAGGAGGTATACGCCCGAGAAAATAATAAGGAATCCGCAGAGCAACGAGATATTGTTGACAGGTTCAGTGGTATTGAATCCTTTGAAGAGGATAAACGAGGCGCACAATGTGGCCGTGGTGAATGTGACATAGTAGAGAGGATTGACACTGAAATCGTTAGCACTGACGCCCGGCTTGTCCATGTTGCTGACCACTTACATGGATGTTGAGAATTGATTCAATGCCTTGTTGATGTAGTTCATTTGCGTGAGAATGCAGAAAGCGGTAACGATGAGGAAGACGTAAGTCGAGGCATGGGTGAATTGGTTGTTGCCTCCGATGGTAAGTTTCAGCGCAATACCGAAAGCTTTCACCGACATGACGGAGACGGAGCCAACTGTTGAGCAGATCGAGATGTAGATCAGAGGATTCTTCTTCCCATACACTGGCGCCACTCGGTATATCATAAACGTCGAAAAGATCGCTACGGCGGCGCAATAGATAAGGAACCCTACCGAGGGAGGTTAACCACCGCACCAGATCGAAATTGAATCGGAAAAGAAAAAGGCCCAGGGGAGAACACACCTGGCTGGATAGCATAGTCGAGAATCTCATCAATTGTCTCGACCGGCTTGTCTGGCGGCGCATGGAGAACAATGACAACCGAGCCCAGCAAGCACAGAGCACAACCCATCTTCCCCAAGACACCCAGCCTCTCATGAAGGAAGTAAGATCCTAGGACAGCACTTCGCAATGATATATCAGCTTAATGCACCGCGGACTCGATTTTAACCCAAGGATTCTTACCCAACCAAGACACTCAGCGCACCAAGCGGAGTGACGAGGATGGCGGGGGCGAACGCATACGCCGCGAAATTCGCGACTTCTCCGATGGCCACTGTAAAACAGCCGTTAGCTATTTCATGCAATCCCTCCAGACAGCAACCAAATGGAAAATGGGAGAATATGGGCGACTCTGCGTACATGTTGTGACACCACCCCACCAGATTGGGCTTTTGAGATATGAGAACCCTTCTCCTTCGAATCCATGTCTTTCCGAAGCGTGCATTAACCCCTATTGTGCAGTCGGGTCAGCCTTCCCATTCGGTACGGTGGCAGATGTCATCGGCGGGCGGTTTAGGTCGGTTCGTTTGCAAGCGGAGGATAAGGCACCGACCTTCTTTGTGATGACGAAGCTTGTGCCTGCGGAGTCGGTCAATAGAAGCTTAAAGGAATCTTCGGGAAGAGAACGGCATACCTATAGCCAATGTTGATAAGATGGCCAACAATAGGCCGATATATCTACGCTCCAGAAACCAGCCGGTTAGCAAGGAACTGTCCCAAGGAGAGTTGCGCAACAGGTACACCGTACTTTTCCGAGATCATCCTAGTGAAGTTTCAGGAGCTGATTGCTCCTTCTGCAGTAAGGATCCCAATGCTAAAAAAAAAGGTGTGTGCAAGAATGACAGTGACAAGCAAGATGAAGTCACTGGGGTCCTGGACAAGTGTTTGGATGAGACCGGTGGAATGGTCGATGATTAGCAACGCAGCATCCGAAGCGCGCTAGCAATGGTGGACAATGCCAGGGACCGAGAGGAACAACAAGCAAGTCAAGAAATGGAATGGAACGAATGGTATTAGCAGAAAAACAGTTGAGCCAGCCCAAATTTTCTGCAGGGTTGTTTTGCGGGATCGTGAGCGATAGATAGATAGATAGGTAGGTGGTCGAGAACTCCTGCGATCGAGTGAGAGAGAGAGAGAGAGAGAGAGAGCGAGCGAGAGAGTGTGTGAGAGAGGGAGAGCTTTACACAGTACAGTTCCAGATCCAAGCCGTGGTCTGTGGTCCACTGGTCGCAGTTTAGTCTTAGTTAGTTAGTGTTACCATGCTAGCCTGGGTGCCTGCGCTCGTGCGGTGGGGTTTTCCTCCCTCCTCCAACGACGGAATCGGGGCTACGCTCTGGATGGACGCGTAAGAGGCAAGACAATGGCAAAATCGAGTGACTTTGGTGCGGCAAAAGAGTGATGAGATAGAGGACTGACTAGTATTATTATTACTGTTCAGGAAGAGCCATGAAATGGATTGATTGCACTTGGAATTGAGAAGAGATAGTCAGTAACAATACGTAAAGGTGCAGTCTGGAAGGAACTATGTCTACGAGAGTGAGTCTACTACTCCGTACTGTACATAGATAAGCCCAAATCGTTGAGAAACACCACCGGTATGGTGATGCTTAGTCTAAAATCCTACACAGTAAAGTCTCGAAACTTCTGCTGACCAAGTGATCATACACAAGAACACACCAACCACCCAGGAACCATGCGAGGTTGCAGAACAACCTGGCGCTTTTCCACAAGGCACACAACTTCCTGCCTGGGCGCCTGAAAAGAAGGGCAACGGTGGCCTTTCAACTTTCAAGCCAATAGCATTCCCATTCCTCACGGTTTGGTTGGCTCATCATTCCAGGCATTATTCCTTTAGTCCAATCATCAATCAGTCTCTCCCAGAGTCCTTTCGAAGGGTCTTTCATCCGTTTCGCCCCCCCTGTTGAAAACTGGTAGCCCTTCCTTTGTGGCTCTCCTTAGCTACGATCGGCGTTTCACCCACGGGCATCTTATTTAGATCTTGGAGTAGCGAAATTACACGGCTGCGCAGTGCTAAGAATAACCCGCATCTGGAATGCCGAGGTGCATACGGATAACTAAGCTACCTCTGGTTGGCATTACTCAAGAATTCCATGCGATCATCTTGGTATATCTCCTCCAGCTCCAACCGACGACAGTAGTGGTACTAACGGACTGCCATTTAAAGCCAAGTCGCTTGACTATTTGCCCCCTTTCATCAATATATTCAATGAATATCGCGCGAAGGAACAATGACGACGGAGTAGATAGCCCTTCAATGCGTTTCCAGGAGCCTCCTCCTTACAGAAGTACTTGGTCCATCTCCGGTGTAAAGTAGGCAGGACATACTCAAAGGGGGACGACTCGCCGCTACTCCAAAACCCACTGGTATGCCCCTTAAGATGAAAAATGCAAGGGTCGAAAGACGTCCTCAACTACTGGTATAGCTTCGAATGACCTTGGTTCGAGCCGTTCCGGAAATAGATAGAAACCCGGTATCATTTTGTCCTGTCCAGCACAGCAAACGCGGGAGAAATAATCAAACCATCACGCCGACACCGATGCTAGATGCCATCTAAAATATCAAACAAGGGATATCTCTGTATTGAGCATTGCAGCCACGCCTGATCCGGGCATGGCGACGCCCAGAGTAAACCTGCAAACCGAAGGTATCTCGTATGCCAAAACCCCATGGAAGAGCAGAAACGACAACACATATACTTCAAACACACAAAAGATATCACATACAAACCTGATAATAAGGCAGCCAGAAACTTGGCTTGCCTCCGGAGCACCAAGGATGCGCCTCTGGAAGGATACCGGAGACGGGAGAAATAATTCGAACAATAGCAAGATGAAAAGAGTGGTACGTACCTTAATGAACCATAGATTGCTGACCTTTTATCCATAATGATCTCCTGGATGAATTTGCAGTTATCAGCACGTGTTGTAGGCCTGTAATCGAATCCAGCGCGGGATGGACAGCTGGTAGTGTTAGATGGAAGTATGAGCGCTTGAATGTGATGTATGGGTGCCAGGGAGGGGTTCATTGTGAAAGGTGAAGGAATTAGAATCACGAGGATCGAGAGCGTTTGAGGTCGGGGGTTGACGCTTCCGCGAATTCGATTTCGTCTTCCAACGCGCGAGGTCGTTTCGTAGAGCCGCTCGCATTTGGTTTCGAGTCAGCAGCCGGTGGTTCGCTGACTGCCTCTGGAACATCAAGAAGCCCCAAATCGATATATTCTTCGTCATCGAGTGGCAACTCTTCGATATCCTGTTGAGAAACGTGGGACTGGGTAGTGTTCTCAATATCCTCATGCATCTCCCCGAATTCTGGAGCATTTCCATCCTCGTTTTTTCCATCCCTCGAAGGGCTCCGGAATAGCTCTTCTGCTAGGTCAAGCGAGTCATCGGTAGCGTTAGGAGTGTTTCGGCCTCTGGTATTTTGCAACTGCAGGTCTGCAGCAGAGCCTTCCTCTTCGTGTAGAATATCGCCGGTATCAGTCACAGAGGTTTCTTCAAAGGCATCTCCGTAGTCTTCAGCGATACCGGCGGCCTTGTCAGCCCATGGGGCCTGATGTTCCGGTTGTTCAGCGCGGGGTTCTTCGACACTAGAATCAGTTGGATCACCAGCATGTGGTTGAGCAGCATGGTCACTCGATCCATCAGCAACAACAGACTTTTCATCATGGTCGCCTTCAGAATAATCTTCGCCCTCGGTTTGCTCAGTTGCATCGTCTTCAGCTGACTCATCATGAATTATCAAGTCACCAACATCTTCCGCATCAACCTCATCAACTCCTGGCAAGTGGTTCATAGTCGCAGTGGTTTCTGTCCTTAGCTCTTCGGAGTCGTATGATGCTTCATATGGAGAACCAGAAGGACCAAGCTCCTGATCAACAGTTTCGGGATCATCGGCTTCAACCTCACCCTCTTCCTCAACTTCGCCCTCTTCCTCAACTTCGCCCTCTTCCTCAACTTCGCCCTCTTCCTCAACTTCGCCCTCTTCCTCAACTTCGCCCTCTTCCTCAACTTCGCCCTCTTCCTCAACTTCGCCCTCTTCCTCAACTTCGCCCTCTTCCTCAACTTCACCCTCTTCCTCAACTGCGCCCTCCTCCCCTGAATCGGCCCCAGGAACGGCAACCTCTGAAGTAGCTCTGGTTTTCTGATCTACCAAGGCAGAGGAATCGCCTTCTTCGGCTTCCTTCACGTGAGATGCAGAGCTGGCGTGCTGCACCTGATGACTAGGCTCAACTTCTTCCCCTCCAGTCTGAGATTCATGGACGTGGCTCTCATGATCATCGCTCTCATGATCATCCGCTGCGTCCTGGTGGAACTCTTGGGGTCCTTCTTCCCGGTCATAGTCTTCCTGGTCATGAGTTTCGTGCAATTCATCCGGCACGTCGTCGACCTCCTGATATTCATCCCAGAGATGTATCTCAGAAAGACCCTTTCCTTGATTTGCAGCTAGAAGTAAATCCGAGATCTCCGCAGAGATATTCAGTTTGGTACTCAATGTAAGGTAGAGGGGCTCTGGCGTATCGATACCATCGTTATGGCAAAGACGTAGGTAAACATCGATGATCTGGTGTAAAGTTACCTTAGCAACATGCGAAGAGTCCTAAATTATAATGTTAGCATGCACGTCATGAACACTGGTAGTTGAGTACTCACTTCGGCTATCTGCATATTTAATGACTCAATGTCGAAAACAAGAACTTCGTTCTCTCCGATATGCTCGTAGAGCACCTCACGACAAGACTCGAAAAGTTTTTCAAGAGACTCGTAAGCAAGAGCCTCATTTTCGAGGAAAAATGTCTCTGACGAGTCGCCCTCACGAGGAGGAAACAACGAAATCTCGTTATCTTGATAATAGACTTTGACAGTGTGCAGAACCTCATGAATCGCTAATTCAGACTCATGCCGAGTTTCCTGTCCAGGCTCGTTCAATTTCGCTTCTTCTATTGTTTGTCCACCTGAATTTTCCTCTGATACTTCACGCTCCTCAAGGGGGTGTGTTATCGGGCTGCCACGAGCGTCTTCGCTTTCGAGTGGCTGTACGCTCGAGCTGATGATCTCTTTGTCTCCATGCTCAGCTTGCTGAAGATTCAACTGATCTGCTTCATTAGTGTGGTCGTTGCTACTCTCCTCAATGGTTTCAGGCTTCTTCATGTCGGAAGGTTCGTCTGCGCTATCGGCGTGCTCACCAACGGCGTTCTGTGATTCTTCACCTCCTTCGCGGCGTTCTTCAGCCTCCGTCTCCGCATAAACCTCAATTGCAACTTCTTCACCATTATTCTCGGTGACTGTATCTGCAGGCGGGCCCACCTCTTGTATGTTCGGTTGATTTGTGTTTCCAAAGGCCTCAGCTTCTTGAATCTCAGGAACCGAAGTATCGGTATGATCCACATAATCGTCTTCTAGCATTTCTTCCTCGTATGATTCTTCCGCGTACTGCATCTCCGTGTTTCGATCCGCCTCTTGATATTGATCATCGGCATCGACCATAGCCGGTTCGGCGATGTCATCCATCATGTCAGCGTCTTTTGCTCCTTCGTCAGCAAAATCTGCGTCTTGTAAAGTATCTGGGTAGTCGTCGGCCGCGGTCATATCCTTGTCGGTAGTTGAGGCTTGGTCTTCCATGACATCGAGGTCAATATCGAAATCGTCTGCATGGCCCTGATAAGGAGAGGCCATCTCCATCGTGTCATCGAGCACAGGCGCCTCCATGCTGCTAAAAGTTAACGAAGATGCGGTGGTCATCGCAAAGGCGCGTCAAGGGAACGCTATCTGATTTGGTTGGGTCGACGCTAATAGGCTTAAAAAGTTTCGGCGTGGCGTCTTAGATATTTTTTCGAAGGGGAAGAGGGTGGGACGAGGTGCCACACACAAGCTTCTTCTCTAAACAAAAGGAGAGCTGATCAATACAAAGATAATCATTACGCTCTGCCACTAGTTCTGCCTGTCAAATAGAGAAGGGAAATGAGGTTCGTGCTTGTGCTGATGAGTGAAGATGGACTCCATAGAAGGTTGCAAGCAGAGAAGCTTCTTGTGCTGTGGTAAGCGAGGGGGATAGCGCAAGTGCACGGACCAACAGGGACCGAAGAGAACAGCAAGCGACTCCGGCTTCGTTGTAGGAGACATCCCCAAGGTCCAAACAACGTCCTCCAAATCAAGCAACACTGCCACTATCTTATCAACCATTGACCCGAGCATTAATCAATTTTCTGTGGGCAGTCATGGTAAGCTTTACTTTTGCGCAATAAACCAAATCCGTGCTGACAGGCGCGCACAACAGGTTGTTCTCGCCGCGTCGATATGCACCCGCGGGGGCAAGGCAGTCCTCTCACGTCAATTTCGCGAGATTGCCCGCTCCAGAATCGAAGCCTTGCTCGCATCGTTCCCTAAGCTGGCTGATTCCGGAACGCAGCACACTACTGTTGAACAAGACAATGTCCGCTTTGTGTACCAGCCTCTCGACGAGCTATACATCGTTCTCATTACAAACCGCCAATCGAACATCCTTCAGGATATCGATAGTCTTCACCTTTTTGCTCAGGTGACCACAAGCATCTGCAAAAGCTTGGACGAGCGAGAAATTGTTCGCAATGCTTTTGAATTGCTCAGCGCTTTTGACGAGATAGTGACACTTGGTTACCGGGAGAATCTGTCGCTTTCCCAGATCAAGACATTTTTGGAAATGGAAAGTCACGAAGAGAGAATACAGGAGATTATTGAAAGGGTACCAGACACGACTACTCTCGGATGTGATAGGTTGCTGATATTGATCAACAGAACAAAGAGCTTGAGGCTAGCGAGGAGCGCAAAAGGAAGGCGAAACAACTGGAGATGCAACGCAAAGAGGCGGCTCGTAGTGGTCGTGCCATGGCTCCTAGGACTCCAACTTATCCTGTCTACACTCCTCCGTCTCGTCCTGCGGTTCCCGACACGTACGACTCATACGAAGCAGAGAAGAAGAAGACATTTGCTAAGTATGCATTTTCTCTCCTCACAAAGCCGAACCATCGCTTATCAAAGCCAATTTGTTAGACCACTGCCCACACGCGGAAAAGGAATGCAGCTTGGCAAAAAATCTAAAGCTACAGATATCTACGAGAAAGTTCGAGGTGATTTAGGCCCTGAAGCGGAGGAATCGAGTCCTTTGGTGACCCCTCAAATCTCAACCCCTGTGGAGCAAGCATCTTCCGCTCGTGCCTCTCTGTCTGCCGATCGAGAGCCTATCCACATTACTATCGCCGAGACAATCTCCGCCAAACTTACCCGTGAAGGTGCTTTGAAGTCGTTTGAAGTTAAGGGTGACCTCCAACTTCGTATCTCCGATCCTTCTTTCACAAAGCTGAAGTTGGACTTGCTGGCCAACCCAACGCATGGCGCGCAGTTCCGTACCCATCCAAATGTTGACAAAGCCGTCTTCACCAACACCTCGGTCATCCAATTGAAGGACACAACCAAGCGTTTCCCAGCCAACAACTCAATCGGTGTCCTTCGGTGGCGCGTTGCTAGCTCAGGATCAGATAATGCTGACATCCTCCCCATCACATTCACGGTGTGGGTGAATAAGGATTCTAACTCTACTACTGTCACTGTGGAGTATGAGCTCACAGGTTCTGATACCTTGAGGGATGTCGTCGTCACGATACCATTTGGAGCCACAGAGCCGATCGTATCAAGCTTCGATGCTGTGTACGAGGTTTCTGGAGATAGCCTGGACTGGAACATTGGCACCGTGGATGAGACGAACGCTTCCGGTAGCTTTGAATTTGAATCAGCTGGTGAGGGTGACGAGAATGAGTTCTTCCCGATGAATGTGCGCTTCTCTAAGGCTACTCCCTTTGTCGAGGTCGATGTGACCGACGTCTCGCTGCTCGAGGAAGGGGAGAGCACTGGATTCTCAAAGGACGTGAGAAGCATTGCAGAGGGCTACGTTATCGAATAATTCCCATCCTTCCCGGATTGTATAGAGTACTAATGACGTTCGGATTGCCTTTGGATCACCACGGTTTATTCTCTTCTTCTCGTCTGAGCTTTTTTGTTGTTGCTTTCTTTACCCCCTATTCCAATACAATGATTATACAAAATCGGAAGCGAAATTAGATTCTAATGAAAATGAGAGACAGCTCTTCCAAATTCAGATTTATTCGACCCAAATAATGCGAAGACCCGGCCTCAAAGCTTGACATTGAGGTGCTATTGCACCAGTGCTGGAGTCGATATTGCTTGCTCCTTCCCCTGCTTCAACCATTCCATTTTTATCGTCAGCTTCATCAATAGTAATGGTTTATAATTGGGGCGAATTCAACCCATGATTTGCCCTTCTTGATAGCTCCTTCCTACCAGCTGTGTCGATGTCGTCGATGCTTGGTCATTTCAGCTCACTTGTTTATAGACGTCAGTATTATAATCTTCTCGAACTTAACCACAACATCGAGAACCACGGAAGGGTAGGTGCAAATAAGCAACTGTTGACCCATGGCAGTCCCTAGAAGAGACATGGAACATAGGCTGACAGTGTTCTGCCAGGCACTACCTACTCCCCAAACAATCTCACTTGTGTCCTTCGATTCTTCCATGGAAGTTCACCATGTTCCTTTCGCGAGATGACCGTCATCACACTCTCACAAGTGCATATCATTGGATTGCTACTGAAACAGGAACCACTGGCTCTCACGCTGCTAGCCCTCGGTCATCACGCCACTATGCCTTCAAGGACCAACGTCAGCTTGAGGCACGGGTGGGGGCGTTTCCCGATGAAGGAGGGAAACACCATGGAATGCGTCTAGTTTACCCGTCACGGTAAAATGAAGAGGTACCTGGGTATGCATGATGCACTCGCAGCTGCTGACGAAGGGTTAAATTTGCGTTGGGAGTATGTCTCGATCCCCGGGAGCTTTTTGCACCTCTCGGCGTCGCCGAGCGAGGATAACGTCTACTAGGCTCAGACACGAAAGCCTTCTCGACAGCATGCTATACGGGCCATGGAAAAGCGGAGGCAAGATAAGCATTACTCGATCTGCTGGTCGAGCGAATGTTCCAGACTCACCAGCTCTCGAGACTCCTGCGTGGTAGCAGTTATTTGCCATAGTGCCGAGGAATACTCGAGTACACGAGTTCGAGAAGAGGCAATAACTGATTGAACTCTCGAGAGAGGCAATGCGTGTGATGAGCAGCAGGGTTTGCGCTCTCCCGTTGATGTTCTACTCACGGTCCTGCTGTTCCCCTGATGCGTAGGAGGCAATATCAAATCCACGTCCATCTTAATTAAGGTTGCCACACTGTGGTCCAGACTCATGGGGTCAAGCAAGATGCTGATTGGGCTCCCAGAGTATTTGTGCTTTTCGTTCATGCTCTGGCCGTTCTAGATTCAGAGGGATTGGCTCCAGCTTTTCACACATCACGGACTATACCTTACTTAAAGGACTACGGGGGCATTCTCCACTCGCACTTATATTCCGGTCTCAAATCTTGGGGTATGGAAACCAGCGATATGGATAAGATCGTCTATTGCTGCTCATGACCGATTTCATCTTCATAATACGGCTTCTGCTTACCATATGGCCATTGACCTTACCTAGACTAAAGATCGTGTATGACTTTGCTTGACCACCGCAGGATACCCAGCGGTAGTGAGAAACGTATATTGCTCTGTTAAGTATACCTGACATAATGATAGCACGGTGAACCTCCCTGCTATCCTTCGGATTTCTTTCTAAATACAAGGCCAACAACCTGTTCGGTATACTACTGTGGATATTCCACCGAGGGACTTAAGCCGAAAAGAAAAGATCTTTTTGCAAAATCACAATGAGTGGTTTACCTTTTCAGTCTTGGGCGGATCAATCGACTCTCTTCAAGCTACCTTGTTCTGATACCGAGAACTTTGCCCAACTGCCTCAAGTGGTAAGCCATATCTTCTTTCTCTGCGACATAGATCAGTTGACTCATATTTTCGCAGGAGGGCTCGCTGCCTCGCTTGTCAGACAATGATGCGGACCGGCTAGGCAGTCGTAAGATGGCTATCCCCAGGTTGACCGAGGGAGCTGAATCTGCCTTCACATCGCCAGGAAGATTTCATCGCCGCCATGTACGCCGGGCATGCGAGTCCTGTAGGCAGAGAAAGACAAAATGTACTGGAGATAAGTCTGGTTGTCGGAATTGTCGTGAGGCTGGGATAATCTGCTGTTATACAGACGGGAAAAGAGAAAAGTCGAAAAGGTGATCGCTGACTATTGATATTTGCTCACACGAGGTACCTTCATTAACGCCTCTCAGACAACTAGCAAGCTTGTCAGCAAAGGTCCAAGCGTATGAGGATGTTATCAGGAAGCTGAGTAGTCGATTTGGTGTCTCCGATGAAAGGTTGATGAGCCTCGCGCTGGCAGCGGTACGAGTGAATATTGCTTAGTTAATATACTGTGCTAAGCAATAGCAGGGAGCACCTCTCGATCTTAACATGTCATCCGATATGTCTACTACTTCAGCAGAAGAGCAGAAACTGCCATGGAACCCTGGCTCCGACCCTCCGTCACGCCAATCCTCGGTTGGCCCCCATGAGGTTGTCGATCATACCAAGGAGGACTTCAACAGAGATGAAACCGCTCGAGCAACAGGTTATATTGGCAAAAGCTCAGTGATCACTTGGCTTCAAAAGTTAAACAAAGAAGTTAACCAAGAATGCGAGACTTGGGCCCCTAAAAGTGGGGATATGGTCGACGACAATGGCATGCCGTCGCCGTCCTTGACACCGCGGCCTGATGGGCAGAGTGACCCTTTGGTTGCTTCTTCTAACTACTACCTCGATGATCTAGATATACCTGCCATTGAACCGCTTGATACTAGTGATGTTCCGTCGAGAGATACTGCGACCAAGCTCTTAAACGAATATCTGCATTCAGTGCATCCTTCCTTCCCTATTATTGGGATCTCAACCTTCGTATCGCAGTTTCAAGTATTCTTCAATCAGCCGTCACTAAAGCCGGGCAGAAAATGGCTTGCCATCCTGAATCTTATTTTCGCCATTGCTGCAAAATACGCCCATCTGACCGATGCCGACTGGAAAGGCGACGAGGATGATGATATGAAGTATTTCTCGAAAGCGAGAGCTTTGAGCTTGGATGACCAGCTACTGCATCATCCCGATTTGCAACAATTACAAGTGGAGGGGTTAACATCTTTCTATTTGCTGGCGTCAGGTCACATTAACCGGTATGTTCTCATGGCTTCCACATAGCCAGAGAATTATATAATCTGGATCCGCATATCCTTGCTTACAGTCCAACACAGGGCATGGAAACTGTCCGGAAGTGCGATACGGGGGGCCTTTGCCCTGGGGTTGCACCTACGGAACGTAGGCGTCTGCACCTCAGATACCTCCAAGGAGATCAGATATCGGGTTTGGTGGTCCCTGTACACATTGGATCATCTCCTCTGTGTGATGACAGGAAGACCCTCGTGCATATTGGACAGCTCAAGTACCACTCCTCTACCAGTTCCCTTCGATGAGTGCGATTTTCAGAAGGAAGAGGTGGTGCGTATGATAGGTGATGCTCTGAGATGCAATTCTAGCCAGCTAGAACGGATTCCATCAGTCTGCTCCAGCGCATCCGATTTAGGCTCCTCCCTTGACCATGATTCAACTGACACGAGAAGCAGTCCAAAGGACTCGGAAATTAATATGGTTGAATACCTAAAGAGCTTGGCTCCGTGTATGTCGCTCTATTTTCTTCAGCTCACCACTCTCACCTCGATCAACAAAAGGATGACAGCCAAACTCTATGGCTCTGAAGTAATGCATTCCCCTTGGCCCAGCAAAGAATTTACAATACAAAGCCTCATGCTTGAGCTTGATTCGTGGTTCATGAATCTTCCTGCTGCATACGACTTCACTTCGACTCAGACATCCCAGTGCCCCGCAAGTCAACGAATGAGCCTTGCTCTGTTATTTTATAGCACGAAGATCGGCATAACAAGACCATGTCTCTGCCGGTTGGACTCGGCCCGTCCGCACGGTGAAAAGACTCTTGAGTTTTGCAGCAAGACTGCGGCAGAGTGTGTCGAATCAGCCTGTCACATGTTGACACTGTTTCCGGATACTCCAGATGCCGCATTGCTCTTCAAGCTCTCTCCGTGGTGGTGCATATTGCACTACCTCATGCAGTCCGCCACGATCCTGCTTCTCGAGCTTGCTTTTCACGCCCAACACGTCCCAGAGAAAGCATCCATGGTTTCTAAAGCAGCCAAGAAGGCACTGGAATGGCTGTCCATGATGTCGAGATTTAGTCTGGCATCCGAAAGAGCCTGGAGACTGTGTGACGGCTTCCTGAGACGTCTCGCACCGCACGTCGGGGTCGAAATTGGAGATGTCTTGGCAACTGGCGAGCCTAGTGGTGATGCGACACCCGATGCTCAGTTTGATACTCCAGCAGCAGCAGCCATGGCTTCAGCTAGTGCTGATAATATTGCTACGGAGCTGGATTCAATGGCTTGTTCCCCAATGAACGAGTCAGACACATCTCTGTCCGGCTCGGTACCCTTCGGACTCGACTCATCGGATATATTTGACTTCATGAAGACCGATAAATCAGCAACAGGAGGCAATACATTTGATGACCTTTTCCCCTGTGACACAGATACAGGTCAAATCACGGGGTCTTTCTTCCCCCCGGGGAACAATATGGACCTTGATCTGGGGTGTTTCTGGAGCGACCCAATCTTCTGGAAAGAATAACGAGCCGAAGAGCAATTGGGATTTAAATAAGATTGACAGTCTAAAGTTTCAGAAAAAGTGGATCGATCTTTGCATGATTTGCTCCATCAGCTTCACAAAAGTCATTGCTTCCTTTCCATCTTTTCTTCTTCAGCGCCACCATGAAACGGTTCTGAAAGGGGTCGATACAAACCTTACCCTGCTATAGACTGGCATTTTGATTATGCACATCTCTGCGCTTTTTGCCCTCTCTCTTAATGAATACAGTAATTTTGGCATTTAGGTGCATAGGGCGTCATCATGGATTCGATGCAATCCTCGCTCATCATTGAAATACTCATTACTCAGTATCCCAGAGCACTTAGAGAGGCCCACTGCTGCCATACACAAAGAGACAGCCGCAAGGCAGTGCATGGTACACATAGACGAATCCACAGGGAGATAATCTTCCCTCACTTGTTTCACAATATACACTATCATTCTTTCAGTATATACATCTCTAAGAAGCGCTGTATCAGTAGCAGCGCTTGTTGAGATTCAACCGAGCACTGCGATGCAATGTTCTAGATCGTGTATGATATAAGCGTAAACATGACATAAAGAAGAGTCATGGGGGCGTCTATGTCCGATTCTAGTCCGAGTGCCTTATGCAGTTACATCTGCGTCACCATCAGGGATGAAGGATCAAGGATCAAGCCTCCCAGTTCCTCTTCCGCGCCGTGAAGAAAAATCGCGCATTCTCCTCCTGGGAGCTCGCGCGTAGCAAGCCCGACGGCGTAGCACGCACAGCAACAATCTTCGAGACTCGGATCTCCACGACGGCCGCCCTGGCGCGCGAGCGGTTCGCCCATGACCCAGACGCAAGGCGCCAGCTCCTCGCATCCCACGACCGTAGCTCGACACCCAGTAAGCCGCGCCCGTCACCTACAAACCGCTCAATGCAGTCCAGCGGCGGGACGAAGCGCCGGCGCACACCGCAGCCGATGTGGTTTGCGTCGAGCTGGTAGTCCGGGCACTGCTTCAGGGCGGAGATGACCGCTGTGATGTCCGCTGGGGGGCCGGGTGCGGGGAAGCCTGGCGGCTCGCGGCTGTGCTCGGTGTCATCCAAGGCCTCGGGGCTGAAGTCTGGGTCTAGGAGGCTGGAGCCGAGGAAGATGGTTTTTGTGCGCAGGGTGAAGAAGCGGATCATCTGGCCGAGATGGAATGCGTCGCAGGCGTTGGAGTTGCCGTATCCGCAGCGGCATTGGAATTGGCGCGGTTGGAGGGTGGATGTGAAGCCTGGGAGTGTTGGAGCGTTGGCTTTTGGCTCGTGGTCGGGGGTTTCTTCGAGGGCGCCGTAGGCGCGAAGGAAGTATGCTTGTAGATCTGCGATGGTGTTTAGGACGCATTGGCGTCTGTAGAAGAGTTCCTCTGGGAGTTTTGTTAGTTTCAGGGTTTTTAGAGAGCGAGAAGTTCAATGTCGACCTTACCTTCAAGACCGTCGGGTAGATATGTCCACTGCAAAGGACCAGGAGAATGGTTCTCGATACCGTTGACCCAGTGCCTCGAACCGATCACAATAAGAGCATGGGTCATGACATGAAAAACATGCTGATCGTCCAGGAACCTCGCGATAATTATACTCTGCCGGATTCGATCTTCACTCAGCTTCAGCAGCGCAGTATCAAACTTTGAAAGTGAGATTTTCCCCTTTCCGTAGACATATGTCGATCTTCGCAGAGCGTCTCGCACCGCATGCGGGGAATTCAAGGCATCCCCTGTCTCTACTAATCTTGCAACTAGAGAGGTCGGCTGAGATCTCAACTCGGCATCAAATTGATGTTTCGTATCATCGGCGAACGAGTTATACGACAAGATCTTTAGAAACAACTCAATAGCGTCCGCGCCGGGGTTGGACAGGAATTGATCATCTGGCAAACGGATTGTCGGCTGAGTAATATGCAAGGCATTTCCGTTGGAACCGGGCAACTGGCCATGTTCGTCCTGCTCTATCTCAGGAGCTTGCCTTTGACTCCATATAGTCCTTTGCTGCATGAAGTGCCTTCCTTCTGAAAACTTGTTGGGGTCGAGGAGAGCCCGGAAATACGGGCTGTTTTTCACTAGATCCTCGCTGGAAACCTGCCAGCGATGTATGACTGTCCGAGGAGGATTTGATCTGGACGACTCCGTGGAAGTATACTGAAGAATCACATCCCCACGATGCACGAGAGCTTTTGCATCTTGCTCAGGCTGGTGCGGCTGATGATCCACTTCTCCGTCACCGTTCGCCGTTGAAGGATCACTGACCTGAAGGGAGCTTGGGGTAGAATTGGCCGCTGCCCAGAGAGGTAGACTCTGAATCGAGGCTCTAGTTCCATCAGATGATGGCATGTGTTTCTCTGAGCTCATGCTGGGAGTATGTTCCTCCAGGTCTTTAACTAGTAATGGTCTCTAGGGGCACGAGCACATCAAGCTGAAGGCAAGTGTTAGGTACGTCTTAAGCAAGAAGTCTCTTCCAAAACGCGAATCTGGATCTTTGATTTCTATCCTTGATTCATAATTCACCCAAGGTGATGTTCGATTGAACATAGCCTGCTTCCTATCTGGTAGGAGTTGTTAACATGGCGATATTGGAAGAAACCCAGTTTCGGGACATACAAAATGCGGCTATATATCTTTATAAGCGGAAGAGGTAAGATCAATGACCCTTGGCTGGTGTAAATAGCATGAATGATGTTTATACGTGGATGTCTGAAATCATTGTCGATAATCGCCTCATTAGGCGACAAGTCATGTGACAGATTGCTATCTCATGTAGACTCCACAAACACAAGAGAATCAAAAGGTATTCATGGATTATTGGAAATTATGGGGCTATAAAGTCGCATGTTCTTCCAGTAGCAAAGTAATTGTGATTGAAATTCAGCGCATATCAGAGAGGTCGGATTCCCAAACACTGTTGCTCCATATGATCACAAACATTCCTCGCGTCCCGTAACTCCATATTCAAAAAGACAGATTCTGGCCGTAAACAGTCTGGAAAAGTATATATATCGCTATTAGTAATCAACAATGAGATCAAATCTATGCATCATCGAGAAACAAGAATAGCAGATCGTAATGATCAGGGTAATGACACCACGGGAACGTGCATGACCCGAGTGGAATTCCACAAGTTCGAGCTCAATTGTCCATTCACCGTATGCTTCATGGTAGTTTCTCGGAGTTTGATCGCCTGCCCGACGATAGTATGCAGCTTTGACGCTAGTGGGCTCGTGATCCTCGACGGTAAGCTTGGAGCCACCGGGGTGGTCGGGCTCATTTCCTCATCGCTCTCATCCCCATCATCGTGGCCCGCCAGCATGTTGATTTTGTGGGAGATGACGGAGAAGATAGCAAGGCATGCCGGTGTTTCATCCGAGCTGTATGGTTCGCAACCATTGCGCTCATCCCACTCAGAGGACTGGTCATTGAAGATACCATCGTGTTGAGATACGATGTGCCATGGCTCACTGCATATAAATCCCAAGACAAAGTCTTGGTTGGCACGCGCAGCCGCCAGGCAGCTCTGTCGGTATTCGGGGGTGAATGAAGTGTCGGTCACAGATGGCAGGCAGAGCACAAGCCCACGTGCCAGAAGAGGTGGAGGCGGAAGGTCGTCGCCATGAGAGATGTGTTGGATGTCTGTTTGTGAGATCGTTTCGTGCGGTAGTTGCGTTACAGTGTCCAGAAGCGATTCTGTCGAATCCTCTGTGTGTTGAGTAATGGTTTGCGTAAGGGAAATAGTCGAAGACTTCCGAAGCGCAAGGCCAAGACCACTATCATCCACAGCATAGTCTAGCGTCAGATGTTGTTGCGCGGCGCTGTCTTCCTCCAGTTCGGCCTCAGGCCCGTTCAGATAAGATTCACTCGGGGTGTTGACGGCCGTGATCTCGGTTCGGATAGTCTGCACGCTGTCCGCGACAGCCTCCCGAGCGGCAGCCTTTAACGTCGGAATCAGAATGTCCGCTTCCTGACTACCAACAGCGACACCGGATGCCCATGCTGTCGCGATGCCCGCCCACGAGGCCGCCTTGACAACACCCTTGGTGTATTTCTTCCGTATCAAATCCACCATCTCATTCCTCACCTCTCTCGACTCGGACTTTTGATTTCCAACAACATCGACGGTGGCATTAAGGATTCGACCACTCTCCCAGATCAAGAATGCGTGCCTCTTGGCCAGGAGAGTCAGCTGCCGGACGGTTTCGTCGCTCCAATCGTCGATGATATCTGCATGAACTTGCAAGATCGCAATATGAGAACCGAGCAAGGATGCGAGTTCGAGGAGAGCCTTCGTGGTGGTGATTGTATGTGATGGGCAAACGCAGACAGGGACACCGTGTGGTAAGCCATTCTTAGCTCTGGCTAGCGTTTGCAAATAGGCGACAATACGATTGCCTCGATAGGACGAAGACTCGAACGACGCAGGCGATTCCATGATGAAGCGGATGTTGGATCGTGATCAAACTGGATTTCTTCCTTTCGTTTTCGTCTTTCGTGTGTGTGTGTGCGTGTGTGTGTTTTTTTTATTATTATTAATTCCCTGCAGGAGCAACGAGGGGCATAAATGGAGGTGAAACGGGGATAAGGGGTGGAAAGGAGGGATTGGATTGTCTTTTCCCTCTGTCTCGTCTATAGCTATACAGGGAGCTGGAGAAAGGGTCAAGGAAAAGGAAGCTCTTTCTCTTGTCTGTCTGTCTGCCTGCCTGTCTGTCTGTCTCATTAATTCTCGGGCGAGCTAGACATAGACTAAGCTAACTACTAGTAACGCATCACCAAGCGCTCTGAGACAAAGAAGAAGGTCGAGACCAGAGGGAGCGACAGTTGGGCCAATAACTAGCTGCACCTCCACTTTTTGTTTTGACAGTTACTCCGTAGCGATTTTAGTCCAACAGGATCATTTGCCGGCGGCGATTGTCTATTGATTTGAGGACCCGATACTTTGTTCGTGTTCTTAGCTGATCTGGTCAATAAACTCAAAAGTCCCCGAATGATCACACTTGCATGAAGCTGCAAACCCAAAATGGAGGACACAGCCGAGAAACCCTGAGCGACGGTGTCGAGGGAGTCATGAGTCCTAATTTTTACAGTAGAGAGAAAGTACCAAGTACGGGGTATACAGGGGGAGATATGTTGAGCTTTGAAGGGAGAGAGGAAGTACGAGTAGGTATGTCTTCTTCTTCTCCTTACGCTCACTCTTCCAGTCCCGTCCCCTTTTTTCCACCCCCATACTCCATAGAATGATCGCAGTATCTACCGTGGTTCCGTACCGTCTTCCCTTTTTGTTGCAAAAGCCCTGTCTAATAATGTCTACTCTGTATACGCGGCTAGGCTGCTAGTTACCTGCCCTTGGGTACGCTAGACTAACCACTCCAATCACTTGTCGAATCACCCGCACTGATGAAGATCGCTTTCTATTGCTGTTTCACTTCTCATTTGCTAACATCCGCTATGCTGTGACTGTGAGGCGCCGCGGATGTCTTCTCATGGACCATACAAAGACAACGGAGTATCACTACCAACAAAGGGCGAAATCCTTGGGTCCCTTAAGGGGGTCCAGTGGGGGGTCCTTAGTTCTGAAGTACTGTTAAGTGTTAACTGTACCACTCACACAGTCACACTAGGTAGGGCCTCTACCAGATTTACAAGTCCAAAGTACGACCTAGGGAGGACTGATCTACTAGATGGTTTTAACGTTGATACTCATCATGTGAAAAGCAGTCCTCCAATCTACGCATTTGTTGGCTAACTTGGCTCTCCCCGTACCCATCATGAGGGAAATCCGTCTTGTTGAAAGGGAGTTGTTCGGCAAGTGGAAGGTGTTATTGCTACTGTACTGGAACTGATCCGGTAACGGAGAAACTGTAATCGTGTTACCAGTGACCTACCTACGGAGTACGTTCCGCGTCCATCATATCGATACTCCCAATTCTCCATATCCAAATCCCCCATACCTCGCCAATTACGGACGGCAAAATGAGAGGGATAAGGAATGGGGCCGGAACCTTGAATGTCTGAACTTTGAACGGATTAGGTAAGTAAATTCAAGACGGAATACAGTTCAGTATTGTACTCCGTACGTGGATACTGACTTGCCTCTTACCGTTCAAAGATTGCGCGGAGGATGAGCCGTCGGTCCTGAGGTATCTTAAGCAGCTAACTATCTATGTGCCTACCTATCCAGAGATGAGGTCCAATGCAGCAACCTAAAATAGGTAGTCCAATTGTCTACTAGAGTAGAACTAGAATCCAATGGTTATATTGACCTCTGGGGAATATATGAACTACGGAGTAGGAAATAATCTGATCAGATCCCCGATCTCCTAACGGTTTCTCTACTTCTGGAATGAGGGCATCCCCTTGTTATAGTTAGCACAAATGACGGACAATGCCCGGACTCCATTTCCTCAATGATGATAGCTAGCTTGACCGGCGCGAGAACAATGGTATAAACACAACAGAGAAGCTGAGAACCAGGACAGGGTGCTTACTAGCTACAGTAGATGGTTACTACCTATGTAACTCCCTACTGAACCGCTGAACAGCATGCCATTGCAGCCTCAATAATAATAATAATAATAATAATAATACTCCGTAAAGGAGAAGCATACAGTCCTCGGCCGGATTCATCAGATACATCCAACTTACAAAAGTCCCAGTGAACAGGTCCAAAAAAGGGGGATGTGGAACTCTATCCACTTTGGAGTTGTCACGCAGCACGCTGAGCGGCTGAAGAATGTGTCGAGTTTCAGCATTCATGTCTACCGAGTAGAGCGAGATGGAAAGAGCTTCTCTGATCCTCCCTTGGTCCTGTTAGACTGTAGCATCATATGGGGATATGAACTCATCCTGGCCATTGTATCTATAGCATTTATTGCCAGTAATCTCCTTGTATCCATGAACGGCTTAATGCTGGCAATGTGTTTTGCTCTGAAATGCGTGACTCTTTTTTTAGTGATCCGAAGCATAGACCTGGGAACATTACCGATCTGTGGTCATTGCATGATACATCCAAGCGTCCAATGCGATCATTTATAGGTCATGACAGCGATCCGAGGAGGTCTTTCGATCGCCTTGGAGATATTTTCCTGAGTCCTGACATATGTCCTTCTCCGTACTCAGCACCGAATTTTCTGATAGCCGCCTTATGTCCAGCAATGGAGATCTACTCCGTAAGCCTTCCCGCGGTCTGCTGGTCACAGGGGGCTTACCCCTTCTGATCAATGGGCAGCGTGCCAGCGATACTTGCAGTCTTCAAGTTCAGCCACAAGCGAACGTACCCTCCATATCCGGACGCTGTGATTGGTTTCTGACATCAGGATCAGCCTTGACAACTCAGACCTGCTGCTATACAACATACCTTGACGTTCACATATATACATGGATTACAAAGTAAAAGGATCAAATATACAGAAATCCTTTTGAGGTACAGAGCGAAGTAACAACTAGTTAACAAGCTGGTCTTTGAAAGAGCGGAAGTGGGCCAGGGGTAGGCTGATGTCCCAAAGCGGTATAGTGGATCACCCAGCCCAAATCCTCGGTGTTGATCACTGGTGAGTGTACAGAGTAGGGTCCTCGAAAAGTTGAAAAAAAACAACATTTTCTTTCTTTCGGAATTTTCCAATGTTTTTTTTCTTTCCAGGGTTTGAACCCCCCTAATCCGGTAATATGCCAAGACTTAGGGTTAGCCAATCAGGGCCTCTTCCTTTGACTGCCCCACCTATATCAACCAATCAGATCTAGTAGCCAGTAGGTGCCTTATTGCCTAGGAAAGTAGTGTATATGCTCTGAGAAATAGTAGTGAATTTCACCTAATAACATCAAAATATATATCTTTGTATGCGAGAAATCATCAACTTCCACCATCTACCATAAAAACCTCACTAGATTTACTACTATTTACTATTTCTAAACCCAGAGAAGTAAGCTCACACACTAATATATATACAGTTTACTCAGAATACTTATAGATCTAAAATTGGTAACAAAATATACCCTAATACTAGCAAGTAGGGAATCTTATTTTCTTTTCCATTCTCTGAATTTTCCAGGAAATGAATTTTCCAGGAAAAAAAACTTTTTTTTCTGCAAAGAAAATATTATCTTTTTAGAGGAAATTTTTACATAAGTAAAATATCTCCCACTAATTCTCACCACCTATATATTTTACTAGTAAAATTTAAAATTATGCCTGATATAAAAGACGCCATTTTTCATCCTCTATAAAAAATTTAATTCTATAAAAAAAAAGAGTTATTCTTCTTATATTTACTTCTCTAAAATCTAAGTATTTTCCACCTGCTTACTAGCCTAGCTACTAATAGAAGCCTTACTAATACTAGCTATCTTACTAGTAGCCTAGCTTAGGGCATACTCTATATTATCTAGTAAGATTACTCCCTGCTATATAAGCTCCTCATCTCTATCTTCTAGGCTTTTATATAGGCTTATAGGGGATAGGGTGTATCTGCTAAGCTAAAGGCTTTAGATATTTATATAGATAAATATTACCTAATTTACTTACTTAGTTTTTATTTAATTCTATAGCTTTATATGCTATAGATTCATGATTAAAAAGCTTTATTTAGAGGTAATAGAATTTGTGATAGTATAGTAGAGGTAGAGGGTAAGAATACTAATTTTAGGAGCTATATTTTTTTAGTAGAGAGTAATTAAATTAGTATTTAGTATATAGTTTCTTAATAGATCTAGAATCTTATTACTATAAGCTAGAACTACTTAGGATCTTTTTTATACTAGAACTCTTTATTAAAGAATACTCCTTCTCTATCCTAAAAGAATCTAAATTACTTTATAGCTTCCTCACCACTATACTTATAGATTATATTCTATAGATCTAGTATAAGAGAAGGAAGAAGTTATGTATTTAATATCTTAGGGTGTAGATAATAGCTAAGTTAGTAGATAGATATAAGCTAGTAGTTAAATTACTTTATCTATAGGCTCTCTAACTCTCTACTATCTACTAGAGATTAAAGATAGAAAAAGAGATTATCTTAGAATATAGAAGTATAGCTTTTACTAGAGAGGTGCCCTTAGATATCTAACTATTACTATATTACTTATTTTATTAATAAATAATATAGATAAATATAATAGCATACTTACTAGCATAAGATTATACTTCTAGGATTCTAAGTATCTAACTGCTTTATTTACTAGCTTAAGTAGCCTAATAAGATTAGAAAGATTATCCTAGAAGCCTAACTTATAGAGAATCTAAGAGATCTTATCTATATTACCCCTTTCTTTCTTTATAAATAGCTTTAAAGCTTCCTAATTTAGTATTACTAACTAAAGCATCTTATACTAAGATCCTTAGTAAGTAGCTATAGCTATAATAAGTAAAGATAATATAGAATCTAGATACTAATTCTATATTTATTAAAGGATTACCTAATCTAAAGGTAATTTCTTAAAATACCTTATAATAGAAGCTGCTGATTTAAAGAGCCTACTAATAGAAGGAAGATTTAGTAGATCTCTAATCACTAGCTAAAGCCTATAAGAATTATAGGGAATTATAAATATCTTCTTAAATACTAGCTTTACTTATAGAATCTCCTATACTTTTTTTATTATAGAAGGTATATTAGTAGAGAGAGAATTAATAAATTTCTATATCTTCTAGCTATTATTTAGCTTAGTAAGAAGCTTTTTAACCTAAGCTTTAATCTATATAGAAATTATATGGGAAGTTAAGCTTTTATCTAATATATCTTCTGCTAGAAGAAAGTAGCTATATCTATATAAATTAATACTAAGACTTATAATTCTTTCTCTATAAATATTTATAGATTTATTATATATAAGATTTAGATACTATATAGTTTAAAGCTACTAGAATAGCTTTATCTAGATAAAATTATAATAGGAATCTAGTATAGTAGTAGCCATAGTCTTAGGTAAAGGAGGAGAGTATTTTAGATCTAGTACTTAAAGAAATAAAGCTATTCCTAGTATTAAAAATATATAAAAGAGGTAGGCATTATAGAAGATAGCTATCCCTAATTATTAATTTACCTCTAAGATAGATACTTTTTAATATTTAAAGATACTTATCTACTAAATTCTATACTTCTCTATTTTCTCTTTATATTATACCTTTTATAATCTATTACACTGGCTTATATGGGTATTCATATAGGTGGAGTTAAATTTTTAATTAAAATTAGAGTAGTATTAGTAGTAGATATATAGAATCTAGGAGATAAGCATTCTTATAAGCATTCTAAGTAATTCTCTATATAAATTTATATAGGAGCCTACTTCTTTTTATTTATAGAATTTATAAATAGCTATAAATTCAGCTAAATTTTTCATCTGCTACCCAGAAGATGAATTTCCTATAGTGGTGGTGGTGGTGGTGGTGGTAGTAGATAGTAAATTTTAATAGGTTAAAGATATATATTTTAATGTTATTATATGAAATTTACTACTATTTCTTAGTATTTATATACTACTTTCCTAGGTAATAAGGCATCTGCTAGCTACTAATTCTGATTAGTCTATTCTTATGGGGTAAGAGAAACTATAGACTCTAATTAGCTGAGAAAGTCTTGGCATTTCTACCAGATTGAGGGGGTTCAACTACTGGAAAAATATGGAATGGAAAAAAAAACATTAGAAAATTCTAAAATTTCCAAACTGGATTTTCTTTGCAACTTTTCGAGGACCCTACTAGCAAGGCTTTTACTGCCAGTGAGGCCCCTACTAGCAGTGAGGTCCCTACTACTGGTAAGGCTGGTAAGGAGCCCAAAAAATCATTAGACTTTATAGAATATTTAACATTTTTCCCCTTTAAAATCATGAATTTTTTTCTTCGAAAATTTGATTGTTAGAGGACGCCAACTAGTTATAATTTAGTTAAATTTCTTACTTTACTACTAAAATAGGTAGGCGGAGAGAATCAGAAATAGGCATTTTTTAATATGTAAATTTCCTCTGGAAAAAAAATATTTTTCTTTCTGAAAAGATGTTTTTTTTCCCGGAAATTTCGGAAAAATGGAAAGAAAATATGATTCCCTAGTACAGAGTAGATTATTAGGGGTATTTTGCACTCTTGTAAAGCAGAATGAGAGTGGATATCACCTTAATTCCCTACAGGGTAAGGTCTACCACACCGGCCATAAATCTAGTAATCTATTCAGCCTTAGTAGTAAGATGATTTCAGATGACTAAGTAGTAAGAAGATAGAATCTTACTAATCTTTAGGTGTGGTGATTCCTAGATATCAGATGATAGGTCTAAAGCGGGCACTAAGCCTAAAATAGGTCTCATTCCAATCTGATCTCATTACAAAGGTATGGAACGAGTTCATTCCCTTTTCATGGAATTTATAAAGTTGGTAACTCGGTGATATGACTACTTTAGGAAAAGGATTTCACTAAGTGGGTCAATGCTATACCAAAAGCTGGTTTGCATGCTGCTTTCCACGACTGCAAAATACCCCTGTTGTATGACTGACCCGGAGCGATCGGACCCGCCGGCCTCGATAATAATTTGAAGCTCACGCCACTCTTCCCTGCGCCTTTTTATAACTACATTTTCCGGCGTGCTGATTGAAGTATTTGATCTTGGGCTAAGGCAGATTTAGATTCTTCACCATTGGCTTGTTAGTCTTGTTCTTTTCTTCATTTTCTTGATAGCTGCATCCACATTGCGCACACGCACCCAAGCCTCGCTCCTCTCCAATCATGCCTGGCAAGATTCTTCCAACTTTCACTCCGGCCGAGGTCGAGTCCCATAACAACGCCAAATCCTGTTATGTGACGCTGGGTTCCAAAGTCTACGATATCACATCGTTCATCGACGATCATCCGGGAGGCGGCGATCTGATCCTTGAATACGCCGGCAAAGATGTGAAGGCTATCCTGCTTGACGAAGCGTCCCATAACCACTCCGAGGCGGCATACGAAATCCTAGAGGAGAGCCTGGTTGGCTTTCTGGATTCAGAGTCTATCGCGAACAAAATCGGTACGAATGGATCGGCTGTCAAGGAGTCAAGTGAAGGAGTGCGGCCTGTGTATGCCTCGACGGGCATGTCGACCGAGGAAGACCTATCGGTGGAAACAGACTATACCAAGGATTATCAGAAGTTCAAATTCCTTGACCTCAACAAGCCACTGCTTCTCCAACTTTGGAATAGTGGCTTCAGCAAAGACTTCTACCTGAAGCAAATCCACCGACCGCGTCACTACAAGGGAGGAGAGTCCGCTCCTCTCTTCGGTAACTTCCTGGAACCTCTGAGCAAGACGGCATGGTATGTGGTGCCTTTGATATGGCTTCCTCCAGTCACATATGGGACCATTATGGGCTTTTCGGGATTGGGAAACGTTGGCGTTACTGCCGCGTACTGGCTGACTGGTCTTTCCCTCTGGTCCTTGATTGAGTATCTGCTGCATAGATTTCTGTTCCACCTCGATGGGTATGTATCCCACTATCATTGTTCTTTTTTTGGCCTTCGTCTGACATATCATGATTAGGTATCTTCCCGATAACCGAGTCGGTATCACTCTCCACTTTCTCCTGCATGGAATCCATCACTACCTGCCCATGGATAAATACCGTCTCGTGATGCCACCGACTTTGTTTGTGCTGCTGGCTGCGCCCTTCTGGAAGTTGGCTCATACAGTCTTTTTCTACAACTGGTATGCCGCTCTCACAGTATTCTGTGGCGGAGTATTCGGCTACATCTGCTATGACTTGACACATTACTTCCTACATCATCGCAAGTAAGTATCCTACGAATGCTCTTTTTTACACGTCGAAGGATTCTGACCGCTCGTGCTACTCTTAGTCTGCCTCTCTACTACAAGGAACTCAAGAAATATCATCTGGCCCATCACTTCGCCGATTATGAGAACGGATTCGGCGTCACCAGCCGCTTTTGGGATCGAGTGTTCGGCACCGAGCTTGAGACTCCTACGCCAAAGCCCGTGAAGACTCAGTAAAGGAGTCCTTATGACTTCATCCTTGACGAATTCCTTTCGCTGCCCATATTTATACTTTACGATTAATATTAAGTCGAAGCATTATTCGTGGCCGCTTCAGTCACGACCATCCCTATGAGTTGAAGCTTGGGCCCAACCTTCAATCCTTGTATAACACTTTGTCAGGGCCATGAGCCTTTGAAGTCTGATGCCAATCGCTTTGTGATGGGTTAGCCCTAGAACTACTGTTTTCAAACGACTGTATTTGACTACTTAAACAATAGATAATTCATTTTTACTTTATGTGCATCTTAGTGCTCCAGCATTATTGCCACAGTGAAACCTTCCGCATCAATGTGGTCTGAAACTGAGACTACCAGCCGGTGTTGTGGCCTAAGGCACCAGTTGAGCTCAAAATTCTGAGATCGGAGGCAAATGCCAAGCCTCATGTGACCATTTATGAAGACATCCTTCAACATCACATCACTCAGTCACACTCTCAATTCAGAATCAGTCCTGTGCATTTTGCAATACCAGTTACCATAACGCTTCGTTTGTCTTGATTCTAAATCTGTCACTGAGCAGGCGTGATCTACAAAGAGTTTGACTCTATAATCTGAAGGGTTTGCTCAAGCCAAGCTTGAATCGACCATCCCATTCTAACAAAGTCAAAAGTGACCCAACCCTCTCCACGCCATCTTCTTTCTTCCCAATCTCTCCCAAGTGAGCCATTCAAAAGAGGGTTATCTAGCACACTGCCATAATGTCAGGTCTCGACGTTGAAGCCCTCCTCGAGTCTACCGCGGCGGCCACCCCCCAGGACTCAGCACCGTCTCAGGAGCGCGATGACCCTTTGAATGCAGACAGCAGTGAACGACGCGATCGCGATCGTTCGCGGGATCGTGAGCGCAGACGACGCGACCGGAGCCGTGACCGACGCCGTGAAAAAGACGCCGATGGAGATGAAGACATGAAGAGTCCGAAGAGCGAACATGGCAGTGCTAACGGAAGCCATAGAAGCAGAAAGAGGAGCAGAAGCCGCGACAGCGAGCGCCGTCGGTCCCGTCGCGACCGCTACGGCGATGACTATCGCTCCGGCGGAGATTTTTACCGCGGAGGTGGCCGGGCTCGCACACGATCTCGCTCCCCCTATGATGATCGCTACTACCGGCCTTCCGGTCGCTCGCGGCGCGAAGACCGGGAGGAAGACCGACGCTCTCGTCGTGAGCGCAAGCGCAGCCCGAGCAAGGAGAAGTCTCCGGAGCTTAATGAGGATGAGCGTGACAGGCGTACCATCTTCGTCCAGCAGCTTGCCGCGCGGCTGAGGACGAAGGAACTGATCGCTTTCTTCGAAAAGGTTGGACCCGTCAAAGAGGCTCAGATTGTGAAGGATCGTGTCAGTGGACGCTCCAAAGGGTAACCTACACCAAATTGTTCTAGATGGGATGGGGGTTAACAGCATTCTAGTGTTGGTTACGTTGAATTCAAAAGCGAAGAGTCCGTCGCGCCCGCTATTCAGCTCACCGGTCAGAAGCTTCTAGGAATCCCGATCATTGCACAGTTGACGGAAGCGGAGAAGAACCGCCAGGCCCGCAACCCAGAGGCCAGCAGTGGACACAACCACGCGGCACCATTTCACAGGCTATACGTGGGTAACATCCATTTCAGTATCACTGAAAATGACCTCCAGAATGTTTTCGAACCCTTTGGCGAACTCGAGTTTGTTCAACTTCAAAAGGACGAAACAGGCCGAAGCAGGGGCTATGGTTTCGTACAGTGAGTCATCGATCCATTCTCCTTTGTATACATTGTCCCGACTAACCATCTCTCGCCAAGGTTCCGTGATCCCAATCAAGCTCGTGAAGCTTTGGAAAAAATGAATGGCTTTGACCTTGCTGGTCGAGCAATCCGTGTTGGCCTTGGCAACGATAAGTTCACCCCTGACTCGTCAGCGCAACGCTCTCAGGGCCATGGTGCGAACCAACAGAATTTTCAGGGCTCTTCATTCTCTGGCCAAGGAGGGCGTGGTATCCAGGCTGGTGGTACAAGTAGCTTTGACCGTGCTGGTGGCCGTGATTCCGAGAAGGGAGCTGGCGCAAGTGCTCTGGACGATACGGACGTTGCCGGTGTGAACTTCAACAACTATAGTAGGGACGCATTGATGAGGAAGCTTGCAAGAACAGATGAACCTGCCGAACCTGCTGCCGACGACAAGCAGAAACTACTTCGCCCCAAGACAGAAGTCAAGCCGCTGCCTGTGAACGTCAACATGGCGAGCCGTTGTGTTCTGCTTCGGAACATGTTTGATCCTTCTGAGTACGTCAACCCCAAAGCCGCTATTCTTAGACCACAGAAGCTGACAAATGCCATAGGGAAGAAGGTGAAGCTTGGATCAAAGACCTGGAGGATGACGTCCGCGCTGAGTGCGAAGAGAAATATGGCCATGTTGTTCACATTGCACTAGATCCCAACTCTCAAGGCGACATATACCTCAAGTTCGACCGGGTTCAAGGCGGCGAGAATGCCATCAAAGGCCTCAACGGACGATTCTTCGGCGGTCGCCAGATCACCGCCCAGCCTGTTGTCGATGCTGTGTACAGCAGCTTGTTCTCACGCACGAAAGCGATCTAGTGTTTGGAATGTTCTCTCAGCGACCATCTACCACGCATGCACGAAATGGTAGGTATCGTATCTAATCAGGCATTAGGCGCACCCTTGACCGTCAAAACTTACCTCTTTGACCTATGTGATTTGATTTCCCCGTGCTTCGGCATGGCGCTTTGCATGCTTGGATGACGCTGGCCCTGGTAGGTGCCGATCTTCTAACATCTCGCTTTTGTGGTTATCGATATGAGCCCGAAGGCTGTTGCGCAATGATTTGTTTATAGGAACTTTACTTTCGCGTTCAGCGCAATTGAACATGACTCTTTTCTGTCTTTTCATTCTATTGTAGAATAATCTCGTCTGCCCGTATATGAAATGGACTTTCCTTAGCATTCGAGTTTCCGTAACACTTCGTTTTGCCATGTGGAGAGAAAAAGAAATGAGATTATAATATGGCACGCTTGTGATATCAGAACCCAGTGATCTCAAATCAACACTACCTAGGACTCAGATATCCCCATATACAATTCTACTGATAGCATATAAGTTCCTTCAGATAGCGCGAAATAACATTCTAAGCTATCAGATGAGAGACTCTATGCACCACAAAAGCTTTGTATTCACGTAGCCCCGAAGACCTTGCTTGGTGAATTCTTTGGTTCTTTGGTGATATCTTTGAAGTCTTTAGGAATAGCCAGCCATAGCCATGACAGAGACCGTCGCCGAGATGCGCATCTAAGAATAGACAGTGCCCAGCAGCACACTATTTAGGGTATCATCAGCTGTATTTTGGAATCCCACGCACGCTGATTTCTTTCATTTTCACAAACACCGGCTTCCTCCTCAGCTCTTGTGTTCAACGTAGTCCAGCTGGTCAGCCACATCAAACAAGCCACTGCCAGGCTTTCATGCCTGGACCCTGTCTACATATCTTCGTCGCTTTAGAAGAGGAGAAACTCACAGTATTAAGAGACCAGCATGCAGGCACCGCGTGATGAACCGTCCCGTCCTGAGGGGACCGCAACCCCAAGACCCAGGAGCGGAATGGCCATGGGTTCCCCGACAACCCCACATCCAGGCGAGCCTGGTCTACAGCGTGAACCGACTGCTGGAGGAGCCAGGCCTTCGACTTCGCGACCGCGCCGTCAGCGAAGCTCTCATCCGCCGCCATTCCCGAACTTCGCACTGCTCACGAGCAACCCGCGAGCGCGGATCCCGACTGCAGACGAGACATCCAATGGATCTGCCGAGGAGTTCACTGCGAGGGACCTCGAATGGCTGATGCGTCACCATCGTGGTCCGGGACCCATTAGCGAGCCTGGTCTGCCGTATGATCTGCAAAGGGCGACAGAGAACTTCGGCGTCAGGCTCAGGCTCCTCTGGCGAGAGGCGGAGGACTTCAGCATTACCTTCGCGAGCTTGCCGGACCCTGTCAGGGATGCGCAGCTGCGCCCCCGTATCATGGACTATCTTGTACGCGTCTCGGACCGGTCTATCGCCTCCGATCTGCTGGGCAGTTCTACCACCCGGTTTCACCTTGTCACGAGAGCCATCAACGAATGGTTGCTGGATCATGTCTTGAATGAGAACATGGTTAAGGAGTTCGATACGGCTGCGTATGATGAGTTCTTGCAGCTCAAAATGCATCTCATTCGGAGTAGGTATACTGGATGGGTGCCTGCTGTTGTTTTCTGGGATTGCTAAGTGAAACTCTCTAGGTGAAGTTCCCCTGGCCGCCCGCAAGATCTTGCTCGACGCAATGGTCAAGATTGTCGCAAATATGCTAGTGAGGCCTGATTTCCCGGACTTTTGCGCGCAGAAGTTTCACTGGCTCGTTGAGAAACTGTGGCGGTACATTGGACCTTTGCTTCCGGACACGCCCCAACATCAGGTAGACGGCCGTGGCATTCTCGCGGGTATCATTTCGAAAGCGGCATCCCTCTCCGTGGAGATGCTGTGCACTCCTCTTGAATACGTCCATTGCTTTCCAGACGTTGGCGACGCCTTCGTACCAAGAGAGATGCGCAACCAGTCTTTTCACATCAGAGGCGAGCCCGGACTGCTCAGAGACAGCAACTTCGAAGTGAAACTGGGTATCAGCCCCATCACTTTCATTTGCAGACATACTGGCAGCGACTGGGTTCCTCAGCTCGTCTCCCGGGGCGATGTCATCTTAAGATCTCCGCGCAGCCCGCCAATTCTTCTCAATGTCCCTGCGCATCTGCGATTTCGCGACGTCTGACTTTCTTGGACTTGGAAAATATTAGAGTCATCCCTTTAGTGCTCTCGCTTTCGCACGATTGGCTCATTGTTTTCTGTCATCTGCGTTTGGGATCAGATACGGCATAGCTTTGGTTGAATAGGTCGTTTTGCACAGTTGCAAGGGCAGGTCTTCCTTGTCTTCTATCAAGCTCGATTGGGGTACTGGCGAGAATTCAGATGGATATTTTGAATGGCGCTTTTTGGCTCTGTCCTTAATGGAAGTAATGCTTTGTTTTGTTTTGTTTCTGACTGCGTTTGCATTCACAACGTTTCTGCCTCCTGTGCGTTAACGCAAGATACATCCTACAGTCGTGGTAGTTAGTTTAGAACAACGAACAAATCAATTGATAGGCGCTAATTTTGTGTCCCACTACTGATCAACAGCCACATTGCTCCGTTAAGTCCGTAATTTGTAACTCGTATTCATGTTGAGTGCTGGCCAGGATCAAAAAAGTAGTGTTGGGAACTTGGGACTGATGCATGAAGGAAGGGTTCACAGCATCACCAGCCGTCAGGACTACTGCTCATCGGCAAAATTTAAGCCTCGTAGTGGTTTCCTTTATTCTAGCTGGACTCCAAACTATGCGGCATGCTCCAAACGAATGGATGATGTGCTCAAATGGATGGCGACTCTCTTCCCTGCCAAGCAGATGTCATCACCAGCAGAAACAATCTGCCGTTGGAATATTCCTCCGTCGCAAAAAGACGCTCGGGCCGACTCATCCAGAATCCGCAACTCTTGCTGATCTCCCCGACACCCACGAAATGCATCATTCAACTGATTGATTGATTGATTTCTATCATTTCAAGCATTGTCACCTTTCGATGCCTCCACCTTCATGATTCGGGCTCCCACGAAGCGAGTCACTGTCCGAACATGGACCTTGACCAACTATTACGGTATGTCGAAGCCCTGCTCTGCCTTTTTTCCCCTCCCGCAAGTCTTATCTCCGAGGCTACTATACAGACCTTCGATATGGGTGGTTGAATCCTAAGGTCGACGCTTGCTAACTTCATTCGTGCATCAAGCTTTCATTGCACTATCGAAGCGTCATCACAACACAGACTCGGCAGGCTCCGCCATTGCTCGAACTATCAAACGGCCAGAGTTCCACGACTACTTCGTCACACATCTACCATCCTCGTCCTTGCATCCGGATCCCAGAGGGCCTCTGAATGCCTACAATAAACTTCCTCGCTCGGATTCGGTACCTCATACAAGTGCGATATCACATCCACCGACTTCCTTCCAAGCCCTGGTAGGCCGCGAAACCACCGTCGTCCGGATCCCGCTACGCAGCGCGAAGCACCATTTCGGCGTTGCCACGTCCCGGGGCACCCGAGCTTCAAATGAAGATACCCACCAGGCAGGTGTCCTTGACATCCCGGCCTTTGCGAAGCGCCCTCCTGCCTCCCTTACCATCAAGCGGGCTGTCGCGGCGTACCCCAATGCTGCCCGGGAAAGTCGTGGTGCCGACAGCGCGAGCGGTGACCCGCAGGTTTTTTATTTCGGCATTTTTGATGGCCATGGAGGGACGGAATGCAGCACGTTCTTGAAGGATACGCTACATGAGTACATACAGGACACGGCAGCGGAGTTCGAGTTCCAGTCCAGCTTGAGCAAGGACCGTGAGGGGCATTGTCTAGGACAGGACTCAGAATTTCCACGTGGAAGTCTACCTCTCATACAAGGCGGCAATCGCAAACGAATGGCGGAAATGGAGAAGAATCTGGTACAGAACTGGAGGCGACTCGTTGGGGGTTATTTTAAGAGATTTGTCCCGGCCCACTTCTCGTACTTAGGGAATGGTGCGCAAGAACAAGAGCGTCCATCGTGTGATGGCAAAGACCATGCAGGAGGCGTCACTATCGAAGAAATCCTCGAATATGCGTTTCTACGCGCGGATCTGGATTTCGTGTCTGCGCAAGCTGCCAAAGAAGATGACGAGTTAGCAAAGGCTCATCAACCTCAATTCCAGGATGACATTCTCTACGGGCCGAAGCACACAGGAAAACTGAGCATTGGCGGGTACAGGCGATTTAAGGGAGGAAGCACGGCTAGTGTTGCGCTTATCTCAACTCCCACTCCCACCCCGTTTTGGCACCCATCCACCCCGTCGAGCCTGCTCGTATCGCATGTGGGTGACACGCGGATGATTTTATGTTCTACCGAAACAGGTGAAGCCATACCGCTCACCTCGAATCATCATCCCTCTTCTCCCATCGAAGCAAACCGGTTGAGACGATACGCCGCCACCTTCGTAACCGATTCATTCGGCGAGGAGCGCATGAGTGGTTTGGCCAATACGCGTGCCTTTGGCGATGTCCAGTCCAAGCGGATCGGCGTATCTGCCGAACCAGAGATTCGACGCATCGAAATGGGTCCTGCGGAATATTCCTTCCTGGCTCTCATGTCTGATGGGATCAGCGGCACCCTCTCCGACCAGGAGATCGTCGATATCATCAAGGAGGCCAAGACTCCCGATGAAGGCGCTCGCAACGTGGTCAACTTTGCTACGGAGGTGACCAGAGAAGGAGACAATGCCACTTGTCTCGTCGTCCGGCTCGGCGGCTGGGAGCGTCGACTAGAAGGAGGGCTTGGAAGTCTAGGAACGAAGGAGTCTCGGGAATGGCGTCGACAGGAAGCGGTTGATCCGCGCAGGTCACGGAGATGAACATGAATCGACCTTTGCACAATAACTGTACATATTTAATCGTCACTTTCTACAAATACTGCCAGTGGCCCTTTCCGATTGGCATCTGATGTTTCTGGTGTATATACATTCTCTTGGCTGTGCTGGGTAGTATACAGCCAAGGAGAGTTTCTTTGCCGGAGGAGGAACTTAATTCTAGGGCCATCCATGAATCCATTTGAATATTTTGAAGGGTTTCAAGCAGTCGAATATTAATTATACTCGAAATTGATAGCTTTCGTGGTTGATATACTGATGCGGACAGCTCCGCAAACAGCCGCTTCAGGAAGAACGACGTCCACAGCTGCACTTCTACAAATGCCCCCTTTTGTTATCCATGACATGGACTCGTCGACTCTTCTCTATCATCAATTCTTCTTTTCATTCTAATCCTTTTTTTTAAGTCTAAAGCCTCGTCGACGACAGCTTTTGGCTCTAATCCTGACCTTGTGAGGATTTCTCTCCTTATCGAGCTTATCGTCATTGCAAACGCACGACTAAACAATCTCTCTCCCTAGGCATCTCCTGATTGTCCAGTCCATTTCAACCCAGGCTGCTAAAAGCAACGCGACATTTGACCCTTTGCTGCGCCCTTCCGCTCTTTTAAATCATCTCATTCTCTTCAACGCTGTACTGTGGCTTTCGATTCAAGCAGAAGTGCATTGACATTACAGAAAAGCGGAACCTGTCGGTAGGTGGTTTACAAATCTGTTGCGGAAGGCTCTGTCGCCCTCCACTGTTACTTGTTCATTTCGTTTGTTTGCCAAAGCGTCTCGCTCATTGCCCACGCTTCTCATAGTGTCTATCTACTCAGTAATCCTTTTAAAATTTCACGCCTCCTCGTCCCTGTCCGACCGTGCGCTTTTCGACCATTACGAGACATAATTCGCTAGCCGTTGATGTACTCGGGATAAGACCTCCCTCCTTCACAGCGTCACTGTTTTCGTTATCTTCAGCTTATCCTCCTCTCTTATCGATTGTCTTAACACCTTTCAAAACTTGCTTTTGGGGACGATCATTTTCTTCCTGGACATACTGCACATCCTACACATCGCACACTTCACAATGAGCGCCAGAACAAGAAGACAAAAAGCTGCATTGGGTGTTCAGGCCGAGGGGAGCGACATGATGACGACGACGACAGCCAGCAACGGCACGGCGCGGAAACCCCTCTCAAAAGCCCGATCTCCTGCCCCTGAGGAAGAGACCAAGGAGAATGTATTTCTCTTCGTTCCGAATCTCATTGGTGAGACAAAGCGCCCTCTGATGTGATGGTTATCATGATGTTGGAGTTCGATTCTAATCGCCATTGCGACTGACCAGGATACGCACGGGTGTTCTTAACCGTGGCCTCCCTCTACTACATGCCCCTCCACCCTCGAACATGCTCTCTACTATATAGCGTATCGTGCCTGCTGGATGCTCTGGATGGATATGCGGCGCGTTATTACAACCAATCTACCACCTTCGGAGCAGTGCTTGACATGGTAACGGACCGCTGCACAACCGCTTGCCTGCTTGTTTTCTTGAGCTCTGCGTGGCCCCGGTGGTCGATTGTATTCCAGAGCTTGATTTCCCTGGACTTGGCCAGCCATTACATGCATATGTACGCCACTCTTAGCATGGGAGGATCTGGCAAGAGCCATAAGAATGTTGAGGCCACCAGAAGCTGGATTCTTCATCAATACTACACCAACAAGGTGGGTGAGGTGTGACTAGCTTGAATCTGGACACTAGTGTGGCTGACCGACACTGCAGACTGTACTCTTCGTTTGCTGTGCGCTCAACGAGCTTTTCTTCATCGGGCTTTACCTGCTTTCCTTCTCGTCCCCCATTCTCTCGCCCTCTCTCCTCCAGGCTCAAGACCCCAGTGCGCCTCCGGCTCTCGCTAGCCCATGGAGCGCTGGAGCGCTGGAGATGGCTAGAGCAAACAAGATCGATAGCTTCTGGCCATGGGTTATCACGGGTATCTCCGCCCCGGTCATGGCACTGAAGCAGTTCATCAATGTTGTCCAAATGGTCAAGGCCAGCAAGTGGCTTGTTGAGGGTGATCTCGCAAGACGCGCGGCTGCGCAGAACGTGAAGGGCCTGTAGGCCGCTCTATTATTTCGTGCCTCACGGTAATGTAGTAGCTTTTCCCCCCAGTTGAGACCATGTGGTCGGTGGCACTGGAAGCTGCTCATCCCTGGCCCGTTTGTTCTTTCCGGGCATTTCAATATATAGCCCTTTCGCCGACTACGGACACTTTGTCTTATCGTCAGCATCCTGTCTTCTAACGCATGGCTTCGGTGCTACGGTCGGTACTTGGGGGCAGGGGAGCAGGCTGCTTTCCCTCTTCGTCCCTGAATTGTTTCTTTACTCGCTCGTCAGTGGCATTGATGCATGTCCGTTCAAGTGTCCTGGGAGGTGGTGAATTGGGGGTTCATCGGTTATATGGAACCCCTCACAGGTGATCTTTCGAATCGCCAATTCTTGTCTCAATTATTATTATCTTTAGTCTTCTCTCTTCTCTTTCTTATTTCTTGTGAACTATTCATTTCGTCAATGCGCCATTTGCTAGGTGCTATTAATCTGTTTGTGGGGAGCGATGGACATATTGAAGTGCTTGTTCTTAGCAGGCTATCATCATTATCATGACTAGGTGTCTTCCGAATATAACGAATGATCAGAAATGCTGTCAATGTAATCAGGGTCCTTTGTATAGCAATGTAGCGATGGAGCACTGCTTGCATCCTTATTCCTTACCCAAAGACCCCAGCTCCTTGAGTGAATGATAACTGCTCGGCTTAAGGTGGAATCCAACGGCGTTCAGCCTCCGGTGTCGGCGCGCGGGGTGGAATCCACCCCCTCCATACCGCAAGAGATATTTCAAGCTCTGTCAGCCACCTTCTTCTTCTTCTCGTTCCTCAAATCTATAATTCTATCTCCACAAACAGCAGACACATCATGCCGTCATATAACATTGTCGTTTTCGGTGGTGACCACTGCGGTCCAGAGGTAAGTCCAGCGACGCCGAGCTGATGAGTCCGGGGAGCTAACGGATATGCTGTGACGCATAGGTGACCGCTGAGGCAATCAAGGTGAGAGAGCTATTGTCTGCTTGGATGCCATGGCCGGCTTCCAAGCAGGATCGTCTGGGAAAATAATGTGCATAAGCTCATTCGCGTCTGTCGCTTGCTAGGTCCTCCGTGTGGTTGAGAAGTGCCGTGACGATGTCAGCTTCAACCTGCAGGATCACCTGCTCGGCGGTGTAAGCTTGTCCTGTCTTACAGTAGCTCTAGAGGATCAATTGTTAATGAGAGCTCCTACTAGGCGTCCATTGATGCGACCGGATCTCCCCTGACCGACGAGGCGTTGAACGCTGCGAAGAGCGCCGATGCCGTCCTCCTCGGTGCCATTGGTGGACCGGTATGTTGACGCCCTTTCCCAGCGACACGGGAGGAATAATATGGGCCATCCGGCCTGAAGGATGCATGCTAATACGGTCATAGAAATGGGGAACCGGTGCCGTCCGCCCAGAACAGGGTATTCTCAAGCTGCGCAAGGAGATGGGCACATTCGGCAACCTGCGGCCGTGCAACTTCGCCGCCCCCTCGCTGGTCGACAGCTCCCCTCTCCGCCCCGAAGTCTGCCGCGGCGTCGACTTCAACATCATCCGCGAACTGACCGGCGGTATCTACTTCGGCGAGCGCAAGGAGGATGACGGCAGCGGCTATGCCATGGACACGGAGCCGTACTCGCGCGCAGAGATCGAGCGCATCACCCGTCTCGCGGGCCATCTGGCTCTGCAGCACAACCCCCCTCTCCCCGTGTGGAGTTTGGACAAGGCCAACGTCCTGGCCACCAGCCGTCTGTGGCGGAAGACCGTGACGGAGGTCATGGAGAAGGAGTTCCCGCAGCTGCAGATCGGACACCAGCTTATCGACTCTGCTGCCATGATCATGGTCAAGGAGCCCCGGAAGCTGAACGGTATCATTGTCACCAGCAACCTGTTCGGTGATATCATCAGTGACGAGGCGAGTGTCATCCCCGGTTCGCTTGGTCTGTTGCCCAGTGCCAGCTTGAGCGGTATCCCCGACGGAAAGTCCAGAGTCAACGGTATTTATGAGCCTATTCACGGTAAGTAGTTTCTGAACCTCCCCGCTCCGTGTTTCGGCTCGAGTCGAGTACATGCTCACGCCGGACAACAGGATCTGCCCCCGACATTGCCGGCAAGGGCATCGTCAACCCCATCGCCGCCATCCTCTCCGTCGCCATGATGATGCAGTACTCCCTGAACCGTTTCGACGACGCCAAGATCATCGAGACCGCCGTCCGCAATGTGATCGAGGCCGGTGTCCGGACCGCCGACATTGGCGGCAAGGCGACGACCAGCGAGGTGGGCGATGCTGTTGCCGCTGAGCTGGAGAAGTTGTTGAAGTAGTCGAGTTCCCAAGCAACCCTGTCCTCATACAAAAAAGCAAGTTTTGGTTCTTTCTTGCGTGGAGCAAATGTCGGTCCTATGTTATGTCAAATGGGAGATGACTCAATCTAGTCTATAGATATGATACAATACTTATTTAATCATCAATACCCCTCTGTGGAACAGACAGCCTGTATGTAGCTTCAATCACTCCTTGATACTATGTAGTAAAAAATGACAATGTAAGAAATGGGTATCTCAAACTGGTACACAAACCGAATAATAACAAACCAGCACCCCCATGGCACCATTCAATGCGGGATAAGTCCACCGTGAACGCCAGCACTGCAGAATCGCCGATAAAATACATGGTCCCTAATGGCACGGAACTATTCTTGTCCCTCCTTATCGTATCACAGGCTCGCCCATCCAGTCCGGCTCCTCGAGCCCGCCCACCTTCGCCCCATCAGTCTCTCCGTTGATATTGCGTCGCTCAGTACCGTCATCATTGACGCTCCCCCGCAGAGACCGACGCACACTGTGTCTTCGCGTGCGGCCATCCGCAGAAGCAGAGGGTGCATTGCCCATTCGCCGGCGGTCATCGTCGCGCGCAAACACCTGGAATCCACGCACGTGGGTATCCTTCCCGTTCTGATGATTCTCCGTTACGCGCATCTGAAGCACCATCGCCTTCAGCACATTGCCCGCATACGGATCATCGTCATCCTCGTCGGCCGACTCGCCGTCGTCGTAGTCGTACGCCGCCTCGTCGTACTCGACCGGGTTCTCCGCGTCCGAGAACATAGCGTCCGGCCACGCGACACGCGCACCCTTAGATCTCCTCTTCCCCTTGTCGTCCTGCGTGCGGGCCCGCGTGTGCTTGCGCCGTCGCCGCCGCACCCACCCGCCGTCCCGGCCGCCGACGCCTTCGAGCGGGATTTCAACCCAGCCGCAGGGTCCTTCGCCCTCCCAGGTTGCGAACTCGACGAGGTCGTTGCCGCCCATGCCGGCGTGGAAGGTCATCTTGGTCGGGGTGTAGCTTTCGTCCATCTCGAAGTCGAGGTAGACGCGGATTTTCACCACTGCGACGAGCTTGAAGAAGTGGAGGCTCAGCGTGTGTGGTTGCGGGCCGTCGGATTGCCAGTACTGCGTGGGTGAGGGGTGTCGGAGCGCGGCGACACCACAGCCGGGTTTGTGTGTTGAGACGGTCCAGGAAGCGAGGGAGGATATCTCGCGGAGGTTGCTGGGGAGCGGGGAGGGGGATCGGTCTGTGATTGAAGGTTTACGAAGTGAGCTTATGTCTGAAGCAGAATAGAGCACTGTAGCACAGGATTAGCTTACCTCGATCATGCATCAATTCGTCCTCATCCTCTTCACCTTCCAACTCCTCCCCAACCATCCCTTCCATCTCCTCCTCGGAAAAGTCCCTTTCCTCCTCCTCCTCCTCCTCCTCCGGATCTAGTTCCAGGCGCTGGTTATCCATATCAAATGTCTGATCTGCCTCCTCTTCCTCTTCCAGTTCCTCAGGCTCGTCCTCATCGTCCTCGTCCATCATCGGGGCCCGCTGCCGGCCCGACACTCCCCGCCCGAACAACGAAAAGAGCGCAGCTTGCGCAGCGGAACCGGGATGGGCAGTAGTCGGCTGCGCCGCTTCGATAGGGCCGGATGAAGGATACAATTGCGGAATACCGCGCGCTGGCGGCGTCTGGAACTGAGGCTGCGCGGCGCCATGTCCCAGTCTTGATCCGCTTGTTCGTGGCTGCGGAGAGTCATTGTCGGTTGTTTCTGGGGCGGGGGCGGCGTGTCTTCGGAGGAGATGGTGACGAGGCATTGCGTTTGCTTTTGTTGAGACGTTGGTTGGGTGTCTCTTGTGGTTTTTGTGGCTATCCAGGCATCTCGGCCTGTTCTGTCCTTTGATTGTATTGTTGATGTCGGAGAGTGAGGACCTATGAATTGAATTTCCTCTTTGGGGTTAGTGTTGCCATTTTTGGTATAGCTGCCTGATACACCATCGTCCACTAGATCTAAAGGACGAACTACACTGTAATGGCTTCTTCCCACTCCAGGGCTTCTTCGGGGAAGTGACTGATTTCCTTGACTAACTGCTGCACCGTTTCGTTCAAGCAAGCAGGCGCTTGGATAGTATCATTGGTGACAGTACGCGGAGATGGCAGGCCCAGCCAGAGGGATGTGACTTTTGTAGCCAGCGATGGGTATTAAAGATATCCAGCAGTAGATGGCCCTAACATGATGATATCCGCGTCTTTTGTGTACAGTGGATGTAATTTCTTATTGAAGTGACTGATAGCACGCAACAACAATTGCATTGCCTGGTCACGCAAATACAAATCTTCATCCCATGGCTTGGGACCAAACAGGCAAACATGGTGCTCGAGGTAAAGAGGCTGTTAGCCCAACAAGAGATCTTTGTCGACTACTATAAAAAGACAATTCTTTCATCCTCTCATCCAAATCACCAGCACACTAAAATCTGCAAGCCGTGGCGAGCTGGGGATCTGGTGCGGCCGTATACTCGAGATAGATCGTTTCTGCTGCTTAAGCGGTCTTGTTCTTTGCAACGGCTAGAATTACTATTTCATTCCTGTCGAGTACGGTTATCGCGGCTCTTTATTACTCTGGAACTTCTTTCATGCCGGTCTCTTCCTAGCCTTCATTTATCCAGGTGCCACACTGAAGACATGTCAGAGAAAGACTGTGTTCAATCGCAACCTTATTAGGTGGTCTCTGATCACACTATGCTTCGCTGTGCTTGGAAAAGATCCGTGCTGCGTGATAGTCGGAGATTCTGTTATTTAAATGTGCCAGAATATCGCTGAATGGATCAAGACTCTCTCAGACCTGCATGCAATTTGTGCCACCGCGGGCGGCGCTATGGAGGATCTGAGATTATCAGACTTTCGAAGTAATGGAGAAGTAGTCTCATCCAATATCAATCAGATTCACCAACACATGAGTAAAGCCAGATAAGGTGTTAAGGCGCCACTTATCACAGCCAGTATCAAGGAAGATAATAGCCGCTGTTCTGTAGAAGCGAAGTGCAGGATAGATGCATGCACAATCAGGGTGAGGCCAGCAGCTGCAGTTAATCTCACTATAAGAATATCAGTACACTGCAATGCCCACGAGCACACCCTGGGGCGGATTAGACGGCCAGGGGATAATCTTGCAGAGGAGTTGACATACTAAGCGTGGTCTGGACTGTGGATTCACCAGCGAGACAAGACAGGCCGAGAAGGATAGATAGAAGATTGGAGAATATTGCTAGCTCTGCGTTGCAAGTATCAGAAAACCGAGGTTCTTGGGAGAATAATTGTATCAAGGTTCATACTGTCTGTGAACAGTCTATAACTGTCAACAGTAACGGACTTCAGGGCAGTCGGCTCTTGGGATGTTGGTGTTGGCATCGAAGATAATTTGTGACTTGGGACACATATGGACAAGAAAAATATAACTCGAAACCCATTACTTGAGGGGAAAAATAGTGTTGATGATATTTTTGTTGCTAAGAGTGAGCAGAGGTACCAGATGTCTCATGTTATGTTATATATGTTTTTAGCATCTTGGCTACCTTGATTTTATGAAAGCAGTAACAAAGACCCATAAAATGAAAAAGAAACCGATCGTATTACTACCGAGATATCAAGCACCAAGCTGCAACTGTCTAAACCAACAGAATTTACTAGAAAATAAGGGTATGATACAAGGACGAGCAGCCAGAGCATGAAGCGCTCGCTTAAAGTCAGTCATCAGGTCCAGCAATGACCTCTTTTATTCTGGAACGTCCACGTATCCGAGTTTCTGTCCCATCTGGATGCGCTGGCCCTTCTCAATGGTCCAGTTCCATCCGCCAACTCGTTTGCCTTCATCCCAGCCGTTGTCGAATGACTTTCGGGTTCCCACTGGAGCCTCGAACACGAGCACGATGGAACTACCCAGCTGGAAGCCGCCCATTTCTTCTCCCGTTCGGAGGGGATGCCCGCCTAATGTCCTACTTGCGTGAAGGTATGTCGCCTCGACGAAACCGGGATATTGCTCGCCTCTTTGCGCAGCAAGAGCTGCAGCTCGATCTGCAGCGGTGTCTGTCAAAAGGCTGTTCGTGCGCAATTCCGCATCGAAATTGATCTTGATGGAGCCCACATTAGTGGCGCCCACAGGGATATAGCTGAAGAAGCCCCAGCGCCAGCGACCTAACAGAGCAACTCGCTCATTCAGGGTGAAGAGACCGGGAAGATGGCGTTGAAGGTATGGTGACACGGAATACAATTCACCCGCAAAATGTCGGCGACTCTCAACAACCCACGGCACGGGGGAGTGGAAACGATGGTAGTCGCCAGGCGCAAGATAGACGACCACATAGTAGAGCGCATTGTTCGAGGCTGGCTTAGGAGTGTACCAAGGAGTACCATCGCCACGAGCAAGATCAGCCTTGACTAAATCTTCTGAGATGGCCTCTGATTTGGTGGAGGCGTCCAAGGAAGCCGCTCTCCTCCGGGCTCCTCCACCTTCATCACCTGCGAGGAGGGTCGGCAGTGTGTAAGAGATACCATTCATTTGGGCAAATTCTTCATCGGCAATCATATTAGCTGCATCTTTTTGAGATGGTTCCTGCATATGATTTGTGAACTTCTTGCTGTGGTCGGCGTTGGTCGGCGTAGCAGCACCCAGCAGGGCATCCAAGCTGTATGTAACTCCCTTGACTTGCTCCACTTCTCCACGGTCGATAAGGCCAAATTGCAAGATACGTCCATCCGATGGTGACACAATGGCGCGCGGGTCGGGATCAATAGGGCGGACACCTGGCTTCAGTTTGCGATAAAAGAAGGCCGCCAAGTTCGGATAAGTGTGAAGATCTGGCTCGGCTACCTCGTCCAGATTAACGCCGAAGATCCAGGAGTAGAGTTTGAAACCGGGAACGCGAATATAGTAAGGAAGTTCTAGTTCATTGAAGCGTCCCCACCAGCGTGACATGGCTTTCAGGGGCAATGTCGCCATGATTTGAACGTGCCATGGGCCGCTGGGCCTGACTCTCGGGCGCGGAGGAGGCTTGTCGAAATCAAATGACTCTCCGAGAGCTTCTCTCTCTGCACGATCCCTTTCTGCCCGTTGTGACTTGTAAAAATGAAGTAAACCCAGCAAACCGATACCCAAACCGACTGGGATCGGATACCACTCTACCTTGGTGGTCCGCAAGGCAAATCGGAGTCGGGATCCAAAAGAGCCCTTAGGTGAGGGATTCTCATGACTTTGTTGCTTCCATGACTTTGAAGAAATTTGTCTAGAACTGGCCTGGCTTCGACCAGTCGCTCTAAAGAACACCATATCCATCAGGCCAGCCCTGCCCCCATTCGAGGAGACGACAAAGTTCCGGCGAAGAGGCGCAGAACAGCTGAAAAGGCACGGGGCCATAATGGCTGATCTACTCCAAAGACATCATCCCCAAGGGGAATAAGGATGGCGCGATTAACTGTGGGGATATGTCCAGATAAGACTGAGATGGAATCGTTTCGTTGCGGATAATTCTTTCGTCCTCAAGTTTTGCGTCATGTCACACTCACCGCCCGGCAGAATGTGCCCTCTATCGGCCTCAAGAATGAATGACTCTCCGCCAGCTGTTGTTTATCCCGCCATTCTCATCTGACAGCTCTCGACCCCGTGCTTCTTTCCATTCCCTGAACTTGTCGAGCTGTTTACTACCAAGAGGCCACTACCTAATCTGTTTTTGTCTTCTTGATGGTGAATTCCCGATATGCGAAGCTTGAATCTCGCTGACTGAGGAAAAGGACACCATCATCCTCAGCGTCTCCTCTCCGCATTTCGACTTAGCGAGGCACAAAGCATATTTTATGTCACTTTTTACCACTTCAGCCCGAGAAATATCTCTCTTCACCTAGTGAAAGCTTCTTCCGATTCAAAACTGTACACTTTGCAGACGGAGAGCCTCAACAGCCGAAGCGGCTTGTACTCATCATAGAACTGTTTCATAGAACAATGAGCTCTGCTTGAACGCGCATTAAACTTGGACCACCACACGGGAGAAGGATTCAGAATCCCTTGAAAATGGCCTCCAATCCTTCTCCAGACATTGCTACTCCAGAAAATGGAATCACTCCACATAACGTCACCCTGCATGTCTTGTGCCCATCTCTCGAAAGCACCAATCGCTTTACCTACAATGATCTTCCCCTCTCCACTACTGTTGGTGCTCTCAAGGCGCGCTTGACAGATTCTATTCCAGGACGGCCTCCTCCACATACCCAGAGACTCATTTTTCGTGGACGCGCCCTCCTTGATGATGCTGTGACACTACAAACTGTACTTGAACCAGTGAATGCAAGTCTCCATGAACTGCTTTGCTTATTGCGTTTTTCATGGGAAATATCAGGCTAACAAACAAGCAGTCAGTCTCCCAGAACGCCGAATACTCTCTGCATCTTGCCCTTCCACCGCCCTCGTCTACTACATCAGTTAGATCCGCCATCCCATCTGGTTACAACTCTCCGGCGACCCGAAGCCAACAGGACGCCTTTGCCAGCAGTGGGTGGGCACCTCCGGCACAGAACTATGGGCAAACTCTAAGGCATAGAGGTGGAATGCCTCCTGTTGTGCCACATGAGGCAGAGCTCTCACTTGCTTTGCAGCGCAACATCGAGATTGTTCGTCGGAATGTCGAAACCCTGGAAGCGATACAGCAGAACAGGTTCGCATCGCAGGGAACTCCCAACCAAGCGACCTCTACTACTGGCTCTGCCTCGCGGCCAAATCCATCTAATATTGCTCAGTCCTCACAACTGCGAACCGGACTGTACCAATCGGGACCTTTTCCCCCAACAGGACAACCTTCATCGTTGAATCCTGCGCCACATGTGTCTACTGATTTCCGAACTCTCCGTTCTTGGCCCGTTAGATCTTGGCCTGCTATAAGAAGTCAGACCACAGATTCTCGAGTTCGTCTAGAGCTCCTACAGCTTCAGGTAGCCCAGGCTGAGGATGAGCTTCGCCTGGGAATAGCGCCACCGGCAGATCGGATCATTCGAATCCGCAACCAACTATGCGAGCTGTTGGACGATCAGTATAGTGATCTCAATGGCGAACGCAATGGAGCCATTGAATCACTGCTCACACGCATTTTTAACGTCTATAGTCGCGCGGACCAACTCCGGATCACTCATTCTAGACTCCGAACTCAAACCCCGATCAGCACCACCCCTGCAAATTCCGAGCAAGTACGTTCGCCTATATACCTTGTTCAATCACGAGACGGATACCAGGGCGTGCTTGCATCCCCTGGCGCATCGAACTCTATCCAGGCCACGCTTGATTCATTGCGTACAGCGCAAACTCCTGAGACTGCAACTATTCCCGTGCCAGGTCAACCAGCAGGTCTACGCGCGAATCCTGAAGCTGTGGTAATGGAAAATGCTGTCCGTCAGGCCGTGCTGAACCAGCGAGCAGGGAACGATGGACCAGCAGGCTTATCTAGACACATCAGACGCATCTGGCTGTTTGTCCGGCTCTATTTCTTCTGCTACATGTTTAGTGACTCGGGTACTTGGTTGCGAGTTGTCTATGTGACTCTCGCCGTGGTCATTTCTCTTCTTTCGGAAACTAGTTATCCTCGACACCTGTACAATTGGACGATTGCTCCAGTGCAGCGTCACCTCGAGGGACTGGTGCATTGGGCTCCTGATACTACCGCCGATACCACCAACCGGGCGGCTGCTGGTACCCACGGCCCAGGAGCTGACCGTGCCACTCTGCCAGGCCAACTACGCCAGAACCTCCGACAAGTGGAGCGATCCCTTGCACTCTTTCTTGCCAGCCTGGTTCCAGGAGTGGGTGAAAGACATATTGAGGTGCGCAACGCAGCCGAGGCCGCTCGTAATGCGCAGCTTGCACGAGAGGAAGAAGAGCGCCATAGACAGCAGGAGACGGAAGACAATACCGAGCAGCAGCCGACCCGTGGGGGTGAAGCTGCCCAAAACGAGCAAACTGCGCCAGCTGAAGAGAACGCGCTGGCCGCAAACGAACTTGACCCTTTGATACCCCCTGAAGATAACTAGTGAGCGAGGTGAATTCTTTTGAGCTTCTTTGCACTTGAGCGTTGTGTGATTCTTATGTAGCAGCAACTTCTTGAGCGCATTCTGAGCACGCGAATGTGAATTATCGCCTACATTGAATTGAAAACTACTTTCCTTGAATGCATTGTAGATCTCCATGACTATATAGTCTGTCACTAATGACGTCTAAATGCTCGATGATAAGTTCGCTCACGGTCTAGGGTATCTGCTAAAGCCATCCTGTTCCTTCTTCTGCAATACGGCCATCACAACTTCCCGCCGAGCCTTTCTGGCGATGTATCCTGGCCGGAGGACAGCGACATGGGACCCGTATCAAACGACTCCTCCCCATTGAAGTGCCTAAAAGTAAGGATAAATCAGACCCACGGCTCGCAAACACATCTTCAAGCCAAACCAGACAAGGCACAGAACAAACTTACCATCCCCTCTCGGCCCCGCCGCTGAGAAAACTACAATCTCCATTCGAGATGCACTCCCACCCGCCCGCAACCCCTACCCCCTGCCAGTCCGGCACCGCCGTCTCAGGCCTCAGCACGCGCGTCCCCTCCGCCAAGGCCGCCCCCTGCACCGTCGCCTTCGCAGCAGCAGCCTCCCCGCCCCTCCGCCGGAACGTACTCACCCCCGCCGTGAAAACAAAAAAGTCCTCCTCGGCACTATCCGCCGGCATACGGCCCGTCAGCACACGGCCCATGGCGATGAGCGGTGCGGCATGCGAGCAGATGAGGAGGGCTTTGGGGGTGCGCTGGTGGACGGGGGTGTCTGCTTCGAGGGCGGCGAGGAGGGCGTCGGCGTCGGCGATGATGCCCGCGAGGGCGGTGGCGAGGCGGTCGTGAAGCTGGGCGATTGTCTCGCCGCGCGGAGAGGGGATGAGGTGCGGGGAGTGGGTTGAGGGGTCTGGCGGGAGGATGCTGGGAAAATGGGTGTGGAGGGTTGTCGGGTCTGCGGGCGGCGGGTGCTGGAAGAAGGAGGTAGAGCCGAACCATTCGCTAGATTCTGGTTAGGGACTTGGACTGTGCCGTAACTGTAACTGTAACTGTGATGGTGTGTTGGGGACTGGCTGGGGGGTGTGTAGTGGTTGGCTCGACTCGACTCGACTCGACTCACCCCAATCCATTCTCGATGCGGACGTCAAAGTCCGCGTGCGCGTCGATGTCGCTGCTACCTTCCTGCTGCCAGGTCTTCAGCGCTTCCACGGTTGGCTGGATTGTCTGCAGGCATCGGTAGAACGGGCTGGAGTAGACGCGGAACGGCTTGGGTTGGAAGCCCGGGCTGACCACATGCGCGGCGAGCTCGTGTGATTGCCGGACGCCGTGGGAGGTCAAGGTCGGGTCCGCAGGGTTGCCAGTCGGGGTGGGGAATTGGGCTTTATATGTGCCTGTTTTGTAGTCGATGGTCCAGTTGAGGCGATGCTGGAGGGGTGTTACTGTTAGTGATGGTACTTGAGGGATGGGGATGGGGATGCGGAGAGTTACCTACGCCATGGCGGGTCAGATATATTGTGTCTAAAGGCATTTCGTGAAGTTGATTATAGGCTTTGAGAAACGAAGGACAATGCGACTGATAGATTTACCTAGAGGTAGGATTGAAATAATAGACAAGAGTTGTAGACCATGTTGCGGGGAAACATCACCAGAACGGAGGCGGTCGACGCTGGACCTCGGTTCGCACTGGACAACAGAGGGAGAGAAAACCCTACCAAGCTACTCCGTACGAACAGGAAAAACTACAAGAACAAGATTGAGATGACCGAAATCGCCGACTGGATTGGAGAAGAGTGCGAGATTCACACTCAGCAGAACTATCTATGGCGTGTCCGCCGGGGTATGATATCCTCCAACTGTTTCGCGAAGACGCCTTCGACCATCGAGCACCTCCCACACTCTCTACATCAAGAATCCATGCCATGCTAATTCAGAAAACCTCGAGAACTTTTCATTTTTGGATGATCAAGCTGTCTAGTAGAAGAAGCCGAGGAGCTTGCCAGCAACGTGCTTGCGACGAGCCTCCTCGTGGTCCATAATGCCAGCGGAGGTGGTCAGGACGACGTAGCCGAACTGACGCGAGGGCAGGAGCTGGACGGCCCACTGCTCGATATCGGGGAGCTGAACGGGGTAGCGGGGGTTGATGACACCGCACTTGTTCAGACGGCCGTTCAGCTGGATGACGATCTTGCCGGAGCGGTGATCATCGACCTCCTCGAACTCGCCAATGTAGCCTAATGAAGAAAAGAAATCAGCAAAAGGTTGTTGCGAAGATTTAAAGACCGCCAAACACAGAGAACAAAGAGTTTCGGAAGCTTGTAAGATCTTCGAATGTTCCCGAAGGAACAGACTTCAATATATCGGGCACTTAAAGGGCAAACGTTGTGGAGTGGGTTTAAGATTCGAAACAGTTGCCTAGTTATCAACCCGACAGATCTTACAAGCCTCCCAAAACTCTTCGCTCGCGGTGAAGTCGAGTCAATGAATGAAGGACAAAACATACCGTGCTTCTGCATGACGCTGAGGAACTTGACAATGACCTTGGAGCTGGGTCTGATCAGGACCTGGCGCTTACCGGCCTTCTCGGCGTTGTTGATGGCGTTGAGCGCATCGTTGAGAACGGAAGTCTTGACCATTTTGGCGGTGGGTTGAGATTCTCAAATCGGGAGGGGATGGAAAAGAAATGAGGTATCTAGATTTACGGAATCTCTTCGGAGAGCTAAAAAAAAATCACCTCAGGCGAGCACGGTTCCCCAGTGCAAGCGAGGCAATTTTCCGCTCCCAGGAAGAGAAGACAGAGTCAGCCACCAGTAGTCGGCGAGCGCAAAGAGTGCCCCCCAGGGGTTCTTAAGCCCGTGTCGAGATGAGAGAAGCGTATCACCCTGCATCTTCTAGATTCGTTTATTCTTGGCTTTGCGGTGCACATTATCACCGAAATTGAAACGAAAAATCCAGAGATCAGACGGTGATTGCTCTCCCAGACTAGCTGGGGGGCCGCGAAAGGAGCAAAGATAGCAAGTTGCACATACCTCGAGGTCGAATTGACGGCGTTGGTGAGGACGGGAGGTTGGAAGAGAGACGGTCGCGTGCTGCGGAAGAAAAGGACGGTGAAGATTTTGGCGGTGTGCACGCTTAGGGTTCCTGCTACCGGTGCCCTTATCAATCACATGGCGATAACCGAGTGATCCAGGCGCCTCAGGCATCAATTACTCCAACATCGATTCTGATCACAACTTACAAAGGCATAGAATTGCAAACCGGAGGGTCGTGATCTATGATCTAGCAAGGTTGCTCTCGAATATGTATACCTAATTCAATTATTCCGGCTACTCATACGTCGATTGGATTTATCATTCTCTCTATACAAGTTTTCCATCACACCATAATGGGACGAAGGGCATAATTATACGGGAGTTTCGGGATCAAAGGAATTTCATCGCTATGTTTCTCTCAGAAGGGGTACATGACTTCTTGGGCATACATGAGGTTAAAAAGAAAATGCTAAGGTTCTTGGTCTAATTAAAACTGACGTAGAACAACCGTGCGGGACAGGAGGCAGGGAAAAGGTGCTAGTAATAACTGGGGAGAAGGAGAAAGTAGACATAGCAACAGGGGTGCGGGTAGAAAGGTCATCACAAGGGGTAGGGATAAACGGTGAGTCCGAAAAATGAGAAAGACAATGTGCCCAGTGGATGCCTGCATGGTTGGGAAGAATTGGGAATATGGGGGGAATGATGGAACAGGGGGTGGAAAAGGGGGGAATGTCGGGGTTGGGGGGTGATACCTGAGATCCAAAGGAGCTCGAACGTATCAGGGGAGGAACGGGGTTTCAAGGGCCGACGTGCAATGCTCCAAAGGATACAAACAGGCAGTTGCAAAGGGTCGCGCTTGATCGGAGGCAGGATGTTCAAATGCCCTGAAGTGGTTTGCATTCCCTTCAGGAGAGGAGCACCTCAGGCACGACGTCACTTCCCATGCCGCGACTTGCTTCGAAGTGCATTCAATGCATGGGGAGCCGTTCCATAACAGCATTCATAAATTGTGCATGGGCTGTTGGATATGCGTTTAAGCCATGGCAGCAGCCGTGGACATGTTGATCTGACGCTTGACCTGCTCACGTGTCCACCGAGCAGTGTCAACGGTGCGGGGGCTATAATCTCGGTTGTTTCTGGTTTCCCGAACGAGTGCGGTGACCCATTCGTTGCGGAAGAAATTGGCAAACTCGCCATTGGGGAAGGTATCAGCCAGATCACTGGAAACTCGTTAGTCACAGTAATCGGACAATCGAAGGTGAAGAAAAAACATACCCAAGAACACCCATCGACGCCCTCATCAAACCTTCGCTACGGCTAAGGTCTTGCGAAATGAGGTGGAGAAGCTGGAAGATAGACTCGATGTAGGGCTGAAGCTGAGTGGCTGTGATGTTGTTAGTGTGAATTGAGACGAAGAGGGGCCAGAGAAGAGCTGTACGTACCCTGTGGCTTGCCCTTGTAGGTGAGCAGGATACCACCCCAGGCATCCATGATGCCTTCACGAAGCGAGACAATGTAGTCAAGCATTTCCATAGTTACATCGGGGCTGGCAGTAACGGCCGATGCCTGTTGCAGAACCTGAGCAACGACAGGCAGGTAGACATCGAACTGGGTTCCAATAGCCTGGGAGATATCACCGAAAGTCTCCAAGATAGCCGGCTTCAGCTGGTTGGTTGCGCTCTGCAAGATAGGTCAGTATAAGTCTGGATGATGTAACTCTTTTGGTTCTGGGGCATTTCTTACCCTCAAATTGTTCAGCAGGTAGTTCATGAAGGCATCGCAGTAGGGTTGGACCTTCTCGTTCAGGGCGCGAGCAATGTCGCTGACCAGGCCAATGGCCATGGAGCAGAGAGCGGGCTCCTCCTGGTTGCCCAGAGCATTGTACAGGAAAGGAGTGAAGGACTCCATATACTTGACAAAATCATCTTCCAGAGCGCTGGCGATGGCACCGACAGTCGCAAAAATCACGTCGGGAACGCTGGACTTGGGAGGCACGGTGGAGAGGACCTGGAGCAGAACATGCATAATGCGGTCGGCTTGGGGCTTGATTTCGGTCTCCAGACGCTGAACGATGGCCTAGAGCGGGTTAGTAAAACCGATCCTATCTGTCAGGTATGAATTATCTTACCAGAAGGACACTGAACAGAGAGGTCTGCATCTCCTCCAGAGTGATACGGTCCTCCACGCTGACAACCTGCTGCTGCATAGGAACGGTGTGCTCCAGACGCTGAATCATGACGTCGGACAAGGTGGCAACCATGGGGAGACTATCGTTGGCGGCGTTGGTGACGAACGAGTTAAGAACCTCGTATCCAGCAGTCCGGAGCTGGTTGTCGGCATCCTGTCTTTCGGTAAGAGCGAGAAGCGACTTGACGCTGTCCTGGAAGTGCTTCGAGAGGGGGTTGGTTTGCGCGCCAACATCACCGGCGAAGCGATCGGCAACGTTCATAAGAGCCCAGCAGCAAGAGCTGGCAATCTTGGGGGTACTGGCAAGGCCATTGAACAGGCACGAAATAAGGGGTTGTAGATGCACGTCAGGGTCGAGAGTCTCAGAGCAAAAGTCGCAAACGCGGCCAAGCGCGTAGGCCGCGGAGTCGCGGACCTGGATGGAGCTATCCTCCATCATTCCAACAAGAACGCCCAAGGCCTGCTTGATCAGGGGTTCCAGAACCTTGGGATCGGGGCCATCCATGATGGCACCGAATGCGGCAACAGCGGCATCCCGACGACGCCAGTCCTCGTTACGGATATTCTCCTCCACGAAGGTCAACACAGGCTGGATGACATCACCCTGGACACACTGGGCATAAAGCTGCAATGCCTGATAGGCAGCCCGGGAGACATTGTACTCGTCGTCGGTGGCGTCCTCATCCTGCTTGCACATGCACTGCAGCAGAACGGGAACGACCTCTCGGCAGGCGACACGGGCAAAGTTGAAAAATGGGCGAACCTCGCTGGCACCCTCGGCCTGGGCCTGAACACACACTACGTTAGCGACAGATTCCCATAGTTTTCGCCGATAGAGGTGCGTACCGCGGCGTTGTCATCCTCGATGGCAATTTCCTCCTCACAAACGGTGCACCAGAATTCGATTGCAAGCTTGGCGACATCTTCCTCCTCGCTCTTCATTCCCATAATGCTCAGACCAAACAGAGCCTTCTCCATGTAGAAGCGCATCTTTTCGTAATAAGTGCCCATGATACGGTTCAGACAGCCGAACGCGCCGGCCTGCACACGGAGATCATCGGCCTGCGTAGCCTCACAGACAACCTGCATGATGTAGTTCCGTTCACCCTCGTTTTCCATGTTGGAGCGCACGAAGTCCACCGAATCACTGAGGGCCTTGATGGCGGCATTGCGGATATCCATGCTCGGCTCCTCGCGCCGAGCACCCTGGACGACAGCAGTAAGGATGGCATTAGAGTGGGCAGCCAGACTCTCCCGAAGCTCGGGATCTTGCGACTCGCAAATGAAACCGATTGTGACGAGGGAAGCCTGTTTCAGCTGATCCGAACCGGACGCTACACTCTGCACCAGAGTGTTCATCAGCTCTGGCCATTCGTTACGGGGAAGCTCGATCGCGGCGATGGAGACAATGAACTGAGCGGCAGATTGACCCGCGCGGGTATCCTTGGAAGCCAGCGTCTTGATCGCAAGCTCCTTGACCTGCGCCTTTACTTCGGTACTGATCCCTGTAATCCATTTTTCTTGTACTTCACGCAATCTAGCGAGATCTCTGAAAGTGAAAGCGTTCTTCAATGCGAGACCAGCAGCAGTTCTGATGTGGGAAGCGGTGCTCTCGTTCGCCAACTCTTGGCCAAGGGTAGTGAGATATCCGGCCTACATGAGGTGAATAAGTATGATACATTAGCATGGAATACCGCCGAGTCAATAAGAAACATGAGGAACGAAGTAAGAGTGAATGGTGGTGTTGCTAGAGGAAGGGTGGGTGACATACGAAGTCAACTTCGGCCGCGTGGAGAAGTTGCTGCTCAGCACTTGTACGAGTCGCCGCATCTATTATATAGGAAAAAGAACAACGACAGTCAGCCACGTGAACTCATTATTGATGCGATATATAGACCAAAGTCAAAGTAGATCTTTCATATATAAAAAATCATCGAGACGGGAGCGCCGGGAGGGTGGGGGGGGAAGAATAGCAAAGTACCTGGTGACAGGGTGCCCTCCAACACCTGAGTGACGTTCATGTTGCCTTATGCGGGAAAACACACCCAGAATCACAAGGGAACGAGGAGAAGAGAGGAGATTAGGGAAAGGCGGGGAGGTTGACACGAGAAAGTTAGGACTCTCCTGACTTGATCAAGGATGAGTGATATGATAGAAGAAGCCTTGTCCACAAACGAAAAGAAAAAAAAAAGAAAAAAGAAAAGGAGTGATGATGTGGATAAGAGATGGTTTCAAAGAAGTAGAGGAAGGGAAAAAATAAATTGATCTTGGGGAGGATCAGACCAAAAGGTTGTTTTTGTGGATATGACGAGGCATGCACCAAGAGGGTAACAGGGTGTGGTGGATGCACGCCAGAACAAGGGAGAAAAAGGGAGAAAAAACAGAAGCTATGGACACCCCCAGAGTCAGTCAGAAGTTCAGAACAGAACACTGGTTATCTAGAATGGGGGGATTCAGTTGCATACCTTTATTTGAAGAGGGTTATGAAGCTGTAGTTAATTGAGGCTGAAGAAGGAAGAGAAACAAGAGACAAGAAAGTTGTCTTTTAAAATTTTTTTTTTTTTTTCGCCTCTTGTAATTTTCCTTTCTTGATGCCACTACTGGTGGTTCAGACTAAGAATGAAAGAAGAAGTGTAATACTGACAGCCTTTTCGATCCACAGGGAGGATACTGAGAGGGACGCCTTAGTTGTAGGTAGTAGGTACTAGGTAGTAGGTACTAGGTAGTAGGTAGTCACTAACTAGACTACTCCGTTATGATCCTGACGGCGAGAAAAAAAGAGACAAGAGAAAGACTCCCGACTAGCGCAGTCTAGCCTACCTGAGTAAGACTGTAAGAGTCACTACTCACTTTGTGGCTGCTGCCCGGAGCTGCCGTAAGCGCTGACGGCTGTCATTGGCTGCCGAACGCCATCCGAGAATGGCGTGGTCACGTGGAACACTACTGTTCATCAACACCCTACTACTACTCCGTAAAGTAGGTGGGAAAGGTACCCTCGCTTGAGGTCTTGAGCCCTGCAGGTCAGTAGTAGTAGAGTGTTGTTCTTATATCCATGTACATCTATCTAACAAAATGATCTGTCAAATTATACCTCTGGAGTATAAAACATCCTGGTGGTGGTATCGAACTACCTTACTACCTACCTACCTATGTTCTGACCCAGCCCGAGCAGGTCTCTTCTATTTCGTCATTACCAGTTAGATACCTTACCATACTCCGTACCTACCAGTTTTTTTTTTTTTCTTTTCTTTTTTTTTTTTTACCCTCCTTCCCACCAGCCCCAGCGGGCTGCCCCTCCCTCATTACATAAGTCACAAACAAACCCAAAACACAAAGGAAAACAGGGCGAAAATTTGCAAAATTCCCCCTCCTTTGCTTGTTTTGATTTTGCTACTTGAAGAATCTCTCCTCCACTGCTCTGCGCGTGGCCCAGGCGACCGATCCCCATCAAAGCGTCTGCCCCCCAATCAGCACATTTTTCTTTGATGCTCCATCAGTCGATGGGGCAAAGGCCACAGGGTTTGTGTGGATTAGTTAATAGGACCAGAAAAATTGGATCGAAGGGAACTGGCACTACGGAGTACTCGTTACTACCTACGGAGTACGGAGTACAGAGAGGGAGGGATAACTCGGATAGGCATCCAACTGGAGAAAGGAAGCCACACAGTCGCCTCAAAAAAGGACACTGACTCAGAACTGCGTGGTTCATGGCTCCAGTAGTAACTACATCTTGAGCATTGATGTAACCAGGAATGCGTCTCACCCGTGAAACCATACCATACCTTTGTCCTTGATGAGTCGGTGCCGGTGGTGACAAGGGTAGAGGCAGCAAAAAAAATGTTTCGATCAATGAGGGCCCCTTTTCTCACAGGGATAAAATCCACTTTGTAAACTGTATCAAGAAGGATATCTCTATGTCCGGCTAGTAGTCACTCTCCTCGTCGTCTTCATCGGCCATTTCAGCATCCATGTCTAGCACCTCATACCGCAATCCATCGCTGTACAGCACGCAGATCGCCCGGCGACCTTTCCGTCCGTTGACGTCGAACCGCAGCGGCTTGGCTTTGGGACCCGAGACCGCAAAGGCGTGCTTGATAAGGCTTGCATGCGTCGAATCCGGCGACAGCAAGTCTAAAGTCATGGTATCAGTCGTTGGTTCAGGCGCGGTAAAATCGCAGACGTCGCTGTAATTGATGAAGAAAGGCGAAGGCGAACTGAAGATTTCCTCGTGATTAAACGTGGATGCTGGCTGGAAGGGGAAATTGAGCAGGTATGCAGCTCCTTCTAAATGGGTCCGGTACAGTTAAGAGACTGGGGGATTTGTTCTGTAATGGGGGTGCGAAAACATACGGTTATCGGACCAGAGCAGCATTACTGTATCATCTTGTACGAACAGAATCTGGTGAATCTCTCCTTCTTGCAAGTCGACAGCTCCGATGCAGATGGCTCGAGTAGAGCTGACCCCGTTTTCGGAGTCCAAAACTACTCGGTAGAGGTAGACTGTGTGTAAACTGTCAGCAACCATTGATCCATCGGGGAATGAGACACCCTTACGCATGTGATGAGTCTTACGTGATCGTGCAGCAATATAGATCACACTATTTTCTTCCGTCTCGGTATTCTGTTGCTTGAGAGTCAGCGGTCTTTCATATGCGTAATTCAAGGTCGATTACCTCGTAGCACGTGGCCATATCGAACACCTCCCTGTCGGCATCTGCATGAAGAGCCAGAGGTGAGCGATGGAGAATGCCCCGGCGCTGGGTCAACGCGATATCTGCAAACAGCTTCTCAAACTGTAACCCCAAACGCTTGGTCAGGTCATTCATCTTGGGCAACTTCGGCGGATCTGCGTCGTCATGTGCTTGATCCAGCTGCTCAAGCAACTTTTTGAATGTATCGTAAAACGACCCCTCATTGCCAGTCGCCCACTTGTCAGATGTAGTGGCAGATAGCCTTACCATTGGTATTCCCATCATGGGAAGCTGGTGGATGAAATTCTGGAGGGTGCTCTTCGTCAGCGCACCTCGGATATACTTGAGGGTCTGCGGGTATTCCGTCAAGTCTGTCTTTTCCATGAGCTCCTCCAGAGTTTGGGACATGGGTTCTGCGCTTTGCATGTCGATCTCGTGGCGAAGCCATTGGGAGAACGAGACGAATTGCGAGAGTTCCTCGTTAGCGTGGATGATGATGTGGTGAGAGAGGAGGTGCAGGCAGTCCAGTGTCTCGACGATCGCGTTGAGGTTCGCTGTCTCCAGGCCTAACACCTCGCTGAGTTTCTGGAACTTAGAAAGGCCAATAAGGCGGCTGAGCAGAACCTCGCATCGTTCGAGGGCGGGAAGAAGACACTCGTGAGTCAGTCGGCGAACATTTTCATAACCGCCTGAGACGGCTTTCTCCCATCGCTTGTGCCCCTATTCGCAAATCAGCAACGGGGTTTAATTTGTACCCGTGAAGAGCCCAAAGTCGGTACAGTATAAGAATGAACTACATACTCGTTCTCCGACAATGTCTACCAGAAATTCCTTGAGCGGCTCAAAGCAATCCCCGGTCACCACCAAATGATAGGCAGCAGTGACAAAATCGCAGTGGCATTTCTCCTGCAGATCCTCATTGATACTGCGCATGTACCGCGCTGGCAACTCCTGCGCATTTTTCCACTCCAGCTCGATCTGCCTCTGCACCTGACAGATATAACGGAGCAGATTCTGCAGCTGGGTGGTCTTATATGCCAGAAGAGATAGATACCGGCCGGATCTCGTGATGAACCGAAGATCAGTCGTGAATAGACGAAGCGCATCAGACGAGTCCGCAGTCGGTGTAAGTGCCAGCAACGCATGCGTGGAGCTCAGCGGATGCGACGCATGTCTCATAATATTGCATGGGGAGCCTCCTATCGAAGCCCCGATCTGAAACGAGCCGATCTCGAAGCAGTCAAAGATGCGCAGGTGGATGTTCCCATCTTCGAACCCGACCAGCAGCACATCAACCGCATCGTTGTTATTCTTCGACGAGGAATGGAAGATCGCGTCGATGGACGCCCGGGAGCTGAACACATCATCACTAGCAAGACGTCAGAGAGATACAGTAACAGAACGCGGCGGAGGAAAGAAAAAAGCGTGCTTACTCGCTTCCCGTTGCGGGCAATGTACTCAATTTCGGCAGGGAGCTTTCGATGTCCAGCAATGCCAGCTCCCGGGGTAAATCAGCCTTGAGCAGAGCCGCTGCTTTCGACGGCTGGGTATCCGGAGACAGCAGGTCCGAGACGGTAAGTTGCCCTGCAGCTTCGTGCAGGTGCCGCTGTGCAGCCCTGCTGTCTGTAAAGTTGACTTCCCAGCCTAAACGGCTGATGCTGACGAGCCGGGAGCCCTGCGTCTGCGACTGAGTCGCAGAGTAGTGGTGCACTGTCTTGCCCGTGTAAGAGCTGATAAGGCGGACGGTGTCATCCGCACAAGCGACCGCAAGTAAGTTCCCTAGATTGGAGTCAATACACGCACCGCAACCGCAGGTTAGACCACGAGGTGAGAGGCCAGAAACTCACCGTTATCCTTCCACTTCAGCGCCCGGATCTCACCGTCCGCCTCGTCCTCCCCCAGATACGGATCACCCTTGAACGAGCCCCCGAATACCCTCTGCCCATTCAACCGGAACACGTGGAGCTCTTCATCCTCCGTAGTCAAGGCGATGAGATCCATCGTGGGACAGTATGTCAGCGTGTCCGCCTTGCATTTTGCCGGCAGCAACTTCTCGCCCACCGGCGTGAGCTGCGGCCGAGAGACCCCTTCAGCCATCATTGCACTCTACTCTCAAGTCATCCTTTGACGTCAAGGAATTTTTGGTGTCGAGAGCTATCGGTTGGTGTCTTGTCTATCTCTAATTGTGGTTCTGTAGTTTGCCAGAAGGATGCTTGAGTGGGTAAAGCAGGCGATCCTTGGCACGCGTTTTGTCGCGAAGAATACATCGCAGGTAGGGAACCAGTGCCTTTGATTGCGACACTCGCTATTCAGCAATAAACAAAAGGGAGTTTGATAAGATGTCAAAATAGAGTTACACTCTTAGTCAAGCATCGATACAAGCTTGAAATATTTTAATTTTTAATTTCTTTTTTTCTATTTTCTACGAGCTTGAGTTGAATGAATGCAGGGGACTCCGAACAATACATATTTTACAGGGTTGGGCTGATGGATATACACAGAGGACCAGCAAAACTCCAGAAGGGTAAAATCGACATCCATCATCTCTCATTATAGTAGTAATCTATTCTATGTAAAGTTTGATACATGGTCAAGCCCGCAACACCGGGCACTATTGAAACAAAATATTACACATCGTCGCCAGTTCCAGACTGGATCACGTTTCGCAGATAGCTCAATTCATCCATCATCTCCAACAGACTCGTAGAAGCATGACTCAAGCGATTGGGGATATCGCAGGTCTCACTAGGTGGTGCTCTGTCATCTCTAATGTCGTCAGGGAAGTGCATCGTGGACGCATCCGGACTTGGCGAGATCCCCAAGGCTTTGATAGATTCCATTGCGCCAAAGAAAGCTGCGTGTCGTTTAGGGTCTCGTTCCACGTTAAACATGTCATCGATCCCGAGCCCGGCGACGTCAAAATCAGACGGGGATAGAGAAATACTCAAGCGGGGAAGGGGGAGGTTGAAGTGGGGTGAATCACCAGCAATCGAGGACGGGGGCGACGGCTTGGAATTCACAGTGAGATGAGGCGTGTCTAGATCGCCAAATTCGGAAGCCACCGAGGGTTTTAAGAGATCTGGGAACTCTGCGGGGTCGGGGTTGGGGGACGGTTGACTTTCGACGTTGAAGGTCGACGAAGAGGTCATGGACTCAGGCGAAGCCAGCTCGGTATCTGTGCTCCATTCCGAAAAGTGGCTCCGCTCGTAGTACGAGCTGCCAGCGCAAGATTCCTCAGCTTCGGTGAAGTCCGAGAAGCGGCTGCCTAGATTCTCAGTATCAAGATTTCTCTCTCGGGCATCGATGTCGCGCAATGCTTCATCCATGACTGACGAGGGAGTGTTTGGTAGCGTTGGGAGCCTCTTGTCCACGTAGGTGAATGGGGTCGGTGTTGTAGCATCTGAAATTGATGCTGGCTTGGCGGTCTTGAGGAAGGAAGGCGAGTCTAAGGCTGCAAGCAACTCTGCCGCCATGATCGAGAAAGTTGAGTGGGCACCTTTCTCGCCCGCTGGCCGATTGTCGGGTTGCGATTCGAGTGTCAACGGACTCCGACACGACAAGTGCTCCATGGACTTGGTGCTCATAGCACGGCGGTTTTGGATGGACAAAGTCACAGGACTGTCATCACCAGTAGAAGCAGGCCGGCGAAAGAGAAGATCTTCCACTTGATGCGATTCTTCGTGTGGTTTGCGGTGCATGACATGACCCGCATCGTTATGAGAGGGCTCAATGAAATCGTGACGGACTTCCTCACGATCACCAGTGGAAAACAAACCAGGGATACGGGCTGTGAGTGGTTTGAGTTCCTCATCCCAATTGTGGGTGCTACCGAGATCTGGCGAAGACACGTTCAAGTGTCGAAACGCTGCCCGAAGACCTCGTGATCTTGGAGGTGACACCGAGCGAGCCGGCTTGGAGCCTGAGCTTCGGGGCACTTGGGTACCCGAGCTGCTTGGCTGAGAAGCCGCTCTATTGGCCAATGCTCCCAAGGGAGATGTGCTGAACGACCAAGCTGGAGTCGGCTGTTGGAGGAGTGAGGGCGATGTGCGGAGGCGAGGGAGCTTCGGCTTTGGCGGCCGACGGGGATTCATATATTTGTCTTCAGGATTCATGGTCCGTACATCAGCCTTCCTGTAACTCGGGCTATCCTGAAACACATGCGTTGGTCGAGTATCCGGGAGGATGATGGGAACGTGGAGGACATTGAGAGGTTGACCCGGAAGAAACGGGCAATGCGTCGTTACCGGTTCCGCCTCGTTGTAGTACTCGATATCATCGTCCAGCAAGTACTGTATTGGTAGTCAGACTCGTGGGTTCCGCCAGGAGAGGATGTAGAAGGGGAAACCAACATAGTACCAATATGTACCACCCATTTTAAGACCGCCAGACCGTGCAGAGCCGAGATGAGCGAGCGAACCATCATACACTATGTCTGTGAAAGTGTGACATCCTCTCCATTGACCCTGACCAACACGCCGATCCCTCTCCATATTGTATGGCTTTGAGAAATTATCCCACGAGCCTAGTAGCTGGACGGACTTGACATCTGGGCGGGTGGAGCTGGTATAGAGTCAATTGGTGTCCAACCAAGTCTGTGGAGAAGCACTCACAGTAGGAAAGTCATTAATGTTGTTGAAGTCATGGTTGCGATGAGATGCTGGACAACGCTAAATTCGAATTGACAGAAAGCACGGCGGAAAGAATCTAGATGCTTCGGAGTAGATTGAATTGCAGAAGTAATGAATGATTTTGCGACAAGTGTCCCCCGGAGTAAACCCGACGAGTATATATTCGAAGATCAATAAGTGTGATGAGCGTCGTCCTAGGGCCAGCCTGGACAGCAAAAATATATGGACAAAGCCTCGACGCCTGCAGATCAGCCCAATGCCCTTTCTTATGAGTGTTCACGAGTCGGTGTCGAGGGTTGACCGCGCCGCAGACCTGACAGGTATATGGAGCAATTGCGCAGTGACTCGGGAGCGAATAATGAAGCGAGACACGGGAGTGTGTCTGCTATTCTTTGTAGTCAACGTCTCTATAGCCGCGATGACACTCAGCAGTTTGAAATTAGATGTTCCTGGGCGATCAAGGTTCAGGAAACACGAGAGCCAATGGGCTCGGTGGGCAGTGTGGTGGAAGCGCCGGCGAGGCGAATAGACAACGGCGAGGGTATACCGGCGCTTATTGCAGTTTCGACGAGAAATTGAGATTGTTTCCTTTAATGGTTGAGACTTTTTCAGGGCCGTTCTGGTGGGTTTTAGGAGTTCGAGAAAGAACCGAGAGCGATAGAGAGCACAACCGCTGTGTTTTGAGCTGGGGAAATCCAAATACTCATCCTCACCACCGGCAATGATGAGATTGTTATTATACGAGCAGCATGCTTAACAGGGATCCACTGGCTACTGTAAGAACCACGTCACAAACTGGCCTGCATGAATGCATGGAGTATGCATGGGAGCATGGATGTATGGGAATTGGGAAGTGAAGAGGACTGTCAAGCTGCAGGGGGGCAGCAAAACCTGAAGAGAGAAGATCAGCTAGTACTGGAATTAGTGAAGGTTAGCGAATAGCGACAGGGCGAGGAGATCGGAGCCTCCGTTTGTGTTCCCCATACATACACTGTAGGGAATCAAGTCGAATCAAACCATGGAAATAATCGAAAGGCTGGGTTTACCAGCTAGATAGAAGAAGGAAAAAAAGTGGAGGAGCTGAGATGAATCCTGATTGATCCTGGCATCAGATTGACGCCAACAGGCAACAAGAGGCCAAGAGACTAGAGGCCCATGTGGATGTGGTTGTGGAATTGTGGACGCTAACCAGATGTCCATCGTGGCTACAGAGTAGCAGAGTAGGTGTCTACGGAGCAGAGTCCGCAAAGACAATATACTAGTACTCTTATTATTGATAGATGGTGAACTAGATGATAAGCATGGGGATATCATCAGCCAGCCATAGTTGAGATGGTTGCCTCGTTTTCTGTAGTCTGTAGTCTGTACAATCATGGGGATAGGGAACGAAAGCAACATTATTACCTACTGTGTAGATAACAAACCCATGAGGTCCTAACTAATACTCCGTAGTATGGATTGTGATCCATCCAAAGATCTTCCACGTGAAACCCAGAGTAGCCCATTGTTCATTGTCTCCAGATTCACCACCAACAAAGAAAACCTCCCAGTTGATCACGAAATCTGAGTAAGATCAGCAATTACAACTACAATATCAGCACCAGAGTCATATCAGTAGTATCACCCGCCATCCATAATCCAACAGAGGACAGTGAACATTCAAACAGTTCTGGTGAGACTAGGACTTGACCGACGATCAGCCTCAATCTTCCTGCCCTCTGGAAAGATTACTCCGTAAATCTCCCAATTTCCCAATTCCACCCCTGGATATTTGGACAGATCATAAACTAACTACTACTACCTCCTTAGACTCGCTCGCCGAGATTCAACCTCAACCACTCACAGTCACGTCTCGTTTCACATCCTCGCAAATTTCTCCTGGGTCCTGGCGCTTACCGGACCTGCAGGAACCATCTTAGTCTGCTTCGGTGCCGGGCAACCGATCGCAGGAGAGCACGCGCATGTAAGACATATCGTTATTCGTTTGTCGCTGTCGACAACCGCTATTATTATTATTCATCAGGGATGACTTCAAGACATACAAAATGGTTATCTGGTAGACTAGCCGGATACAAATGACAGGAGCAAACGAGGGATGAAGAACGAGAAGCGAATTTTGACGGTGACTGTCCCAAACGACCTGATCCCATGGAACAACAGCCTTCAGGCTTCATTATTCAAATTTCAATAGTTGGATGGATCCACTCGGTTGGTGGTGGCTGAGATCGCGTCCTCCGATAGTCAACAATAGTTCCGACCATCGAGGCCAGGGAGAAAAATAGTTCTTCTGCAACTCCGACGGTCTCTTTTGGCTTTGACCCCAAGACTTGACTCCTTCGGGCTCTTGAGAATATCTCCTTCGCTCAACGCTCTGTCAGTCGGCGCTTATGGAGATGTGGGATATTTGCGACACGTTTCGGATTCCTCCCTTGCTTGTCCGGGGTTTTGTCTGAGAATGATTACTGAATACTGATTGATGGGCGCAGACTGCAGAGCACGGAGTAGTTACAGACGATGGAGATTGAAATTAATATCCGGCTCATCGAGTCTAGATCCAAGCCCTCATGAATCACACCATTGAAAACATTAATATTCCTAATCCGTTAATGGTATCTATCTTCATTACCAGAACGCCATTCCAGCTAGAATCAGAGTCGCCGCCCAAGCCAACAAAAACAACCAGAGCAAAGCAACACAACCACACCACACCACGGATAACCGTCAAGCAAATCCTCATCAATAAATAAAAAGACAGCAATCAAAAAGCCTTCCGCTTGTCGTACTTCTTATTGATCGCACCGATCGTGCACTTGAGAATGCCCTCCGCACTCAGTGTTTGCCCCTGGTCCCCCTTCCACGGCACCGTATCGACAATATCCCGTAGGTGATCCTCCTGCGCCATCTTCCCCAGATTATCATCCAGATCTTCAAGGTACCGTCTCGCGCTTTCATCATCCCCAATCTGAAAGAACTGAATGCCCACCTGCCACGGCACCGCTCGACACCGCGGCCCATCCAGCCGCTTCGCCACATTAACCAGGACACTCTCCGCATCATCCGTAAACACCCCGTCCGTGATCGCAATGATATTCAACGGCTTCACGAACTTCGACTCATCCAACAGATTCCCGTCCTCGTCCGTCGCGGCAGCCATCTTCTCCACGCGCCCCAGATACGGGTTCAGGATCTGCAGCAAGCGCTTGCCGTACGGCGTGGGGCCGCGCGGCCGCACGCTGCTGAAGATCTCCTGCACGTGCGCGGCCTCCGTGATGTTGTTGTAGGCGCCTGTTGGCGAGGGCGTGGGGTCCCCTGCCGTCGGCTCGCGCCGGTGGTTGAGGAAGTAGATGTCGATGCCGTCGCGGTCGTACTGGGTGCAGATGGGCGCGATCGCGGCAATGGCCGCCTCGGCCTCTTTCCAGCGGCGGCCGAGCATGCTCGAGCTGTCGTCGACGATGAAGATGGTGTCGAACTCGCGCAGGAAGGCGTAGGGTGTGTCGCTTTTGCTGCTGGTGCTGCTGGGCGAGGTGGTCGCTGGTCCCGGTGCGGTGGGGGTGTAGGGAGGTGGAGACCAGAGGTCGTGGTGGCTGACTTGGATCACGGTGCTGTTCTTCTGGCGATGGGATTGAGTGGGCTTATAGGAGGTGCGCTGGGAGGTGGTCGTGCCGCCGCTTACTCGGGAGTGACGGTGGCCCATCGTGAGGTCCTGGTTTGGTTTGTTGCTGTAGTCGAGTGGCGGTCGTAGATGCTTGTCTTGTGGAGGAGGAGGAGGAGAGGGAGAGGGAGAGGAGCGAGACTTGAGCCGACTGAAGAGGAACGGCATTGAAACAAGAGTATGATGCGAGTCGTATGCAATCGACCAAGTGAAAGAGGTAAAGGGTGAGGTGTGTTCCTTGGATGCTGGATAGGCAGAAGTCGCTTTGTTATGCAACCAATTTAATGATCTTTGTGCATGTGCATGATCATTGAAACCACAAAGACATCTTTCTTTATATAAACCTCATCTCTTGCTCTTTCATTTCATTTCATTATCCAAGGCATAGGCGAGGCATACCCCCCCATGCCGCAGGATCGAGACATAGCAATACTCTCGATGGGGCAATGGACGTACTCAAAGTATAAGGCTGCACTACTTATGCGCTCATAGGCTAGTTCTGTTATGATACGCTTTGGACTCATTGAATTGTTCTTGGACCCCCGCGATGCCAGTGGGTCTTCTACAAGAGGCTGAGCCAACGTTCAGGCTTGAAGGAAGTCTCATAAGTGTGACCCTCCTCACTCAGCCTTGCGGCGGTGCCTCAGGCGGCAAGGGACCAGTTACATAGCCACTGTCCTACGCTATCACCGGGCTTCCCAGAAAAATATAGGTAAAAGTCAAAAAGCAATGAAGATATTAGTGGAATATACACAATCATACACATTATGCGCCGTAAGTACGCGATTTAACAGCCTGGTCAACATTGCAAAACGCTCAAACACCTAAAAGCATGCGTCAGTACCTAGGTCCCAGGTTCCAGGTCCCAGCTCCCGCTACCTGGTACCCAAAACAATCAGTCAGACCCCCAAGTACTCGTGAGTACTTTGTTGTTGGCAATGGCAGAGCCCTTTTCCTCCATAATGACTCCGTCATCATTCACCCCTTCGAAAATCCCCACTTCAGATTCGAGTACATCGACCAAAGCTAGAGCCTGGTCGATTCCCATACCATGCCCGATGAGCCGCAAGCAATCTATGCACCATTTCCGCAATGGGTGATTCTTTCCCTCGGTCGCACCGGCCAGCACCAGTGGCCATAAGAGTACCAGACCAGCTGTGTGACTCTCGTTGACCGGCACAGACCCCGGCTGGCTATTCCCCGTGTTCCCCACACCGAAATGGTAGGGCACGCTGGCGGAAATGTCAGCGGCAAGTTGTCGTGTCGTGCTGCGGATCCGGAAACAGTGGTTCTGAAGTTCGCTGGGCACGCAAGTACCTGCCGAGTTGAGGAAGAGACGTCGGAGACAGCTCAGGATGATCTCACAGACGACGATGCGCGCGCAACGGTACTGGTTCCATGTATGACAGGTCCAGAGATCATTATAGATGTGGTACCGATTGTTATATAGGATAATACCACGGCAGAGCCGCTTCACCGAGGTCTCTGGGCGTGGGTTCTCGACCGTGGTGTATTGGAAGTCCGCCGGCAGAGATGCAAGCCAGGCCATCAGCTCTGATTCGATGCCATAGGCAGCGGCGAGGATTTCCTGATTATCCATCATACTTTTACTTCTGACATCTGCTCGTAGGTTAGCCAGTCTGCCCAGGATATAGATCAAACGGTCGCCGTAAGCCTCTGACTGCGGTCGTAAGAACATGGAGATTGGTGCACATTCGAGGACAGATGGTGGGACATGTACTCCCAACTGTAAGCAGCTCGTGATCTATTGTGCGTCAGCCATCATCTTCTGAGCAAGGGTAATAAAACACAAGGCTTGTATGCCACAGTTGCCAGCACATACTATCTGGAACCGCAGTTGGATGAAAAGTTTCAAGCCTTCTTCATTCTGGACTTGCTCCGTGCCACGCAGGTCAAGGATTGCAGCAGCGCCACGGATGTGACTTGTCCACTTTTCAATATTCTGCGTGGTCCGACTTGTGACGACCTAACGTCATGAGTTGAGCGCAGATGAAAAATGAAAGGTAGCCGGGTTCAAGAATCTTACCTCGAAGATTGCCAGCACCATCACGGCACCAAGGGTAGGGTTTTCCTTCACCTCTGCTGGATTGGCCACGGCAAACGCCAATAGTTGCAAAGCATATCCATAGTCCGCCTCTGCAGCGATCATCATGGAGGTATCTTGTCGAACACGCCCAAGCATCGCCGTACCTACTGCCCCAACGCTCGCTTTCATGGCCATCTGACTGATCGAGAAGTCCGTCGTTTTAAAAAGCTCGGAATTGAGATCCAGCATCCAGTAAAAGCCAGGCCACGGAGTATACCGCAGGAAGTAGCAGACCGCCTCATCCTGCGTCATTTGGTACGAAGGCTGCGGTCTTATCAGCGGCTGCCGCTCGATCAACTCCGGCTGCGGATGGCTTTCGTCGATGAACTCGACTAAATCACTGCTGCCGCTGCTGCTCGTCGAACCCGTCGTCGCACACGTCGACCCAGGGCTGCTCTGGCTCGGGGAAATAGTGTGACTAGCCTTCCGAGCAGGTTTAGTCTTCCGCCCCGCAGCACTATTCCTAGCCTTGCGAACAACCTGCTGGCTTTCATCCCGGAACATCAACGAGAGCTCATCTCGGTAGCCTGGACAGGACCGGTTGCCCTTGAGACACTGCGAGCATGCAGGCCGGACCTGGTCGCATCGAATCTTTCGAGAGCGGCACTGGCCACACCCTTTGCTTGGTTTTCCGCAGAAAACCATGATGGACCAATAATCTTGCGAGCGCTGGATATATGATCTGTCACACAGGTACTCGTGTTTGGGATGGTGGTGGTGATACCTGTTCCTGGATGAGTAAGCTATGCGAGGAGTGGTATTCTTGCTGAGAGAACGTGGGACTATGGGGAAGCCTGGTCGGACGAAGAACGCGTGCTGTATGGCCTAAGTCGATAAGAGTACAACTAGTCCAGGATGAAAGATCAGTTTACGAGATGAAAGACCAGCTTAGCATCGTCAGCAGCAGGGATGAAGACAGAATTGGTTGTTGTTCCTCCTGGCGCTGTGCATCTTGTTCCTGGACTTAGGGAGCCTTGCTGCCCCACACCTGACACAATCCGGTTAGCCTCATGTTGGGGTAACGCTAGCCTGATCAGGAAGTCACTATGGGGAAGTTGCTGCCGCTTTTATCAGGCTAACTTCATGTGTTTCTTCTCTACGAAGTCGTAGATATCTTCTGAGTGATATCCACCTAGGGTCTGGTAACTTTTTCAGACTAGCGCAGTCGGTTCCATTCTTACGGAAAAGGGATCTACATAGCTAGCTATCATCTACCAGCACTACTGATACAAGCTTAAGTCCTTCCCTCGGCCCTCCCCATTTAAAGGAGTGAAAAACCAAGTCCCTGGTCGAAGATCTTGCCACCACTACCCTTGGGCCCTGTTGAGAAGGCTCACGGGTATTGTATGAAAAACTGATTCAAGGTAGCCGGAGTCCTAGTGAGGGGCTTATGGCAGCTAGTTGGTACTCCAAAGGAATATCTTCAGGCCACTTATCCACACCATCCAACAGTACCAGCGCCATTCCACCGGTGAGGTGCATTTGGATGTGACAGTGCAGCAAGAACGCCCCTGGATTTACAACGTGATACCTGATCGCCATCCATGTGGGCCCTGTCGCTGCCGGGGGCGTGGTAAACGTATCCCGGATCTGCGGGTTCTGGAGATTGAAGCTCCCAGGGATGTCTCTCATTGCTTCGGCCACAGAAGTATAATTGAAAGCTCCATCCCCTCGGCCAATCACGAAGAATTTGTTCGAGTGCTTGTGGATGGGGTGAGGTGGTTGTATCGTGCTGACAACGTGGAAGATAAGATCGATCCAGGTCCCGTTTCGTGTTCGGATGGAGAGCTCGGGGTCAGCTGTCGAGGGATAGTAGAGGAGGGGAGAGCTTTCCTCTAAGGATAAGGGAAAGCTGGAATTTCCTAACGTCCAAAGAAAGGAGGCATTGAAACGGTTGATATTCAAAATAAAGGTTTCGTCGACATTTTGTGCCGGTACCTCAACAGGGAATGGAACCACTCTGTTCTCATCCAATATCACAACATCTGCTGTGGTATTTGCCCCTGTTATGTCAATGGATGGCCGAGAAGGCTGCTGTTGAGCTTGGGATGGAGTGCCATAGGACATGACAGCGGTGCCGCTCACAATCTGGTTCACCCCGTTATTTGCGACACGGATTGTATAATCTCCTGCTGGCTTGTCCAGTGCTACCATGATGGAGTACCGGTTTCCATTGGGCACCGTTACCGCATCCACTCGAATTGGCTCAATGTACCTTCCATCAATTGCATAGACGTACACAGGATGCTCGTCGATGGAAAATGTCATCATCGAGAGACTGGCGGAACTGATCAAGTCGAAGCTCACATACGAAGCAGATGGCTCAACCAGCAGAACCTCAGTGGGGCCATTGGACGGTGTGCAGCCTTCAAATACTGTCGGTGGAACGGCACTGAGATCGTGAACGAAGTTGCCTTGTGCTCTTTCGTTTGTCGGGGGTATGCAACTACAGCAGGTTAGATATCAGATAAATGGTTTGAACGGTACAAGCTTACTTACCCAATGTCGGTTAGGGAGTCGTTGCCCAACACATTCCTTTGTGCCTGGGTAGTATATGTGTCCAAGGTTTGCCGGCCCAAGCAAATCACCGAGCCCTTTCCATTGACCAACAGAGCGTTCACGCAGAACGCGTCCAGTCCACTCTCCTCTTCCACATTCCAGACCTCTTCTGATGTCAATTGGCGCCAGTCGCTAAGCATGATAGGTCTTGTCTTTTCTTCAGCTTCGCACATAGCGTTGATTGCTTGCGCATCATCAGTGATCAAGTTAAAAGGCCGCTCGACGGTGTTGTCAGGTTGGATATAGAGGGGGCCATAGAGGCCATCTTCAATCTGTCCTCTGCTATGAGCATGGTAGAAGTAGCTTCCATACTGTCCGGCATGCCACTTGTAGAGAAAACTGCTGGCCGGGGGAATTGGTCTCTGAGATAGACCAGGGGTCCCGTCAGACCAGGGGGTACCCAGCTGGTCGATTCCTATACCACCAAAGAACAACGTCAGCGTAACCACGCACACAAATTGCCCTACTAGACATACCGTGAAAGTGGATAGTGGTAGAAAAGGGAAGTTGATTGTTCACCAAGAACTCAACATCATCCCCCTGGCGCAGATGGAGTGGCGGCGCGGGAAATTGACCGTTGGTGAGAATCATCTTCCGGGTAATACCAGTCGCAGACCAATCCTCCCATGTGAGGTTGATTTCAAAACGTACTACACCTGCTGACGCCCAGGAGGCAAAGCATAAAAGCAACAGCGCAAGTAAAGTTGGTCTATCCCAAAGAGAACCCATGATGGATGCTGATGACTGTCACGGCTGAGAACCCAAACAACAGTGAGCATACCCGTCAACAACTCGGAGGAGCAGCAGGTCTATATAGTTTTCGATGAAGGGAGGCTGAGCACGCCCGTAGGGGAGCTCTTCGGGACGACAGTGCATGATCGGGCATGAAAATTGGTCTTTCCAACACACATCTCGAGGCTTGAAAGGTGGAGTTTCAAATGATAGGGGAAGCCATATGTACCACGATCAGGGATCTAAGCTCCACACCTGCACTAGCCATGTCATCCATGTGAGCTCGGATGATGAGCCCTGGGCTGTCAGCCTTGCTTGGTACGAGCCGCATCACCGGATTGGCCACGGAGAGATTGGGAATTGAGCCGGTCCTGTCTGTTGTGGCACAGACCATCTTGAACGGAGTCATTTGTAGACTTCCGACTCGAGTTGAAGGCTTCGACATCTCGTTATCGTACCCATGTCCCGATGAGATGCGCCATGCATTATGATCCTGGACAAGGCGGTGTCGAGGAAGGGTCTTTGGAAAAAAGAATTGTCAGTAAGCGAGAGGCATCATAAGCCTAGGCGTCCATAATTGCGTGTAGATCTGTAGATCTCTCTTAGCTATCGACGTACCATTGAACCCTAGAGCCTAGAGGAGACACATCCAATCACGTAGAATCAGCGTTCTCAGCCTCCCCCCAATGGTCTGTGAATCTGTTCATCGAGCAATGATATAATTCCGCCAATATCGATGAGAAAGAATGACCATATCTCGGGTAATTGCAGAAGGGAATGTTTTCCTGGTTGTTGTTGTGCTCGAGAAGAAATGGATTGGTTGAGTCCCATTTGATGGAGGGCCTAGTAGTCTGTGCTCACTTTCCGCCATGCATTAGCTGTGATATCCTGAAACCAGAATTCCGGCGATGGTGTTACCTTCGAAGAGTTGTATGACAAGCACGGATCAAATCAAAGAACTTGAGGTTGCTTTGGGAACCATGGCACAAGAAGCTTACGTCGAGGACTCGGCATATACTTTCGCCCTATTAACCTACAATACACCACAGCGTCCTGCAGTCGACACCGGGTGCGAGTTCGGAAGTTGATACAACAGTGTGCATAGTATTCTGGATAATGTACACATTGAATGAATGACAAGACGCATCCTCCCCAGGAGATAATGTATCTTGAGAAACAGACTGAATCAAAGCCGAAGAACCTCCAAGGATGAAAGTGGGTTGGACCAGTCAACACTTGATGTCAGCGCTCAAAACATCATCACATCGTTACAGACGGTTTGGACATGCATTCGGACTACCAGCTCGTGACAACCATCCAACCCCGGTCACTCTTGGGCTTCTGATCATTGCCAAGGAAAGGTTTGCCAGGAACGAATTCAGGTGCATCACCGCGAAGCTGAGAGTTCGGGTAACGCGATCCAGCAAACATCACTTCCTTGTCAGTGACGATAGGTTTCTGCATCTTGGGGACCGCGTCGTTCGGAAAGTTCGCGCTGTAAGCCGGTGCTTCATACTCCTAGCATACAACAGCAGGTCAGTATACAAACAACCCCAGGTCAAAGCTCAACTTGAAGGAGCCCAAAGAGATGGAATATTACCTGCTGTGGACCAGGGGAGCGAAAGCGGTCCAAAAAAAGCCTGCACTGTTCTTCCTGCTCTCTCATCTGCGCAAGGGCAGGAGCAACCACCGTCGTGCTCGTCTGGTTAACAGGATGACGGCCCGTCATGATAGGTCCCGGAAGCCAGCTATTGCCGTTTTGCTGCTGCACATGGGGGTGAGAATAGGATTGGTTGCTGAACGCACTCAGGCGGGGTCTATGGAACGATGCCGCTGCAAGGTCAGGAGGGAGAATGGGGAGTCTTGGGTCTCTAGGGAAACGATCCATGTCTTGCATGGGGACGGACGGGACTCGCTCGTTGAATCTTCCCCCAAGATGCTCTGGAAAGCCGACTGGCTGACCGAAGTTGTTTGGCTGTATTTCTGTCATATTAACACGCCGAAACAGTCTAAATAGTGCGCTAGTTGGATGCTGCTGGATGACAGCTCGGGATCAAGGTATTAAACTCACCTGGTTGCGCTGGTTCTTGCGATACTTCCGCATTATACAATGGTGGTTAGATAAAATATCACTTGAGAACGAGGCCTAAGATAGGTTAAGGCTGTAGGTGCAGAAGTGAAGAAGGATAGTGGGAAGATGAGGGATCCAAGTAATGGCAGGAAGAGGGTGAATGATGCTCTGTTGCGCCGGGGCAAGCCACGGTCACTCACAACAACCTCTATGACAAGCTGAATACATCCCAAAATCCTTGAGCGTAAACGAGCGTGATGGATGGTTGCTGCGAAAGCCCTTGTCTGACCATCTAATCCAAGGCTTATTGTTCTTTGTTCCTCTGTCTATAAAGAAAGACAAATTGGTCTCTAGAAACAACTTACTATGGACCCTCACTTTGCAGACAATCCAGGTTGGTATTAATCCCATTAGGATGCGCTCTCCTTCCTGAAAGGGCCAGTATTTAGTGATCTTTAAATGAAGTTGAGAATCCAGATCATCCAATAAATCTAGTTATGCCTCTTATTTGATTCTATTTGAATATACCTTACTTGTGTTCATGAGCTTTTCTTTGTTTTGGGACGTGCCCATTTTCTTAATTTTTCTGGTTTTTTTGTGTGTATGATAGTTTAGTGAAAGAAAAAGAGAAGAGCCAAAGGATGACCTCAAAGACACTCATGACAGGAAGCAAAGGGAAAGTAAGCAGGACCAAGCCACCATTATTGTTCTCATACTCTCACAGAAGCCTTTTTTTTTCTAGGTTTTCAGGGTGTCTCTCGGGACATGAAGAAGAGGTAAAAAAGGAGAAGAAAGAGAATGAGCAACTCGAACAAAGAAAAGGCAATGGGCGGTCTTTTTCACCCGTTTGCCAGTCATTGCCTTTTCCAGATTTGTGGTAAAGCAGCTTCCCTCATAGTAAGCTGAAGTTTGTGGAGAAAGGCATGGAGAGGAACCTTATGAAACATAATGAAAGCCAAGAAAGTGATGATCGCTCCGGGTATCTCTCTTTGAATTGCGAGGCAAGCAGGAAGTCAATGTTCGTTCAAATCATATGGATCATCAGTCGTAAGACTCGAGTAAGATGAAACTGAAAGAACCGAAAACGGTCTCTCAACAGTCACCAACTCCAGTCAACGGTATCGGGTCATCTATTCAATAGTGTCGATACGGTTCAGCGCGACCCGATATTTCTCGAAAAGGGAGCTTTCCGCAGCAGTTCGCTGAGACTTCTTCTTCCGAAGCATTGCCTCGGCTTCGTCAACTTCTCTTCGCGCATTCTTGACCTCGTTGAGAGACTGCTGAAGAGATAGTAGGTACTGTATATACAAGTCAATCGAGGAAAATACTACAATGCAAGTCATGAGGAGAAGAAAACTTACTCTTAGATATCGAGTTCGTCTATTCTCCTCGGTCTCAAGGCAGAGTTTCTGGCAGAGAACACCAATGAACGTGTTGACCTCCTCATGTCTCCTCGACAAGGCGTGATCTGGGTCTTCCTGAGACTGAGCCTCTTGGACTGGAGTATCTTTAGACATCATACTGGTCTCGGGTTGCTTTTGAGTCGCCAAAGTCATCTGATCGGCCTTCCTAGAAGCTGAAGACGCACTCGCATACCGTGGGAAGCGATGAGAACGTTGTGGGCTACCAGTGGAAGCTGCCATGGTAGAAATTCTGCGAGTTCGTCCATCAGTACTACCAACGGGCGTTTGCACTTTCGGGTTTGTGGCAGCCCGAGTACGTGTCGATTTAGTTGGCCTGGCGAACGATGGTGTTTGATCCACTTCATGGCTTCGGAAAGAAGGTGCAGGGATGGATAGTGAGGAAGTTGGTGTTGGAAAAGCCCCCGGGGAGACATGAATGGGAGCACTGATATTGCGGGGGCCCCTGCTCCACGAAACACTGTCCGGCAATTTGGAATATTTGGTCCGCAGTTTAGACCCCGGTCTGACAGAATCCGATTTGCTGTCGTCCTTTTTGGAACGACTAGCTGTTCCGCTAAGGGCCTTGGCTGCAGCCCCTTCCGTTGCTACTTCGACGCCATCATAGTTTCTCAATCGTCCTCTATCGATACTACCCTTGTGCTTGAAGATGCTGCGAAAGCTATCAAGCATCCTATTGCTCTTTGATTCCGGGATCTTGCTCGTAGTGCCACGTGGTTCGAGGTGCTCTGCCTCGGCACTCTTGATTATGATTTCATCAAAGGTTGCATTCTTGTTTAACTCATTCGGAGTAACTGGGATTGGAGCGCTCGGTCCTTCTTGAGCAGGCGCACCGCATATTGCATGCATGGACAATACTCGCAGAGGATGGGAACTGTCATCGACTGTAGCCGCGACTCTCTGGGTTGAAGCATCGGTGTTCCCAGAAGACATGACCTCATTTGATTTCAATTCAGGCAAAGGTTTATCTTTGTTGAGAGAGACCTTGTGCTCATCCGGGATCTTAGGCACAATAGGCACCTTTGACTCTTTATCCGGACTCGAACTGAAGATGCTAGAAGAACTTGGGCTGCCAACAGGCTTTCGAGGGATTGACAGCTCACGGCTGCTGAAGTCCCGCTTAGGCATACTCTCGAAAGAGGGTTGGGGTCGGCAAGATTTACGAGAAGCTACAGGGCTTCCAGTTGATGTATCATGATCAATCTTCTTCTCAACGAAGCCCGCTTCCTGTTGGAAGAACTGGTCTTCAGCAGGTTCCTCGTGAGCATCAGACTCTGTGACGGTTCTGGACACAATTCGGACAAGGTGTGGCGAAGATAAATGCGGTGCAACCGAACGGCTTTCAGGCCCCATAATGATCTCTTCAGCTGAAGCTGCAATGTGGAGGCGCGGTCCGTAAAAACGCTGACTCGATCGTTCATTTGGACGGCGGTCATCACCTGTGAACCCTGTTGGGCGCTCCAATACTTGTGCCTTCCATTCGGTATCAGAAGAGGAGGTATTCGATGACGCAGGCGAAGTCAGAAGTTCTTCGACAAAAACCTGGTGGATTTGATCAAAGCCATGCTCCTGTTGCGCTTTTGCTTCAGGCTGGGGAGGTGTCTCATGAGACGCGGCGGCTTTCTCAACAACACGAATGCTTTTTACTGGAACTTCACCGGAACCGCCTTCAGGAGTACTCGGCTTGTCTTTGCTGACCTTGCGAAGCGCAACCGGAATAGAGCTGCTCCGCTCTGGGCTAACACATCCTCTTACCTGATTTCCTCCGAGGCTGAGCTTCTGGACAGGTGGTCGAGGAATGCGAGTGTTGTGATCTCCGCGACCCCGTACTGTTGTCTGCAACGTCGATGTTGGTTTGGCTGCGCTTTGAGATGCACGAGTGGCAGTTGCTTTTTCTTCTCTCCCGTTAGTCCACAATTTTACAATGGAGGTGGGATATCCATGCCTTTCTGTACCGCAGCCTCTCCAAGATTACCAGGTTTTGGTTTCTCGCTCGCCTTAACAGCTTGTGTTGCGTTATTTACCGTCTTTCCTGTGGGCTCTACATGATATTAGACGTCAGCACATGAAATAATTAATCTTCCAGTTGCCAGGGGCCAATAGAAGGTCATCGCCCTCGTTGCAGAAGTCCATGAGCGTCACGGCCTCGAGAAAGCTTGGGAAAAGACATTGCGATATTTGAACCATTGAAAAATGCGTATTCTCCAAATCCCAGGACTCAAAGGCAACAATGAGGATCGATATAATGGACAGGAAATTACCTTTAGAGGGCGCATGCTGAATATTGTCACCTTCGTCGCTTGTGTTACGATTCTCCAGTGTGGGAGAATCCACAAAGGGGTCCTGTGCCTCCAGACCTGATTCCAAGGCCATTACAGACTTCTTGTATATTCTCAGGGGAGTGATGGTGATGTCAGAAGAGCTTGATAAAGATGATCGTGGAGAAATGTCGTCTAGGGATTTGGGGGAAGAATGAGTTTGAGGGGTGGGTAGAGAATGAAAAAAGGAATGAGTGCTGCTATCTTGGGGGAAAGAGGGAGAATTTGCTGGGGCTCTAGTGTAGGCGTCCTCGTCAGATGCTTCGAGGTATGGGTTTGAATTGTCTTGCATCAGAGGTAACCAGGCTCGAAACGGTAGCAGAGAGCGACGCACTGTGTGGTCTTCGTCTTCCTTCACTGACAAAGATGTAGGTGTTCCTTCAATTCCTGGGCAATGGAGGCTATCTGAAGACTTGACTTCTGAGCTCTCTAGGTCATTTCCCCGGTCACTGTACGCTGACATTTCAGAATACCTTCGATAATCCAGCGACACGATGCTTTCCATCTGCTCAAAGTGAGTTTCCCGATTTTTACGAATCCCAGGTCCGAGCACATACTGTTGCAGTTGACAGCGGTCTTTGATCATTCTTAGATAGACTCAATAATTGCGAAGCTCGCCTGAGCTGCTTAATCTCCTTTATTCGATATACTGGCTTTGATCTTGGCTTGTACTATACGCCATCTGGTCAATACTTCTTTTCTGATACTCATAGCCCGCTGGCTGACTTCACATACCTCAAGCAATCGATCTTGTGTGTTGAGACGCATCGCCTTCACGCTCAAGTGCATGGTCCTGATCATCCTGAGGTTCTTGAAACACTTCATAACACCCCTCAATCTGGCTTTCCTGAATTCGTGTCTCTTTTTGAGAGCCTTCAAAATCCTTTCCTTTCGGGACTCCCGTTTGACCTCTATTGGTTTTCGCCGCGTGATAGTTGGCTCACAACCCATGATTCGGGGGACGGCCGGGCCAGTATACTGAGGCTTTGGCTGGTAGTCCACTGGCTTGATCGCCTGGGCCTGATTGAACATCATAAAACGCGGGCCGCCTGGCGTCACCTCAACTTCTTGCTGAGCAGTGGATGTCACCTTCTGTTTCTTCGGAGTCTGCGTGGTGAGAAAGGGGGTCTTAGATGACATTTTATCCTCCAGGAAAGACGTTGGCGTGCCTCGCTTTCTCATATTCGGCGCTGAAGCTCTGCTTCTCAAGTTTGGAACAGATCGTTTCTTCAAGGGTTGGTGCTGGCTTGTATTGGCAGCAGTACTGATGCCATTTTTCTCCCGCAGATTAGGGGTCGAGGCCTTCCCCTTCAACTTTGTGGTGGCTGGTCCGCTTTTCATCTTTGCTGGCTCAGTCAACTGCTTTGTTTGCAATTACGAGACTCATATCTCAGACTGTGTCACTGCGTGCTTGTCTGTTGAAGGTTAACGCTCAGAGCATCGACAGAAAGCTAGGGAGCATACCCTAGCAGCCCCTTCTGTGAGTAAATCCTGTCAACATTTACTTAAATAGACACCTGTACAAGTCTTGCTTCGAACTTGAAAGGATTGCTTCCAAAGACCTTCTAATGTGACAGAAGCAAGTGTTCATTTCTGAGATCCCTGTGTTGTGTAAAGAAAGGAACTGGCTGATCCAATATGTAACTCCAGAGGGCTGAAATGGCATATGAGGGTACTAGGAAGGCCACCAAGAGGTCAAAGAAAGACGTCGCTTTCCAAATAGACAGATAGATAGTGACAGCTTTATTTTGAACGATATGTAGTGTGCGATGGCAGACGAAGTTGTCCTTCACTTCACGCACAGGCAGCCTAAGCGAAGCGATTCCTCTTTGGGTAATCAGCTCTGTGAAAGAGAGCACGCCTCAAGGCATCTCCAGCATGAAGCTTGCTTGAATAGCGTTTCTTTATCTGACTGAGGCTTTTAGACCAACCTCAAATGCTATTGAAGACGGAATATGTAAAATCTCTCAGGTGGACTCGTGGGTTACTCACGCTTGAGTATATAGATCTTCGGTCTGTTTGAAAGCTCACCATTATTATTCAATAGATTAACTACATCCTCCACTAGAATTACACCATTTTCGCAGCTGAACCAGGGCCCTGCGCGTCAACAAGGTGTCCCCGCTTCCTCTTCACGGCTGCTCGCGCATCGGTCAAACCCGCCTGCGTCTCCTCGCCAGATATTTCGTCTCCCCACTCAGTAACTTCCCACTCTATTGTTGTCGATTTATCCTCACTGGCCCCTAAGCCGCGTCTAGTCTTCATCAAGCGGCCGAGTCGGCTTCCCTCGATCATCTCCTCGAACCACGGGATCCCGCCCGTGGTACCGCGGCGGTAGGTCCGAGATACAGCAGAGCCGGGAGCCACAGATGGGACAACAACTGTCGAAGAATTAGAGGTAGTTGCCGGAGCCTGACTTGCACTAGCTGTTTTCTCTGCCTCCTCTTCGGCTTCTTCGTCAGGGAATTCGGGAAGCAGATTCAGATCTTCTAGGAGGCGCTGATCCTCGCTGAGCAGACTACCGATGGCCACAGACATGAAGTTTGCTTCCCCGCGAGGTATCTCGCTCCAGTACGTGAGCGGGGTGCCGCAGTATCCGCAGAAGATGCGCTGGGTGTGAGGGGCATAATTGGGCGTGAAGACCCGTCGGATAGTGGCGTGGGTTTCATCGGGAAAGTAGGAGTGGGTATGAGATCGATACCAGCTCAGGGGGACCCGCAGCCATGCAGTGAGAGGTGATCCATACGATCTTCCTGTGGGATATTAGTTGGTGGTGTGGTCAATATATCCCTCTGGGGATGGCTATACGAACGGTAGTCTCGGCTGCTGTCGAAATAGACATTGGCGTGATCGGTCACATCTTCTGGGATATCGATCGAGTATTGATTTCGGCCGCACAGGCAGGAACCGTGAAGAGGCTCGTGGGTGCTCATATTGAAAATCTAGGTGGACTGCTTGTCGCCGGCAGATCTCGACCAGACTAGTATGGAATCAAAAATCAACGGCCAGAACGGAGTCAATTAAGATGACCCGTTCCGCTTGGAGTTGACGCAAGAACAGTTATTGATGGATAGATAAATGAGACTCTGAGGATGAAGCGATGGAGGGAAACGGAAAAGATGTGTAGCCTGTCAATGACCAGACCATAGACCAGCTTCTGATCTGGTCTGCGCTACAACAATCTGGATCCATTATGGGGAGACATCCGACGGAGGGCAGCGATGACGTGAAGACCTTCCAAGCAGCGGATCCCCCAGAGGCTTGGCCTGCCTCGATGCGGCAACTAACGTTGATTGCTAGTGCGGGTTGTGAAGGGCCACGCAGAGTCTCAGCACTCAGCAGTCGAGAAGCCTAGGCTATGTTATGTTTCTATCATCATGCGAACGAAGCCCGGTGTCAGGGAGACAGATTCCTCTTGAGCTATCGGGATGTTGACGATGGCTGGTTCCCATATTCCGATATTCCCATTTTTCTCCGCACGCTAAATTGAGTCGAGACGATGGCTTAATTAATATACATAATGTACTGTTCTCTGGCCACCACCATGATTCTCGGTTTTCAAAATACAGTCCAAGCAGTCAACCTATTTCTTTCTTTCTTTCTTTCTTCTTTCTGTCATTATCCATTCTTTTTATCGCCATTCCTTCTCCCTTTGACTCGTAACTCTTGACTCTTTACTGCATATCTCTTTCCATCCCACCAAACTATATCCTCCGCAATCCACTCCCCGTCACATGAAAAGACACAGTCACATGTTTCCCACCTGTCCAACTATCTGATCGAGACGAATCAATCCACCACCAAATAATATAATATTATAATATAAAGCGACACACTGGGGAAAAAGAAGCGCCAACATGCCATCTGCACAACCACCAGCATCCCTCGCCTCCAGCTCATCCGAACCCTCCTACTCCCCCGTCCCCGCCAGCGCGAGCACAACCACCGAGGACCCCAATACTCGCTCATCCACCACCCCCACCGTCCCCTCATCCTCCAGACAGGCAAATTCTGCCTCCGCCGCAGCCGCAGCCGCAGCAGCCGCAGCGGCGGCGGAAAGAGACAAACCCCGCCTAACAGAACAAGAGAAGAAGAACAACCACATCGCCTCGGAGCAGAAGCGGCGCGCCGCGATCCGCGAGGGCTTCGACCGCCTGACGGAGCTGGTCCCGGGACTGGAAGGGCAGGGCCGCAGCGAGAGCATCGTGCTCCGGAAAACGGTGGATTTCATCCACATGAAGCTCCAGGAGCGGCAGGAGCTGATTGCCGAGATCGAGGGGAGGGGCGGGCATATTGACGATGCGTTTCGAACGTCATGAGTGTGTGAGGGGGACTCTTCCGCGTGCGGTTTTAGGGGTGGGAGTCTTTTGTCATGGGAACGCGCCAGCCGAGGTTCGGCAGTGCCGCTGCATGTTGTGTATGCGTGCGTGTGTTTTGGTCATTTGAGCTGAACAGGGATTTTCCCAATGGGATACCATTGATTACGGGTTTACGACTTTTGTTTATGGGATATGTGTGTGGTTTGAACTATTGGATCAAAAAAAAAAACTGGAGGTCTGGATAGCCATCGGGCCTGTCTTCTGTGCTGTACCTTTCCGCAGCGGTTGCACTTATTGCTAAGCGCGCAGAATGATTCTGGGACGCAGAAGCGTGAAAACGCCTTCCTGCGACGAGTCGGAATCAAAGCTTCTGATATTCACGTTGCTTTAAAACTTTCCATGTGGCAATCTCAACTTTTCGAAGTGTTGTGGTTGCTAGCAGTTGATGTACTATCCACAGATTGGGGACTGGCGTTGGTGCATTGTTATTTTTCTATCTCGGTGTTGAAGAATGATTTCTGTTCATGTAAATACTTCTCATGATATCAATTCGATGAATGCTACTTTGTATTATCTCGAATATGAAGGTCTGGACTCAATCTTGCAATGTGTGTGAACAGGGTGGCGACGCTTGGTTCTTCTCTCCAGAGACTGTCCCTGAAACCACACCAAGTCAAAGCACCGTCCTTCACAAAGTCTATTCGTCAGAATACAAGCACGGATATATTTTCCAGTTCTGATATACTCTGGTATATTGCAAACTTCATCTGTCCAGAACTATTTCGGGTGTTGTACACTTGCAATAACACGTTTCAGGTCTATTAATACATAAATCAACAGGGTAGTCGAACAATATTTTCATGAGTAGTCAAATCAACGAACATTCCAAGATCCAGAAGCCTCAAAGGAAAAAATACAACATATTGAGGAGATGAGAAGGGTCTTGCAAGATTGTAAAACGCCGCCCAATGCAATCGGTTCACCCTCAACTTTTCTGCTCAGGCCGGCACCAATACTTCTGACCCGACTGATCCTAGACAAAGCTGTCGGACACAAGTGAAAAACAAGATTTTTTTTTTAAAAAAAAAAGTTGTACTTAGAAGCTGTCTCTCCTCTCTCTGCGGCCGCGAGGACGGCCAACTCCGAGGTGGTCATCGGCATCACGATCATCTCTGCGAGGACGGTCATATCTCGATCCAAATCTCTGTTCACGGTCTCCAGATCTGAAATCGCGGTCCTGGCGGGCCGGGGAAGAGTAGCGGGAGCGATCGTTTCTGTGGTAATCACGTCCTGCCGACTCGCTGTGACGAGGGGCAGGGGCATCATAGAGACGGATACCTGGCACTTGGTCAATGCCCATATTACGGGCGGTTTGGAAAGAAAGTCTAGGAGGTTCGCGCAAGCCATAACCGTAAACGACGAGGCTGTTGATGGCGTGAACCATGTCCAGCTTGCGATCGAAGACACCTCTCAGGGGACCCATCTGGGACATGTACGCTCTCCTCTTCAGTTCTATCGGGATCTCATTCACAGCTTGGCCGACCTTTTCAATGAACGGCGTGGCAGGGCCCTCAGGGTCAATGCGAGGTTGGGTCATATCGACAAGGGCCGATGCGAATGTCTCTCTATCCTGCTCGATGGGAATTCCAGACAGCTGCCTGTCGAACAGCGACAACTCTCCCCTATGAAGGAACAGCCAGCCTTCACCAGTCTTGTTCGCACGTGCCGTACGACCCAAACGATGGATATAGGTGGCACGGTCCTTGGGCAGACTGAACTGGAAGACGTGGGTCACATCGGGGAAGTCCATACCACGGGCTGTCACATCAGACGAGAACAGAATGGCGGATCGGCTAGCCCGGAAATGATCGGACGATCGAGTTCTCCGTGCCTGAGTCAGTTGCGAATGGATTTCAAAGAGACGCACATCGCGCAACTGGCTTCTGCGGTCCTCAAAGATTTGACGGAACGTTTCAAAAGCGAGGTTCGTCTGTACGGTCGAATTGAAGTACACAATCGCCTTAAATGGCCGTCGAGTGGGATCCTCATTGCTTGCCTCGATGTATCTCGTGACATACTCGAGGAGGGCCGGGAATGCGTTCTCATAACCCTTGAGAACAACGTATTTCTGAGGGACAGTGAGGTGGGTGGGGACCTCATTGTCGCGGACAGTCTTAATAAACTTGAAGTCAGGCTTCATGGTCAGGTGAACCATCTTCATGACCTCCTTGGGGACGGTTGCGGAGAACATGAGTGTCTGGCGTTCAACCTTCATAGGGTCAGGCAAAAGGCGCTGAATCTCCATAATATCTTCCGAGAATCCGTCATCCAGCAAACGGTCGGCCTCATCCAGGACCAGAGTAGACAGGTTTGGAGCCGTAACGCCACTGCGATGATCCGAGAGAATATCCTTGAGGCGACCGGGGGTGCCAACCAACAGATGGCAACCTTCGCGTTGGATACGACGCAGACCCTCACGCTTATGAGTACCACCAACCGCAGTTTGAACGACAACATTGGTGTGAGCAGCCAGTCGCCGAGCCTCCTTGGCGATTTGTTCTGCCAGCTCACGAGTAGGAGAGATGATAAGGGCGCGGATATCCGAAGCAGACGCGTGAGACGAACGTCTCGAACCGCCCTGTTGAATAGATGGATCCTTCATGATATTCTGAAGCACAGGTGTAAGGAAGGCAAGTGTCTTTCCCGTACCCGTCTTAGCCTGGGCCAAACTGGAAACGAATGCAACGTCAGTTGACGATACTTGATTAACAGGAATTGAGAACAACTACTCACACATCATCTCCCTGTAAGATCTCTTGGATAGTTTGACTTTGGACGTCGGTCATGGTCTGGATTTTCATATCTTTCACGATGGCTCGAATGATTCTGGGGTTCACGAGCCCCTGCTCAGACAGTTGCGAAAACTCGGTGTGTCGCTCGGCCGCCTCGGGGGCATCAGTTTGTACCTGCGCCTCAGCAGACGCGGCAGAGAACAGAGAAGGCGACTTGTGGAGCAGCCGTACTGACTGAGAGAAGACCGAAGTCGAAGGGGCTTGCCATCTTAGCAGCTGCGAATTCGACTTGTAGAGGGATCGGGGAACGGAGGCCCGTAGAGCGTGAACGACGCCATATCGGCGAACAGTTCCGAGCATGATGAAAACAAGAAACGAAGATGAAACCACAGTAGATACAGGAAGGAATATTAAACTTGAAGAAAAACCAATTTGATGAAAAAGAGACGGGAAGACAGATGAACAGGGGACACGAGGATGGCTGGTTGAAACTTCAGGCCATTCTCGGGGATAGAGAAAAAATAATGGCAGAAAAAGTCCGACATTGAAGGCGGTGAGTTCTGGCGGCGAGAACTCGGGGAGGCGGCTGTGCTGCTTGACGGGAATATCTTTCTACCGGAACCAGTTGACGGAACAACATTGGGCCAAGATCAGAAGGAGATAGATCGCGATGTGACTTTACAACCTGTCAGAAGATTCTACATTCTTCTACGCTCCTGGTGTCCGGCTGCATTTAATCGCTAAACAGTCAAGCTTGACCCATAGATAGACATTGTCCAAACTCCGAAACCCTTGTTTGCCAGACCTTGATGCATTGCCTGGTACAGACAGTTGAAGCCGGTGCACGTGTCTCAACCCAGGTCCTGAATAATCATGAGGAATGGATGATCGTAAATTGACCGAATGCTTCTTGAAAATTATTCGGGCAAACAGTGCAGAATGAGTGTTGATTCTATAGAATGTCGGTACCTTGTTGGCGACAGAGGAACGTAGGGGTAGATAAACATACTTCATGAGGAAGATCAGAATATCAGCCTGTAAATAGATATATAGTAGATATCTCAAGAAAGCTTGTGCCTTTCGAATAAACGAACAGTTTTGCCACGATGGAAACCTGGTGTCATCTCTGGTCTGGTACGGATAAAGCGGCAGAACAGCTGTTCCAGTGAGCCTGAGAGAGAATCTGAATATTCACAAGAAGAAGAAGATATAGATGAGTCTATCCCAGCTACAGATGGTATCTAAAATGTCAAAATGTCTATGTCATTTTGACCTTTTTTTCTGACAAAAGTATTTTTGTCAGAAAAAAGTGAAATTTACTCAGTTGACTTAGCCCCAGAACACGAAAAGAATCAGTAGAAATCACCAAAATTTACACTGAAATTTGAAGCTTTTCAGGCCTAGGAGATATCACGTGATGTATAAGTCTACGTGATTTAATTGGCTACTTTTTAAAGTCATGTTTTCCTATTGGCTGAAGCACAATATCCACTTCTATCACGTGACATTTGTCAGATGTCAGGAAAAAAGGGCCTGTCATTTGTCATTTTGACATTTATGAAAATTTTTTGTCAGACACCATCCCTATAATTCCCAGCAGTAAGATTCTTAAAACTGATGATTCCAGATGATAAGAACTCTAAAAGCTATCAAGTCAGATCACTATATGCCAATGGATATATGTTTACTAGTGAATTGAGCCTAGGTTAGATGATCAGATATACTGATGATCACTAAACAAGGAATCAATCATGTAATCATGCAGTATATCTATGGAATATCTACTCCATACTCTGTACATGCACAGAATTGCTCTTGCATAACATTAAATTATCCTGTATATCCATCTTCCATAGCTGCAAACATGCCTGCTTTAGGGAACATCTCCGTCATCCCGTCACTTTAATCATTAACAATCACCACATCCTGCCTTCTTGGCTATTGCACAACCCTCACACCGTCACCCGGCACGCCGCACACCAGATGGATTGTCTCAAAAGAACGGTTCTCTTGCCCAGAAGGTGTTTTTCACCCGTCGGCGGATGGACAAGAAATCTATCCGACAGCTCCATCCACCCCCGTCACCTATGATTATGAAGCAATGGGTTCCATACAATCCGTGAACTAAGTCTCTGTCCTGGAGACTGACTGGAGGGAAGATCAGGTTGGCGGAGCCTCGGAGGAGCCACTTCTCTGCAATCATCCGCCAAGAAAAGTGCATTTGCCTAGGTACTTTCCAGCTTTCGTGCTTCTTGAAGAAGCTTCCTCAGTAGTGAACCGGCTCAATATTATAAATCGAGGCGAATTTCATCTCTCAACACGATTGAATTCGGCTCTGCCCCGCTTTCTTTTCGAAAAAAGTGACTTACGTACCCAGGAGGTTATAAATCAGGGTTGCAGGCTCGTAGGTACTTAAGGTTGTAGATAGACCCTGGACGTTTACATCATTGATAACAAGATTTAACTCAAAAGATCTCTCTCTCTCTCTCACTCTCTCTCACTCTCTCTCCTCTTGATTCCTGACGACTGCCCTTCCATTCTCTTCTCTCTTATACATACATACAGCAGCCAAAATGAGCTCCAACAAGGCCCTCGTCTTCAAGAAGGTCCCCGAGGGATACCCCGTTCCCGGCGAGCACCTCACCATTGAGTCCGTAGATTATGATGCCAACACTCCCGCTCCCGAGAATGGCGTTGTTCTGCAGTCTCTCTACACCAGTTTCGATCCCTACATGCGCGGTCGCATGCGCCCGGCTAACGTCAAGTCCTACTCTCCTGCTATGGAGCTTGGCAAGCCCGTCGACAGCATGACCATTGCCAAGGTCCTCCGTTCCAACAACTCTTCGTTCAAGGAAGGCGATTTGGTCACTGGATACGTCCCCATCCAGGAGTACATTGCCGTAGATGGCAACCAGATTGCCCGTATCCGTCCCCTCGACAACCCTCTGGGCATTGAGGATATCCGTGTCTTCCTCGGTGCGCTCGGTATGCCTGGTCTGACCGCCTACTCGTCCCTGTACGAGATCGGCAAGCCCAAGAAGGGCGAGACAATCTTCGTTTCCGCTGCTAGCGGTGCTGTCGGGCAGCTGGTTGGACAGCTGGCAAAGCACGAGGGCCTGAAGGTCATCGGCAGCGTCGGTTCGGATGAGAAGCTCGAGTACATTACCAAGGAGCTGGGCTTCGACGGTGGTTTCAACTACAAGAAGGAGAAGCCTGCCGATGCGCTGGCTCGCCTGGCGCCCCAGGGAATCGACATCTACTATGAGAATGTCGGTGGTGAGCACCTCGAGGCTGCTCTGGATGCCCTGAACAACTTCGGTCGTATCGTCCTCTGCGGCCTGATCTCTCAATACAACTCGGCTCCTTACCCCATCAAGAACATCCACAACGTGCTGATCAAGCGTATTGACATGCGCGGTTTCATCGTCTCTGATCCTGGCATGGGTGATAAGTACACCAAGGAGCACCAGCAAAATGTGCAGAAGTGGATCAAGGAGGGCTCCTTCAAGTCTCTCATCCACGAGACCACTGGTATTGACAACGCTGCGGAGGGTCTGGTTGGTATCTTCCACGGCAAGAACAAGGGCAAGGCTGTTCTGAAGTTCTAAACGATCCTGCGAACACCATAATTGAACAAAAAAAGAAAAACCACCTACATGTTAATAGTCTAGATGGTCATCGCACTGACGGAAAATAATGACATATGCCTGGCGCAAAAATATCTTGGTTCTCGTTCTTGCGGAGTAAAATACGTCGTCTCGTGGTCAACTCAGAGTAACAGGGGCCCAGCAGTAGTAGCCTATAGCATATGAACGTTAGTGAGCAACATAAAGAAGCTCTTCAAAACATTCCCATAGGATACATGAAGCAATTGAAGTGTGTCGTGTGCACCTCACAGAAGCCTCCAAATACTATCTGCCGGAACGTCGGCCATTTTCGGCTGGGCGGAGAAATGCCAACCAATCAACGCGCCCACAATGTGATGACCGCATCCCGAATCGGATTCCCGAGGTTCCAATTCAACCTCACTATCTCGACTGTGAACCTGCTATTCGAACCTTCAAACGCCCTTACGATCTACCCCAGCCGGTCTGTAGTGCAGTTCGTACTTGCACAATTGTTTTTTTGGTTCGGAATCTGACTTTGCAGCACATATAGCGTCACGATGGCTTCCATTGCGCGCCAGTCTCCTTTCCTCAGGTCGTCCTGCCTGTCTGCTTTCCGGTCGCCCTTGGTGAACAGAAATGTGTCGCAGGTTGTGGCTTTCCACGCTTCTGCGAAGAAGCAGATTCTGCCTCCTCTGCCCCGTGAGTTGTCTTGTCTCAGTATTGGGGGTTGTGGTGGCTGAGGGGTTATTGTTTGGATGGAAGAGAGGGGTTGGAAATACTAACATACTGCATACAGAGGTCATTCAGGGAACCAGTATGTCGAAACCTCCATAAACATTGCATCAGTCCTTTCCCAGACAAAGATCGTTCGACAATTCCCGATCATGAGCCGTTATACCAACCCGCGCAGCCGGACATAATCGGCTACACATGCACCACACTTAAAGAGCACTACATTGACATGAGACTCAACAGTGAACGATGCCGCTCCCATCCCTAAACCTCACCCTTCGGAGGGTAGCTATCACTGGAGCTTCGAGAGGTGCGTACGGTTCTGAGAACCTGGGGGAAGGACGCGAGAAGGAGCATTCAACCAACAACCGAGCCGGAAATGCTGATATCGAAATAGATTCGTCTGCGTCGGTCTGATCCCTCTGACCATCGCCCCCTTCGCCGCCGGCTCCCTCAACCCTGTCATGGACTCGGTCCTGTGCACTCTCCTGGTGCTGCACTCGCACATTGGTTTCCAGTACGCCACGACCCGTCAATGAAAATGCGGAATCAGCCGGAAAGACTGACAACATCACAGGGCCTCGATCATCGACTACTTCCCAAAGCGCCGTGTCCCGAAGACCGCCACATTCATGAGCTGGCTGCTGCGCGCTTTCACCCTCACGACTGCCGTCGGTCTCTATGAGTTCGAGACAAACGACGTTGGTGTCACAGAGGCTATCAAGAGAGTGTGGAAGGCATAGACTGATCGGCTGAGGGTATCGTTTCATTTCTGCGTTTGATCTTTGTTTTTGTTCCTATCCAGGCGTCTGCCTATGTACATGTGTGGATTTTCCTTATCTAGTCAGGTCCAGCCTTGCTGCAACTGGTTTGGCTGTAAAATGTAACCCCCGAAGACTCTATTTCCCCCCCCCTCCTTTTCTATCATGCCTTCGCTGTAGGAGTAAGGTGATTCTATACCGGAACGACCAGCGTTTACATGAACAGCACCCAGTAACATAAACCAAAGGGGTATAAGTAACAAGGACCCATCAGAGATCCCAGGACCAAGCCTCTACGCCTCTTCCTCGTCCTCCAGCAACAGATCATCCGCATCTCCATCCTCATCATCCGCCTTGGCCATCACCCGCTCAACCAGCTTCAACGCCGCCTTCAACGGCAACCCGACAACATTATCCCAGCTCCCAGAGATCCTCTCGACAAGAATGGATCCAAGCCCCTGCAGTCCATAGCCGCCGGCCTTATCCGCGCCCTCGCGCGTCCGCACATACGCCAGGATCAATTCATCCGTGACCTCGCCGTCGAACCAGACATCCGTTTCCTCGAGGTGCGTCTCCATCGCATACCCGGGCTGGCGGGCGCTCGCCAGCGGCGCCATGGCCACCATCGCTGTGTACACCTTATGGACCTTGTTGTCGCGCAGCATCTTGAGCATGGCGAGGTGGTGGGCCTCGGAGCGCGGCTTCTCGAGGATGGAGCCGGACGCGTTGTCGACGACGACGGTGTCGGCGGCGAGGATCAGCGCCGGCTCGCCCTTCGCCTCGTTGATGATTTCCTGCTCGTACACGGCCTGGGCTTTCTTCGTTGCCGTCGCCAGCACGTACTCGAACGGCTCCATCGTCTTGGGGAAGTCCTCGGCGGCATTGGACGGGATGACTTCGAAGGGGAGGCCGAGGAGGGAGATGATCTGGCGGCGCCGCGGGGAGGCCGAGGCGAGGATGACTCGCTTGGTGCGTAGGTCGTTGAGGACGGGGAGGGAGAGCGGAGGGGGGCGTGGAAGCCGCGGGGCGGGTGCGGCGTTGGCATCGTAGGCTGGGGGAGGGTCGGGGGAGCTGTCGTCGATGTGCACGAGGAGGTTTTCTTTCAAGTCGGCCATTGTGTCTCCCGGTTTATGATGGGTGATCTGGTTGATGAGGCGTTATGTGCGTCTCGTCTCGGTGTTGATGTGGTTTGTCTTGAGAGACAAAAAGTTGAGCTTGTTGGATGTGGGGTATGTTCAGTTAAATCGTACTCCAATTGGAGTCGGCGTCTGTTTCAAGTAACTCGACTCATCGCACTGACGATGAAACTGTGAGCGATACAACTACTCTCATGGTTCATTTTGTTGCTGACTGGATACGAGAGGCTTCCAGCTGACTCATTGTATTTAGAGGACCGTTGCATTCGTACAGCACCTTAAGGTTTGCGATAGAGCTAAGTAAAACAGACGCAGCAAGCCTTCATGTTACGGAAACATCAAATTCAATAGCCATGTATACGTAGCAACATGAATATCCACAAAGGGAGCGGTTCTACCAGCCCCAGATAGCAATATGTATCATAGGGCACTGGTATGACATATCGCATATTCCGTTCGACCAGGATATTGTATCCTGTTGCATCTTCAGTATCCCCCAGCGTGCTCATCCCCTTCAGTACAATGTATTTGGTTAGCGAAAGCCAAAATAGCATAGGCTAATAATATGTTCACTCCAGAGCTCGACGTCGATGAAAATGAGATCAATGTGATCAAGGAGCAAGGGTTGAACACCCTGGCCAGCGAGCAGCTTTGTATAAATTGATGCTGCCCTCTCGTCCAGTACATTTGATTTGCCAGCGTATCTGAGCTCGCCGTAGTCGCCTATACAAACCGTGTCGAGATGCAGGGACAAGGGGAGTGCTAGCCCACAACTTGCAAAGTAATTGACATGGCATTCTCAGGGCTATCGATCTCCCGCAATCTATCAACGGAATCAGCGACTGGCGCGTCGGTATCCCCCATTCATGCTTACGCACGATAAGCGTCAACCCACGTCGCTAGACTTGCTCGGTTTGTGACACAGTGGGCTTGGATTCAGATGAAGCGTGCGAGGTATCACTATTCTCTCTAGAATTGGCGCTTTCAACGCCGGAACCTTCCTCCTTGTTTCTCTCTCGTCGTCTGGGCCCGCAAATGCAAGTGATAGAGGAGAACCCGCAACCTCGTCGCGTAGACCAGTATTCAGAGCAGCCAATAGCGGCCACCAAGATGCAGCAGATAGTGACTATTGGAATGAATACTAAGATGAGAGCGAGGATGGTAGTTTGGTATCGATAGAGCCAGTCGTTGGACATGGTTGTTGCTATCCAAAAGAGTCTCAATGATGCAGCTGCTAGATGGTATGGTAGGGTGAAATGGGTTCAGCTTATGCCGGAATGAAGTGATGGCAAGAAAATCGATGGTAAGTCGATTGTTAAGGGGCTCCCGTTGAGAGGCAGGTGCGCGTGTTGGATGCCTGATGGAAAGAGCCTTCGCACACCCACATTATGGATTCAACGACGTCAAGGTTACGCAGTATATTGCCCCGTTGCCTTATAAGAGTCGCCCCCATTGAAATATTGCCGCTAAAAGGCCAGCGAGCAAATGTGCATATATGGGAGAATGGACTATTCATGAGCTTCCTCCATCCGAGGAATCATCATCCCCTTAATCGAGGCTAATGTGGTGTCGTCCAAGCGAGAAAACCGGATCTGACAAGTCAATGTTAGTACAGCAGAAGACGCCGCGGTTAAAGTATAACATACCATTTCATCGGTAGCCCCTCGAGCAGCACTTCCAAACAACATCTGGTCTGAACGACTTGTCTCGATCTCATGCTGGACACGCTTGGCCCAAATTCCATCCCAGTGCCAATCCCCAGGAGAACGCGCCTGCGGACTATCCCGTTTCGAGTTATTCGTCGCAGCTTCGCCACTCTCTCTTCTGTGTGCCTTCCATGCGTGCCACGCGCTGGGGTTTCCAGCTGCTTCAAGGGGGAGGGAGTCGAGCACGGTTTCGTTATCGAACGTTGACCGGATATAGTTCAGTAGTACTGCTACTGGTACTGTCTTTCTTGTCTCTTGAATGGGTTCTTCTTTGTCGGTAGCGGCATTGTCGCTCCCTCCTGCATCGTTGCGCTGGGGTGACGCGGGAGTAGAGGGATCATTCGCAGGCGTGCCCTCTTCTCCATTCGGAGCTTGTCCGTTCAAACTGACGGCTTTTGACGAACCTATTGACTGCCGTCCCGTGGCTTTCTTCGCTCGTCCAAACCAATGTGGAAATCCATGCCGGAGGCTGAAACCACCAGGGGGTAATCGCTCTTCATCTGTCGCACTGACGGGATCTTCGCTTGATGCACCCGTGCTGAATGTATATGTGGTAAGGGGCACAAGGAGGGGATGGAACACATCCGTTGAGAAGATCACGAGGGGTGGAAGGTCGGGATAAGAGACGGGGAAGTGAATCTGGAATCGAAGGACAGCAGAAGCATAGGGGCCTATGGATGATCCAGTCAGTCCAGGAATTCAGGTACAATTAGACCTTAGGGGCATATATACCAGTTCGTACAAATATCACGCCGGACCAAAGAGTTGGATCGGTCGGAGACAGAGAAACATAGACTCCTGGAATAGCTGCATACTTCAGGCTTGCACTGCAAGTCGGACATTTAGCAATCAACATCCACCAAGCATCGAGAGCAACGACCGGGAAGCATACAATTCTAGCAGAAGTTGCTGTTTACGGAGAGCAGGAATATTGGGCAACCTGGTGGACGACATGACGCCGTGGGACCTCACAATTGTCCCAGGTAGAGAACTTACGGAGCAGTTGGTCTCTTGTGGACACTCAAACGCGAAGATGGAGTCGGGAGACAGCCAAGATCCCAAAGTCCGGTATCTCCGCCATCAAGGTTGATTAGACAAAGTTGAGGAGCGATCCTTTCACAATCATGCACATAGAAGTCTTCGCATTCTAAAGAGAGAGAAAAAAAGAAAAGAAAAGAAAAGAAAAAGTCTAAATATCGTAATCTAATGGATCGTAAATATATACAAGTCTATATGCCAAGGTCATCGCGCCTGCATCTGCACAGGTATTCTCTGTAAGTCGGATTGAGGCCGAATCAGCCCCAGAATCATCATCCCTTCCCCGACTCCCTCATAGATGCCCCCAGCAACACCCTCTACCCACCAAGCCGCCAAATCTGTGACGGCTGTCCCGAATCTCCCATCATTCAGACTCAGCACGGTCGACCCGAGGCTAAGACTCCCCTTGCCAAAGCTGTCCGCAGCATCGAGCGTCGCAGCCACGACACGCTCGGTGAGCCGATGCGATCTTTCGTACTGATACACCTGCTGCAGCAGAATCTTGACATAGGGCATCAGAAACTGCACGAGGAGAAAGAATTGAACGATGCTCGATGCCAGTAGACGGTGCAAATATGACCGCTCGGGAAGCTGTCGCGATCCTCCGCGGGAATGCGCCAAGGGAGCAGGAGTGCCGGCCGATTGCGCAGAGGCTGGTGTCGCAAGCGTTGCCTTGATGCTTACTGGCAGGCTGTGTTGGATTGTGGCGGTTTCCTCGTATGTGAGGTCACTAGGCAGAGCGTCGAGCAGATAGCTGACCGCATTGATGTACAGGGATCGGATGAGACGCCCGTCGCAATTAGGTTGTTGCGCCTCGTAACCTGCATTGCGGAGGAGATTCAACGCTGCAGACACTCCTGGTAAGCATAATGCCTCTCAATCTTGATGCGCGTTTGTACCATAGCCGAGGCCCAGGAAAAGGAATGATAGGGTTAAGAACATACCAGGAGTAACTCGGTTCCAGCGTAGCCCAGACTCAACCTCATACGTCGATACTACCGGACTCCTCTCCGTCGTATCGCTATCCCTCCCGTCGTCTAGGCTGAAAATCTCCGACGTCTTCGCGGAGAAACTCGAGTCACAAGACTCCGGGCCAACACTACTCCCTGCCGTTGCAGGTCGCTGGGAGTCTTCTGAGCCCATTTCACTGGCAAGAGCAGATCTATAGTAACCTGGCCCCGAGTCTGGGAAGGATCCCGAGGCAGACTCATCGTTTGTCGTCCTCCGAGCGGCGGCCAATTCCGCTGTCCCTTGAAGCGACGAGTAGAGACGAGGCATTCGTCGTCTTATCGACGCTGGAAGATCCGGGAAGAGTCTCGGGAGGCCGGTTGAATAAGACATGATTGTCCACAATGGTGCTACTTAATATTCTGCGGACAGCTTTACAGATGACAAAAGCGTGTGTGCGAGAGAAAGAGACCTCGTCTGTTCACCGAACACGAAAAAGAGCGGAATCCATCATCATCAAGATCAGAAGAAAGGCGTTCGGTGATATGAAGACTTCGAATGCAGGTGTCATGACTCGAGAGATACCGTTTGAAATCTTGTCGACTTTCACATGTCAATCGGTCGTGGCGAAAAACAAACAACAACCCCACGCTCATTCCGATAACTCACTGATCGCGAGAAATGTTGGGAGTCAGCTTGGCGTGTAGATAGACTGTCGGATTTGTAAGGTATTAATTAGGCTACTCCGTAGTAGCCACTGTTCAATAGGAATTGCTGTGTGCCGTGTAGATACGCCCTGTAGATGACACAGACACGCCGAGCCCAAGTCCACATGGCCAAAGGTCTCCAATCAAAGAGTCGCGTTCTGGCAGCCTCTGCGCCCTTTCTTTGATCCAGAGGATTGGGAGTTACAAGCAGCGAAAAAAGTCAGAAAAGTGGTATCTATATTAAGGACTAACACCGCAGTCTAACAAGGCATATCGTCTTCATATCCAATGCATCCAACAAGAACAAAGAGTCTTGCGGAGACGAAAGAGAAAAAGAAGTATAAACAAACTTTTTTTCCCACAACGCTTTCAACAGTTCATTCAGACGTCACCACCCATGCTGGGATTGAATACGTCCTTGAGTGATGTCTGGGCTTGGTGTGTTCCGACTCCAGTCTGCCCAGGATTGAGAATTTTGCTGGGCGCGGACCCGACGTTGGAGGCGGGAATACCATCATCTGCTGTTGAAGACATTTTGTATACATCACTCTCGGGGACCACCTCAGTATCACGTCCTTTCTCCATATCAAACATTATCCCCTCCATGTCGTCCAGCTGCATCTCGCCGTATCGATTGTTCAATTGTTGCAGAAACTCCGGCTCGAAGCCCATTTGAACAAATGGATCAACTGAGACGGACCCACTGACAGGTGTAGCAAAGGAGGAAGAAACCCCGGCGGAGAGGTTACTGCCCCAGTCGGTTGAGAGACCCGAGTTGACTCCGGAGGGTGCAGCTCCAAAACTGCCAACATAGCTAGCGGCCGAGCTTCCAGGCATACTTGCGGCAACGGAGGACCGACCTGTTCCAGGAAAAGCAGGGCTTTGCAGTGCAGGACTGAAGTTTTCTGGTTTGAGAGGCATCTTGGAGCAGATACTTCTCGCTAACACATTCTTCTCAACAGGAGGCTGCCTCAATCCACCATGCATTGCGAACGGGGGTTGCATGTCGATATTGTCTAGTTCAAACTTCTCCGCCTCGGGTACCATTTCCAAGCCAGCATCCCGCTTCAGGATACTCAGCCAAACGGCGTTATCGGCACAGGTTTGGTTCCAAGGGTCAGCATTGCTATAGATGACGGTCCGAGCATGATCCTGAATCATTTGATCTGTTGGGATGATACCTTCTGCAACATTACTGTGGATGAAAGCAGTAAGCTCGCGTTGTAGGCGATGAAAACAATTGGCGTCGTCGGGTTCACTCAAGCGGGGGGCTGCATCATTGAGGGTACGGGATGATGGTCCGAAGGAACGCGAGGTTGTGTAAGGGTCCAGTGTTTTCCGTTCTTGACCGATGAGATAAGGTGGCATTGCGTTCTCTACCAAGCCCTGAACAAAAGGTTCAAAGCCCCAGTCCCCCTGCCATTGAGCCATCTCAGCTCCGTTCTTGAAATGCGCAGCGATATGCTCAACACGGTCCTTCCAAGTACTAAGTGTTGTGCCGCAGAAGCCACAACGCGATTTGAGCTCGGTGGTGGTACTTTGCCATTGGGCCATGTACGAGTTGAACTTCACATTATGCATCAATCTCAAATGCTGATTGAGGTGGTCCTTGCGATAGAATGTTCGCTCAGCGACCGTCTTCTCTTGGCAGGTACTATAGCAGTGGGACTCCAGATGGTCAGTGTCGGGGTCACTCGCCATGCAGAAGACACATCGATTGGCGCCGTTGACATAGACAACACCCCCATGGGGTGAACACGTCCATTTCTCCAAGGCAAGATGCAGGGACTTCTCGTGCCGCTGCCAATCATATTTGGTTGCAAAGGAGTCGGTACAGAAAGTGCATTGAAAGATGCGAGCACTTCGAGCCTTCTGTTGATTGAAAGGGTTCAGTGCTGTTGATGGCTTGCGACGACGGCGACGATCCTTCCTGTCCATTGAGCCAAAGGACTCCAAGGAGGACCGGTGGGAGAAGGCAGAAGCAAAGGACAGGTCAGAGACAGATGATCGACTGGCGGACCGACTGGTCCCCAAACTACTGTTGGATGGGGCCTTGAATATATTGGAGTTGGCATGGCTTGAGTCATTGCTTGACTCCTTACGAGAAAGGGAACGCACGTGACCCGACTGCCGTGTCGAGTCCAGCGGTGTATTCACCAGGGCTCGCAAAATATCGGAAGTAGCAGCAGGTTCGTTTTCGGGGGGAGAGTACTTCCAACGCTCCAGGGGCGTCATGAGCGCGATATTTGGATGTTGCTGCTGCTGTTGTCGCTGTCCGGGAATGTCAATGGCACCAGACGCTGAACAAGTACTGAGTGGGGAGGGTTGGCCCTTTCCACGCCGCCTCGCATTAGCAAGCCAGTTGCTAATTTGAGTGCGTTTCAACCCAGTGCGTCTTTTCAGCTCATCCTTCTCGTCCTCACTCGGGTAGGGATGGTCAAGATGTTCCAAGAGCCAGGTCTTCAGAATTCTGACCGCGTCGCGGGAAAGTCGAGAACTACTCTTCCGCCCGCGACCCTCCTTATCTTCCGAGGTCGTCATTCCCGTAAGGGATTTAAGAGTCTTCCTACCCGTTGGACCCCCTGTGGGGATGTCCACGTTCTCGGAGATGGCATGCAAAGTATCCATAAACTTGCCCGGCACTTTGGCATGCGTAAAACTGCACTCTCGGTAAAGGGAAATGCAGCACGTGCAACCATTCTGCAACACACCTCTAATAACGACGAAGCATTCCAGATTCATGTGCCTGCAAAAATCGCAAGGGACTTTGGCTCGGAATATTGGGAGAGTATCGTGACACTGTCCGTTGTCTGGAAGGGATTCTATTTTCTGAGCCAAAGGGTTCTGCTCCTGCATTTGATTGGAGAAGTCCAATGGCTGTTCAAGCAAAAGAGAATCACAGTTTGCAGTCGCATCGCTTTCGTCGATCTCGAAAGTATTCGAGGCCACATCGTCGTCGCGAGCTTGGGAACCATATGAGGCTCCATCAAAGTCGAAGTATTCCATTCTGCAAGTGGATACTATGAAGACCGACAATGGTGACCCGGTGAGTCAATATCCCGACCTCGGCTCGTCAAGAGACAGGACAGACACAAACAAAGTCGAAACAAAAAGAATACTAGAAAGGCAGAGTTTTTTTGTATGATTTGGAACTCAAGGGACAGATGAGTCGACGAGTTGGCCAGATGTCAGAGAAAAGAAGAGTGTATGGTTTTTCGCCTGGAGTATAAGCAGCATGCCGACCAATGGATCAGATATCGTGGAGCCAACTGCAAGGCGACATGCATTTCACTTTTGGAGGCAGTTGACTAGCAGTCTGGCTGGATTCGCCTGGTCACTGAATGGTGGATTCAACGACAATCAGAGCAGCGCGCCAGGAGACGATGATCACGTTTGGTTTAGTCGGCATGACCGATGATTAGACCCTCACTGGGTGCGCACTGTAGCTGATTCCACCTTCCAGGTTTGAGCAGCCACGGGCTTGTCAGTTGTCTCATAGCGGTCCATTCAGAAACCCCCAATAATGCCTGAACTCTGAAGGAGGAGGGGAATTACCGCCATTATTCGGAGGAGAAAGCATGGAGTCCGGAACGATGCCTGAGTCATCCACGCTGGTTGATTTAGTGTGCGCCCTTCCGACGACAACACTATACTCAATCGGGACTAGCGGTGCAGTGCGGGGACACGCCCTGGTTCTCCCGATTGGGCAGGAACGACTCGGACCATCAACGATATCGGAGAGGAACTAATAGTGGATTATCGGCATCTCCAGAATAGTCTGAGTAAGATTATAAGACTACAATACTCAAAGTTATCAAGTCTGGGAAGTGGGAGCCTACGTATCTAGGTTCTTGGCGCATTCGGTCTTTGACCTCAGGTGAGCTCCGTCATTGCTGAATCCCGAACAGGAGGCTGATCGTTGACAGTATGGGAGATAGCTCTATTGGTCATGGCTCACCGACAGACAACCGCAGCTGGCTATGCTCCCCGTACTCGCGGATTAACGTATCAGTCGACCACCACACCAGGCTGCTTGAGACACAAGGAGCTTCGAGTTTCTATGACATCTAACGCTAATAATAGACCCTGCGGCCAGAGTACCATATCAGTAGACCACGAGAACGATCCATGCGTTCGGACCTCAATTCTCTGCATATGAGCAGAAAGGGTCCTCCTCTCTGCGGTCCGTCAATCAGGCCGAATTCATAAAGAAACCGGCCTAACTCTGCGTGCGCAGAGATAGACGTGGTGGATGAATGGCTGATACTCCCACGCTGCTCTAGATGCCTCGGTTGTTCTTGACTTATGAGAACTATACGCGTCATGGGGCTGACCGTTATACCGGTCGTGTTCCTGAAATACGAAGTACTTCCTGAGATGTGATAGTAGTGTTGCGAACATGGTGCATAGGCAAGGATGTATGGTCATCTATCAGCCTTGAAGCTGTCATCCTCCTATTCTAATGGGATGTCACTGGACAGCGATATGGTCCCCAGCACGCTATGGATGTATACATAGCGAATCGTGGAGAAAGTTTTCCATGGGGCCCGGTCCAAACATTAAAGCCTCGACGCCAGATTCGAGTTCAGGACATCAGTCAGCCTGTGCTCAGCATAGTGGACGTCTCCTGGTTGGGAGAGCAAGCGTTATCAAATCTGGCTATTTAGTTTTGCTTCGGAATTTTGATGAAAATATCTGAAGACCATGGGTTGCCAAGATGCATGATGATTAACGTATGTGCTTGGTCTGATGCTACCTCGATATTTCTTGCATTCGAATTATACACAAGTTCAAACAGCCTCTTCTTACACCCTCCACCTTTTTCCTTTCTTTTCTTCGATGTCACTATCAACCTTCTTGCAAATATTTTCCCTCCCCTCAGCAAATTCTACCGATCACCTATTGAGACAAGTCCTATTTTCCCTGTTTGACGTTGAATTCGTCCGCAACCCTCCTTGTTGTCTTGATAATATCGACACATCCAGGAGAATCCGAGTGACAACATATCGAGACGGGGTATGTCTTCAAAGGAAGCTGCACAACTGACCCATCGATAGCCGTGACTGACTGCTCTTCGACCTGCTGTCTTACATGTCTCTCAACATCTGCAAGATCCCAGGGCTTCTTCTTTCGATCAATAACAAGCATGCCTTGAGAATCATATTTAACATCCCCATATAACTCAGCCCAGAACTCGACCCCCAGGTCGTTCGCTGCTCTCTCCATCTGAGTCCCCGCAAGTCCGAAAACAGGCACCCCCTTCGGTATTCCTACCATGACGGCTTTGGCAACTTCATAGTCTCGGCACATCATACCATACAATACCCCATGGGGCTTGACATGATGAAGAGGAACATTTTCACGATCGAGGAAGCCTTTGAGTGCCCCCACCTGGTAAATTGTGATCGCTGTGAGCTCCTCCGGGGAGAGTTTCATCTCCCGACGACCAAATCCTTGCAAGTCTGGAAGACCAGGGTGAGCACCAATTCGAACGTTATGAGCTTTGCAATTTCGGACGGTTTCCATCATGATCAGGGGGTCACCACCATGGAATCCGCAGGCAATGTTGGCGATATCGATCATAGGAAGGAGTTCGAGGTCAGGCCCGCAAGTCCAATTACCATACTATCAGAGAATCATTGCGGTTATCATCATGCAAAAAAAAACAAAGACACTGCGGGGTAGCGGCAGAGCGGTCTTACAGCTTCCCCCATATCGCAATTGATGAGCGCTTTTTGTTGAATGGGGGCCATAATGGACTCTGTTCTTGGCTTTTCCAGGTAAGGATTTCTTAACGCTCGTGGGTTTTGGAAAATTTAAGAAAGAGGATTTCACAAAGTGAAAAATCCATGCAGCAGGCGGCATATGGACACTATATGTCCCCCAAGAAGCCCTTTCCTGACCAGTATGACTGAGCGGAGCTCTTGACTGAGGGGCTCCGCAACTGAAACAGTCATGATGGTAGTATTGGACGGTTTCGCCGCAGTCTCCAAGTTCTCCAACAGCGGGGATCAAAGCCACCCTCAACTGACGATCAGACCTTACTTTCTGATGCCAAGCTCCCTTATCACTTGTTCGATCTGGTGTTATTGGAGTACACCTCCGAAGGGCTCAGAGCTCGAGGGCGATCTTTTGGTCTTTAAGTACTCCGTAGCAAGAAAACCCAATCCACAATGCTACCAGAATCATTATTCGCAACCTGCCCTCTATGGACTCCCTCAAGACGCTTCTCGTTGCCAACAGGGGCGAAATCGCTGTCAGGATCGTGAAAACTGCAAAGTAGGAACCACTCGAAACTAAGCTTCGACTCGCTGTCCCATGGCTGAAGGAGCTGACTCACTGTTGTAGGAAGCTGAATATTCGTACTATTGCAATCTACACAGAGCCGGACGCTTCTTCTATTCACGTGCACCAGGCGGATGAAGCTGTCCTACTTCACGGATCACCCTCTCAAGCATACATTGACGGGTAAGTCTGCGTTGTTCGACAACAGGAATCGCCCTAACCTCCAAATCGCAGAGAGCAAATCATTCAGGTTGCTACGCAACATAAAGTGGACGCCATCATCCCAGGATATGGATTCCTGTCTGAGAATGCAGATTTCGCAAGAGCTGTTGCGACAGCTGGCATGGTCTTTGTTGGCCCTTCTCCAGAGAGCATCGAAGCTTTCGGTCTCAAACATACTGCACGAGACCTTGCAACGAAAGCCGGCGCTCCCATTGTGCCGGGATCACCTGGCTTAGTCAAAAGTGAAGAGGAGGCCGTTACACTGGCAAAGGCATTAGGCTTCCCAGTATGCATAACCTCCCTTCCCACGTCTAAATGGATATTAAGATGTACTGCAGGTCATGCTAAAAGCTACTGCAGGTGGTGGTGGAATGGGCCTGCTTACATGCAGCTCTGAGGCAGAGGTGCGCAAGGCGTTTGCCACAGTAAAGTCTCGTGGTGAAGCCCTATTCAAGAACGCAGGCTTGTTTATTGAGCGTTATTACCCGTCCAGCCATCACATCGAAGTCCAGGTATTTGGTAACGGGAATGGTAAGGCGATTTACATAGGCGAACGAGAATGTTCGATACAGAGACGGCATCAGAAAGTGATTGAAGAATGCCCAAGCCCATTGGTTTCAAGAAACCCAGGATTGCGCAAAGCCTTGGGCGAAGCTGCCGTGCGCCTAGCTGAGTCGATAAATTATGGATCAGCTGGCACAATTGAGTATCTTGTTGATGATGAAACCGGCGCATTCTTTTTCCTCGAGATGAATACTCGTCTCCAGGTCGAACATGGCATAACGGAACTCTGCTATGGCCTTGACCTGGTAGAGCTCATGTTGAAACAAGCAGATGCTCAGCTCTCAGGTAGCAAAGGCATAGAGGCATCGTTTCTCGCCAGTCTCCCCATAGAAAACCCCTCTGGTGCGGCTATTGAAGCCCGAGTGTATGCCGAGAACCCCATCAGAGATTTTGCTCCTTCTCCGGGGACTCTGCAAAGTGTGGAGTGGAAGGAAATACCAGGGTCAAGGATCGATACATGGGTTTATAGGGGCATAAAGGTATCTGCTAATTATGGTTCGTCTCGCCTGTAGCCATCTATCTTTGACTCCTTTCGCAAGATCTGACAGCTTTATCGCAGACCCGCTTCTCGCAAAGGTCATGTACCACTCTCCCGACAGACAACAGACGATTGCGGGATTGAGAGATATGTTGAAGGAGTCGCGCATCTGTGGGCCTCCCACCAATCTCGAGTTTCTAGCTAAGATCTTGGACAGCGAGGAATTCGCTGCGGGAAACACTTTGACCAGATTTTTGGACACTTTTCAATTCGCTCCATGCGCGATCGATGTCATTTCTGGTGGCTCTTATACGCTCATCGAGGATTGGCCTGGCCGTCCAGCCCTAGGGAAAGGGTTCTGTCACTCTGGACCCATGGACCCGCTTGCGTTTCGCGTTGCAAATGCACTTGTCGGTAATCCTATCGGCCGTGAGGGTCTTGAGATCACCCTGAGCGGCCCAGACCTGCGATTCTTAGGGCCAGCAATTGTTTCACTTTGCGGAGCACCTATCGAAGCCAAGCTTGACGGCAAGCCTATTCGCATGTGGTCGAGAGTGAAAGTCGACGCTGGCCAGCGTTTGACAATCGGTAGGACAACAGGAAACGGCTGCAGGACTTATCTCGCTGTCTTTGGTGGCTTTTTAAATGTCGCAGAATGGTTCGGATCCAAGTCTACTTCACCAATGGTAGGAGTTGGAGGCTATCAAGGTCGGCAGCTTTCCTCGGGAGACCTTCTCACAATCACAAGTGATGTCCCGGATCTTATTGGCGACATTTTGATCCCGGAACATCTCATACCCAAATATCCCAGTGATTGGGAGCTCCTGGCCATTCCCGGACCCTATGACGAAGGTTTCCTTACACCCGAAAGCATTGATGTGCTATTCGATACTCAATGGAAAATCTCGCATAATGCAGCAAGAGGCGGCATTCGTCTCATCGGACCGAAACCCACCTGGGCTCGCTCGGACGGAGGCGAGGGCGGTGCTCATCCTTCAAACTTGATCGAATACGGTTATGCTATAGGGTCGCTGAACTGGACAGGCGATGACCCCGTCATCTTTCCACAAGATGCCCCGGACTTTGGTGGGTTTGTAAGTAGCCATACAATTGTGAAAGCAGACTTGTGGAAGCTAGGACAAGTAAAAGCGGGTGATACGCTCAAGTATAGAGCTGTTGCATTGGCCGATGCGTTGGATGCTCGCAGAGACATGGAGAGGTTTGTCGATGAGCTTGTGAACGCCTGCAAGCAAGGTCAGGGCTTCGGTTATGTGGTACCATTGCAACACATGCCGCCAGAGCAGACAGCAAAAACACGCGGCAAAGGCATTGTGCATCAGATCCAGGAGGATGGGAATCAGCCTTTCGTGTCTTACAGACAGGTATGTCGAGTTTACTTGTTCTTCGAAATCTCTTTGCTGACAGTGCTCCTTGTCCAGGCAGGAGACGATTATCTTCTGGTCGATTATGGACACGGGTCTTTTGACTTGAATCATCGTTGTAGAATCACTGCCTTGAAGAAGGCTCTGAATGAAGAAAAGCGGGACAGGGACTCGTTGTCAAACGGGCTGATAGGCATGGTTGGCTGTGGAAACTGTTAGAAGGCCCAAAGACACATTCATTCTCAAAGCTAACACATGCTCAACAGCACTCATGCTCTACTATGACGGCTTGAAAGTTCCCCAAGGAAAGCTCATCGACTATCTTTGTGACCTGGAGAACAGGCTCGGAGATCTTAGCCAAGCGAAGATGCCCAGTCGCCTATTCAAGCTTCCTCTCACATTCGAGAGCCAGAGACAAAAGGATGCTATGCAGCGCTACATGGAAACGCAGCGTCCGTATGCATCATATCTTCCAGATAACATGGACTTCGTGGCTAAAAATAACGCTTTGAAAATGGAAGAATTGAAAAATATTTATCTTACGGCCAAGCTAATGGTCGTTTCGGTCGGATTTTTCATGGCGCTCCCACTCGCCCTGCCTGTGGATCCTCGACACCGTATGAATTGTCCAAAGATGAATCCCAGCAGAGTTTATACTCCTGCAGGCTCGGTTTCATGGGGTGGAAGCTGCATGGCGTGAGTACCGTCCCAAGCTCAAAAAAAACACTGAAAGAGCCAGAGCTCACTACGACTGGGCAGGTTGTACAACGTCGACTCGCCGGGAGGATACCAAATGACAGGAATGACCATCCCCGGCGTAGATATCCTAGGTTCGAAGAAAGGCTACAGCGCCGATCGACCATGGCTTTTCGAGGAATTTGACCAGATCACCTTCTATCAGGTCTCTGAGGCAGAGTACGAAAAACAACTCGCCTTGTTCAATAGCGGCAAGTACGAACATCAGTGGGAGGAGGTAATCTTCGACATGGCGGAGCACAACCGTCTCCTGAACGATACTCGCGACGAAGTAGCAGCCATCCGAGCGCGCCAGCGTCAGGCACAGGCAGAGATGGATAAGTTCGAAGCACAGCTTCTCGAACGGTGGGCAACAGAAAAAGCAGAGAAGTGGGTATCGCAGGATGCGATTGAGGACTTGCTTCAAGGTACGCTTGCCTGCAAAATACATACCATCGCAGGATTGGAAGACTAACGGGTGGATTTCCTGCGTGCCGCAGACCCCGAGATCATAGCCATCGAAGCACCCCTAAACGCCAATGTATGGAAAGTCGAGGTCAAGCAAGCCGAAAAGCTAGAGGAGGGTCGGGTCGTGGTTATCCTAGAAGCCATGAAACTCGAAATCGCTGTGCGGGTCGAGTCCTCTGCCGCCGGTACGACTGTCGAAAAGGTCCTGGTTCAGCCGGGTGGTCCAATTGAAGCTGGTAAACCATTGATGCTGGTGAGGAAAGCGGCTTGCGCTGATGGGTACTGTCTTGAAAAACGACCTCAGTGACAGATGCCATGATTCTGGGCACTAAGGACATAGCATACTGTACACACCAGGGATAGACACGGCCATTACCAATCTCAATTCCATGGTTTCATTTCCGATTCAACAAATAATCATTCCCCGTAGGCGTGGTATTTTCTAGTCATCATTCATAACCTCATCATCAGACTGGGGTTGAAGGTAATAATTAACCCACTGGACCGATCTATTCCCACCAAAAACTAACACTGATCCCCGCCTTCAGGCCACGGACATAATGCCACCACCCTACAGGAATGTACAAGCACTCTCCCTCCTTAAGCATGGTCTCTACGTACTCTGCCTCCAGGAAACCTGGCCACATTGCATCCCACTGTTCGGATTCGGCGGGGGAGAGCTCGATGGCCGCCAAATCGACCTGTGAAGTGTTCGACATGTCGATAAGCTGGGCCTGGGCCTCGACTCTGGCCTCGGATCCCTTCCCCTGCAGCTGAGCGGCGTCCGATGAGGTATGTGCGATGTTGGCTGCAGAGGAGGAATTGACCGCCTCCATGCCCTTCGGGTAGATCTGCGAGGCTGGAGTGTGCGGTGGGTACAGACGGATATATTTCGCGCCGACCACTTGGACCAAGATATTGTGGTATGGGTCGTGGTGGAGGGGAGATATTGTCCAGGAAGGGCCGATCCAGGTATTGATGATGGGGTCGCTGGGGACTCCCAGGAGCGAATCTTCGTCACCGAGGGTTCCTCGCTCATTGTTCGCTTTGCCCTCTGTTTGCGCTTCGTGTCCAATGGCCGGTGCGGAATGTGCATTCATCGCTGCAAGTTTCTCCTCTCGTTCCCGCTGCTTTTTTACGTAGACTGGCGTTCCTGGTTCGGGGCCAGGAGGCTCGATGTAGCAGTAATCAGGGATGCAGATATCCTTCCGTAGCGCGGGAATTTGGGAAAGTAGGTCATGCTGCGCCATGTATCCAGTCTGACCAGCGTCCTCGTCGCTATCACCCGCACTCCCGTCCGATCGCCCCGTCTCTCCCCTCCAGAGATACCGGTCGACAAATTTCCCAAACTCCATGATCCGCTGGCCCCATCCCTCGTCCGTATACGACCTACCTACCTCCACGGGAACAAGCCTCCGTCCGCCAAAGGTGCGGTCGAGCCAGTAGTCCCGCGAGGCCCATGGCCGGGTCGACAGAGCGGGCCAGTGGTCTACTGCGTCGGTGATCACTAACGGTGTCCGAACGTGGTGGATGTGGTGCTCGATCGCGTCGAAAGAGGGCGCAGAGACGCGGGGAATGGGGTGTTTCAGGTGCATTGGTGGCACCATATCCGGCGGGAAGAGGGGAGGGGAGAGCTTTCTGCGCTTCGAGAAGTGATTGTCAGGCTCTGAGTCGCTGGAGTTATCAGGAAAGTGCGGCGCCGTCTTCGCATCTAGAGGGGTGCGCGTCGCGAGCTGTAGGGCAGAGAAGAGAGATTCGACCAGACTCTCGCGAAGGGGAGCGCCCGTCATAATCAGTGCGTTGTCGAGGGTGTGGATTGCGGACACCAGCCACGGAGCGTCTGCAGCGAGCCCGTAAGTTCCATTCTGCATTTTGCTTGCGGTCTGATTGTACGCTGAGGGTATAGCAGCGCCATTTGCTACTGCGGAACCATTTTTCAGAGCTGTGCTGTCGCATGCGAAGCCAAAGTGATCGCAGATCATGCGACAGACTTTGGCGATGCTGGCGTCCGTGTAAAGCCTTCGCCAGCAGGTTTTCACATCCTTGAACGGGAACACGCGAAGTTTCGCGTCTGCAAGCTCAAGAGCGCGATCTGGCTGTTTTAGCGCTTCACAAAGTGCTGCGGAGTCATGGTCAAAACACTCGAGAATAGGATCTTCGGGGCTTGGGTGGGCAATGGCGTCCAGTGCGTCCGCGACGAGGGATCGGAGATGCTCCGCCATGTCTATGTATATGAGATTGAGATGAGCATCGGAGGAGAGGATGGCACGCTTTACAAAATTGAGTGTTAGTAGGTCCCGAAAAGAAGCTGTAATGGTGCTTGGTAGGTCATCACGATGAGTTGTTGTTTCTGTGTGGTGTTTACTCTCAATTTCTCCTTCAGTTTCAACATCCACCAGCGGGAGAAACATACGTCATCACAGAAAGTTCAAACCAAACATACAGTTGGGACTGATCGTTGATGAGGTCTAAGATACAACTCATCTTTGATATCCAGAATATGTAAACATGGATTTTATTATGTGAGAGGTAGCTGTTGCCGAAGAAGAGTGCCAGTAGTTGTATATTTTGCGAGAAATATATAAATCTATTTACACCTGAACAGATGAACCCCCTTTGGCAGAACGTCACATATAGTACATGTTATAATACAGAAAGCCGCCTCATTTGGTGGAGACGTCAATGTAGACTCAGTCCAATAGTTCCATCACGAGCTGAGGAATACGACCAACACCCTCACCTTTGATGGCGCTCACCGGAACAGCGCAGACTTTCGCCCTCCAGCCATCAGAATGTCCACCGGGATGCTCAGCTTCGCCCTTCTGGACGGCAGTGAGATAGTCCCGCAGAATCTTGAATCTTTCCTGAGTTTCAGGCAGATCAGCCTTGGTGGCCACAACAAACCACGGTTTCGTATGGATAGGAGGCAGTTCGAGCGATGGGAGTTCCTTTGAACTGGAAGGGAACTCCGTAGGAGTACCGAATGGTGAATCAGAGTCTTCCAATCCGTTTTGTGCTCTCAGCTCAGGTAAGCCCTCGCCTAATTTCCAAGAAAAAGGATCTTCCTCTCCTTCAGAGGCAAGCTCAATGTTTCGGACCCTTTCGTATTCACCAAGTTCGTGCCACAAATTCCGAAGGCCCTGCACAGGATCCCCAGCACTCAGATCCACCACAAAAGCCAGGATACCGGCGCGCTCTATGTGGCGCAAAAACCCTAAGCCAAGGCCACGGTCCAGATGAGCGCCTTCGATCAGACCTGGGATGTCTGCTATGGTGAAGTTAGTCCGGCGAACCTTGCCTCTGGACTCCACCAGAGGTCGTCCTTTGTGGTCGTCGATGACCACCGTCCCAATATTGGGGGAGAGAGTAGTAAACTCCCAGTTCCCTATCCGCGTGCGACTGTTGGTCAATGACCGGAGAAGTGTGCTTTTTCCTGCATTCGGCTTCCCGACCAGACCAACATCCGCAAGCAGCTTCAACTCGAACTCGAGCTCCAAGCGCATGCCCCCTTCGCCCCTCGACGCGAACTTGGGCCGGCCGATAGAACGAGATACCCAATGTGGATTACCCAATCCACCGACACCTCCTGCAGCGAGCAGGATTGGCTTGTCCATCGGTTTCGAGAGATCGAGATGTATGGGCGCCTTGGGCTCCATGGCAGCGATATTCTGTTTGCGCGGCGGATTTCTTGGGAATACGGTGGTCAAGAAATCGGACGCTTTCGACCCCGGATAAAGCACCCAGCGGTCATGGCGAATAGAGGGTAGCCCGATCTCGTCCAGCTCATCCACTTCCACGGCAGCAGGCGCCTTTCGACGCTTCCATTCCTCGGCGACCGGATCGTAGCGGCTAACCTCGCGCACCACTGTCCCTACAGGGACTTGAAGCAGAACATCCTCTCCTCGCCTGCCTCCTTTGCTCTTTCCTTGGCCATTCCTCCCTCTTTCGGCCTTGATGACTCCCCGGCGAGCAAGTTTGTGTAGGCTTGTGATGCCCTCAACAGCTTGAATGTAGATGCCCCCGCCGCTGCCACCGTCGCCACCGTTCGGCGGTCCTTCTTCCACATATTTTTCGCGAAGGAACGAAACACAGCCGCTTCCGCCCGACCCAGCATATAAAGTCGACCGACATTTATCCTGAAATATGAACCGAGAGTATTCGTCTGGTGGTGGATTTAAGTGGGAGAGATCGGGAGCTCCTTCAACATCTTGAATGTTCTGAGGTACCGATGAACGGTATGACAGTCGCGGAGAACTACTTTCTTCACTGTAGTGTCGAGCAGATCCCAGAAGCACGTTTGAGCATCTCCTTGATGCGTAACGTGGCCTAGTGGTTTGTCGGAAGAGGAGAGAGGGAAACGAGAATAGAGGACTTGTTTGAGACGTCATCATTTTAATTGGTAGGCTCAAATTCGATCATCTTGGATGGACAAACGACTAATTCAGAATGAAAGCATTATATTCGTCCATAAAAAGTCATGCCCTTATTCCGTGTTGGAAAGAAATATTTACATGAAGCCGATTGCTACAACAATTTGCCAGAAACTCACTCTCGGATAAAGACACGTGATCTTATAGTCACATGGAGATAGCAGCTAGACTAAATGCCTTGCAGCCTTGCAGTGACCTTAATCTGTTAATCAACCTTGAATCTTGGGAATAGCAGCAAGCTGGCGATGATCCCATGGCCAGCTGTCAGCAGTCACGATGATCGCTCGCAGAGAATCTGAAATGATTCCAGGCTCCAGGTCGTTGCACGATTGTGGCTTAGCAAGAGCACCAATCCGATAGAATTGCCAACTGCGATGCAGTAACTGGCAACAACAAGGCACCTCTCACCAGAGCCATATTGTACGTATCAACTATCAACTAGACCTAGACAGTGGCGAGTCAGAATTCGATCCGTCAAGATGTGACGATGACAGATGAAAATAGCCAATAAGACGGGTCGGAAATGGTGATCCGGTTCGATTCTATCGAAAGCCTGTCAATATGAAATCCTGGATAATTTCAATAATGATCACACCTGGTCTGACTTTCTGGTGGTCTGCTGGTAAGCTCAGTCGCAAGGGCTAGATGCAGGTCTAGCTGCGCGGAGCTAGGAAGCCAAGGATGCAAAAGTACATGATTTGCGATCACCTTGTCCACCGGCGCCTTCCTTGGTCGAAGATGGGGAAGTGGATCTTGAATTCAGCATGGAAAAATACACCATTAGTACCGACTACCGAGAGTACCTTTGACAGCGATGGAGTACTACGTATGGACGTGGGTGTCAGACTGCCAGCTTTACCTTTTCGCTAGCTTCATGCCAACATCTGCGGAGGTACAGTACACAGCATGCACTCTTACAACGGATTCTTGCCATCCCACCGTCTCAGAATACTTCTGTTCCATGCTATTACTTTTGTCTAGCTGACGGAACTATTGTGATTTGTGACCTAGGATGATTCCACGACCAACCCAGACTTGGTAACCTTCGTATAGTTACAAGCGTTGGCTTCCATCTGTGATATCCACAACAGACGGGACCACAGACGCCACTTTGGGAAGATTGACTTGCAGAGTCCTGAATAGATTACGCTGTGCCCATTAAGCATCGACGAAGGACGAATACTTCTGTATCACGCAAGGCACTAGCACGTCACCGTTGTCTTACAGATCGTCCTTCGTTGGGCATTGGTAAACCCGGTTAAATCCGCAGAGTCATCACGCTGACTGCCTTGAATTTTAAGTCGACTGAGGGCTCGAGATGCACACTACCCACAGGCAGACCAGGATCAGTAGTCATTGCAGCATTTTGCTATACTCTAGCCATCGGCTCACCGGACCAGCACCTGCTGAAGGCATCGACAACCATCAGACTGAGTTTTCAACGAACTGCGATGTAGGATTCTGGAGCCATGTTAGATCAGGAGATTGCACCCAGCACATTCGTACTACAGAGTACGGATACAAGCTACGAGTTCCCCGATAAACATCTTGCGGATGAAATCTTGTTCCCCGGCACCTGTCTGCCAGGGGCAGGTGATCATGGTCTGTACTGTGTAGTGTGTTCTTAGCCTGTCTCTAGAGTCTGTGAGCTACTTCCGCAAAACTACGTAGTATTAGTATCGCCTTCCGCAAATTTATACTGGCTCTACAAATTCCATCAAAAACCCGTGAAATATATCAAATCTTATAAAATTATTCAAGATCATATGTAAACAGATAGAGGAGAACCACACCTAGTAAAAATTAGATGTTAGGAGTTTTGGTGGTTGTTAAAAAGAAGGGCTTGGAATAGCTTCCTTCATTTCACCCCTTGTTAAGCAAACCTCTCTCAAAGATCTACCACCACCACTAAGAATCAAGGTAGGTAAGACCATAAATAGCTGCCGGGGTATCTAGAGAGGCAGGACTACCTCAGAAGATATCTCAGGCTTTATTTTAGGCAGAGATTATATAGCTTTTAAAGCCACCTGTATAGCATCTCCTATCCAGGGGGATAGATAGTTTTGCGGAAGTAGCTCACTGATTCTACTCGGTGACATTGATCCAACTCCAAGTAGATAAGCATAACTAATTTTGTTTTTTTTTGTTTTTTTTTCTTGCGTAAGCCCCCACGTTGACATTCAAGTCCAGTTCCTGACATCTTGCAGGATTGCGGCCCATCTTGCTTCCTCTGTAATCTGTATGTAGCTTACAGAAGGGAGCCCAACCTGTAAAACAGCGGTCTCAGTCATTCAGGCTTCGAGCGACGCCGTTTCGATATTCGAAGTTCGAGCTCACCTGAAATGCTGAAAATCACAGTTCCACAGTGGGATCGACCCATCTCCCGATAGACCAATGGGAAAGTGTTCCTGGCACCGCGGGAAAGGGGGGGGGCGTTCCTTATAATATCCTGGCATCCTGCAGCTCACATGATCCATGGCAGGTACAATAGTCGCTAGCACTAGACAGGGGCTAAACGAGAGTCAGTACTCAGTACCTAGAGCACTAACATTGTATACATAATACGGAGTGCCGTTGCCCGTTGTACCTTTGCCCCTTAAGCTGTAATATTTGTTTAATTCAGTAATTAGCATGGAGCAAGAGAGACCTAGCAAATGGACTAGATAGCAAAGGATGATGGAGGTCAGCAAATCAACCCGTCAGTTGTAACTTGTAAGTGTAACAAAGAGGAAATCGCCCTCGAGCGGACAAAAGTCTGAGCCCCACAGGTGGACTCTCGAAATGTTATCCATCACCGCGGCACCGGGTCGTACTTTCCGTTGCCGGACAAAAGTCTTCTCTCTAAGTACTGTCTGTACTAAGATACTAGGTAGATAGAGGTATCTACCCATTTACCCAGTCCTTTCGCGTTCTCTGATTGATACCGAGGACTGAAGTTGCCTGGTCCTGGATCCTGGTGTATCACTAGGTTACTAACACGGGTAACAAGAGTATCAGTACTGAATTATCACTATCTACTAACTACTTCGTAGGATCGTAGCATCGAAGGCTTTGTGGCTTGGCCGCTCTAGGAACGTAGAGGATACCAAGCTATGGAGGAATCAGCTGATGAACTGTATTCGACATTAAGTATGTCACTTGCCACTTGCCAGGTTGCCGACCTAACCGCACTTCGGTAGGCGAGGTCAAAAATGCCAGCATTATTGGTGATCCAAGCAAGAAGTTCGTATTTGCCCCTGGTGATAAAAAGACGGGATGGAGAAGTATGTACTTTACCCTTTACTGACCCCCATGGGCATTACGTCGTTGACTTACTAGTACTTTTACTCCATTAAATTCCACTACCGTTCAACAGTCGAGATCTCCACGCCGGTACAGGACTTGCATTCAGAGCTCAAGAGTTCAATCATATCATTCCCCACAAGGCAGTACGCATGTCCTCTCTCTCCCAGTCCCCTCCTTTGAATTGTGGAGAAACGGAACTTCTGTCTCGAGATCCCGATTATGGAAGTCTGGAGACTGGAAGACGGAAGTACCTACGCGGAACCACTAGGCAGAGCTCCAAGGACACAGATACCATGGATCGTACTTTTTAGCTTTCCGAGAATCCGAGTAGGAAAATCCCAGCAGGAAATGAATCAAAAAATCAGCCAAAGAAATAATATGGAATAAAAAAAAAAGAAAAGAAAAAGAAAAAAAAATGTCAACTTAATCCTTGTTTCATTGTCACATCAAACTAGTTAGATAGTAGTTCCATGACTGTTTAACCTACGGCGTCGAGGTTCCATGGATGATGTATTCGTACATCCTCAGCTGATGTTTACTGATTGGCCCGGGGAAGCCTGTCCGTTTGTCAGGATGTACCAAAAGTGGACTCTCAGATTTTATACTTCAGCTCTGGATTGTCGACTGATAATAATGCTCAGCTGTTTTCTTCGTTGGGTTTACTTACGTCGGATGGGAGGGTAACTACTACCTAGGGCGGGCATCGTCATTGCCTAACTATGCCGCCGTGGTGATACAGAGAGCGAATTCGATGGATGGAGATATGTGATCGACCGAGGAATGTGGCTCCTGACCGTCGGCAAGACGGAAGGAGGCCTTTTCGTACTTGTTCTGAGACCTGGCGACCGTACATAGTAGTACTGAGTCCTGTTTAGAAACTTTGAGCAAAAGAATTTCTGACCATAAAAATGAATTGAGTTATCTCTGATAATAATCTATCAGCCAGCCAGCCAAAGAGAAAAAGAAACAAAAAAAAAAAAAATTTAAAATAAAAAATCAAAAAAAGCCTGAAACCTTTTGCTGATTGAACGATTAGGATCAGCCACCCCAAGTCCGCCACAACCGCAAATATGTACATCTGTACTCCGTAGACTGTGTCAGATTGTCGGGATTCGAGATGGATGCACTTACTCATCAATGTGGCATGATGGGCAGTCGCGGTATGTTGATCTGATTCGTCTCGTGGAGAATCCCTTGGCTGATTCTCGGTTCTAGAAGGATTCGATACACGATTAGCTGATTTAGTAATGATCTAGGAATAATAAGTCCCAAGAATCAAGATCCAGGTACCAGCTAGTATGAACTCTAGGTACCCACTGGATAGTATTTATCATGAAACATACGTTCTGAAATCCAAATACCCACTTCCATGTACTCTGATCCCACCCTTGTACAGACTACATTACAGTTTACATATCTGCTATCATTATCGTTTGAGTATGAAGTCAGTATAGAGTATGGAATTATGAAAGCCAGCATGAGCTAAGAGCTGTGGGACTTCAATAAATGGACCCTCGACTTCAAGCTCTTGATGGAATGAATTGGGAGCTGGAACAGAATACAGGAAGCATTCCCCCCTTCATGTGGCGACGTCAAATTCCCCCGATTGAGATCCTACCGTCGGACCCGGCAAATTGGTGTGGCAGCTGCTTCTCCAGAGAGAGATCCACCAGTTA